TTTTTTCATATTAAAAACAATTTAAAAAGTGAGTAGTTTTAGTGATCTTGATGAAACTGCTTACTTTTTTTCTTTAATCTTATAAATCCCCAAGTTTTAAATAGTTGTATAATCGAGTGTGGGCCAAAAAGAGAGAAATTGATCAACTTAATTCAAATGTAAGGTCGATGCAAAAACAAGTTTATATATATATATATATATATATATATATATATATATATATATATATATATATATATATATATATATATATATATATGGTAACACTCTACAATAAGGTTCATTAGTTAATGCATTTAATAACATGAACTAATCATGAACAACACATGTACAGCATTTATTAATCATAATTGAACATTTACTAATGCATTATTAACATCCAACTCCATACCTGTTAACATTAGATAATGCAGCATGAGTTAACATGAACTAACAATGAACTACTGTATTTTCATTAACTAACATTTACTAACATGAAAAAATTTACAAACAAAACATGACTTGCATAACTTCAGTGACGACAGAAATACAGCTCTAAATATGGCCGGTTTATTTAAAATGAATCAGGAGTATTATCTGTAATAATACAGATAATATTATTATCTGTAATTATCTGTAATTTACTTTAGGCCTTTATTAATGTAAATATAATTCATATGTTTATATGAAAATATTTATATTTATATATTTATTAAATGTAAAGTTAGTTAAATGTAGTAAGTTATTAAACTGTGTTTTATGGATTAAATAGTTTATACAAGATGCTGGATAGTACATTCAAGACTTAGAAACTCACCAAAATCAATACCCACTAACTATCATGCATATTTTAGTAGACAGATCATTAATTCTGGTGTGGCGACCACTGATAAATAAGGTACCAAGGATAATGAATGAATGAACAAAAAAATGAACTGTTGAAAAATTAGGACGTTAGCTTTACAAGCTGGAAAAAAAGAGAGCTAACGAATAAGAAAGAAGAAACAAATAAAAAAAATTAAAGAACAGAAGAATGAACTAAAGAATTAAAGACCGAAAGAATGAACTAAAGAAATAACAAATGAATGAACTTATTAAAGAAAAATGAAAGAAAGAACAAAAGAGAAATAATGAAAGAATTGCATATTGATTTATTTTTTTGATCTGTCATGATTAATGCATGTTTATAGGAAAACGTGTGTAGTACAGTCAAGTTATTGTGAACATGTTGAGCAGAACATTAGATAGATTTTTCTGACATCATGTGGCTAATGAACCCAGCACAATGGCCGGTGCCGCCCTGACAGCAAACTGCTTCACTATTTTGTTACACCAGTAATGTGCTGCTGGCGTCTGACCCCATTACCTCTATCCTTGAGCACAGCAGATCATGCTTCACTGAGACTGTCAAATATATTTACAGTAAATGTGTGACTTCTCTTTACAGAAGTGCACTGATCAGAACTATGACCCATATTCAGCTCTAACCTCGCTTTTACCCCTGAATACACTCCATTTCACAGCTACTTTCCTTTAGCTGCCACGTCTACTTATGTAGGAGCTTCAAAACAAAGATGGCCAGCCTGATAAATATTCATGATGCATTACTGTTTAAAATTCAGTCTCAGTAAGATTTTAAAGGTCCTCTGAAATTTTAAATAAAGTTATTTAATTGTTAGTATTAGTATTGTTAGTTTTTAGGATATCTATAAGCTAGTGTGCTCCAAAGCAGTGACAGAATTCATGTTTAGAAGATATAAAACTGCTGTAAGGCTTGTAGTTTCTCCCCTCTTCAGTTTCTCATCAAATCATGAGCAATCAAACGCTCTCTAATATCTGACATGTCCTGGCCCCATTTAAGACGTTCACATTTCATGGGCTTGAGCTCAGCCACTCTCCGCTATTGGCTGTTTTTTAAAAGGGGAGGAGCTACACCATGTCTCATCCTTTCATGTTTCAGTTGAGATGATGTCAAACATCAACTAAAAATGCACATTTCACAGCACATCACAGGACCTTTACGGGTTTTAAAGGCTTTAGGAATAGAAACTACAAAATACTAGTAATGCTAATACTGAGTAATAGTAAATTACATGAAGTGGTGTTCAAGACTGTAAATAAACCTTTATAATCATGACATGACACAAATCATGAATGTGAATGAGATTTTATGCATGCATGACAACTGTTATTAAGTGTCATTTGCTCAGTAATGTCATTTTAACTGCAAAGATGGCATTGTATGTTGTGACAAATTGACATAAACACATCACAACCAGTCATCATCTTTATCCATGACAACTTGACATTACCAAAACAACTTAACTTGTCATAAATCTGCCATAAACATGATTGTCATGAGGCAAATATTTTTATGCTTACGCTTTCAGTGGTACAAGCTGCATTTTTCATTAAAATGTCAATGAATATTAATGATGCTGTTAAAAATGATTTGATAACATTTTTCCACTGAAAACATGATAAGAAAAATATTCTTGACACAATTATAATGGTAACTCATGACACCGTTATAAAATTCAGGACCTATTCATAACGGCTTCATGACAATCATGTTTTTGACGGCTTTATGACAAGTTGTCATAAATACAAAAACAGGTTGCGATGCACTTGTTTGTCAAGTTGTTATAAGCATGCATGAAATCTCATTCACATTAATGACTCGTCATGTCATGATTATAAAGGTTTAATGATAGTCTTAAAAACACACCTTCAAGTGTTACTAATTACTTTAGTTATTTTAAATTACAATTTTAAGATAATTATTATGAATTTTTTGCCATTTACAGTTGAGTTAAAATTAAAAGCCTCTTATTTGTGCTTTATGTTCCCTCCAAAACATGTGTGACTTGACATTGGTGCATTTTCTCAAATATAACTTACTTGGAAAGGAAGTAGCTTATCTGTAATTTTGACAACACTACATTTAGATTTTAGCCAGAAGTATATTAAAGATGAACAAAGACTGTTCACTTGACAACATTTAAAGACTCCACTAAGCGGGTTATAAATTGTGGTGCCTTTCAAAGATCTACTGATTATAGTTCTAAAAGCTGCTTCTACTCTTGACCATTTCCTGAATGTTGACTTTTGAAAAGTCTAAATTCATGTGAACTAAATCACATGTGTATGAAAGTTTGTTGCTGCCAGAGTTATCTCTAAATTATGAGGATAAAAGTATGGATTCTGAAAAAAGTATCATGGGAATTTTAAGTTTATAAATAACACTTTAGTTTAAGTCACAATTCATGCTACTATTAACTACTTGCTTATTACCCGCCTATTATTGCAATATTAATTATTTTTTTGTAGTTATAAAGTATGATTTTTTTATACTACATGTAATGAACTACACCTGTGGATACATGGCTTTTTAAGGCCAAGTAAAGTTTTAGATCATTACTAACTATTTATAAGCAGCTAATTGGCAGTTTATTTACCCAATAGCATTAGTTAATTATTGTTTATAGCATGTATTGTGACCTAAAATAAAGTGTATATCTTGTGATTCTGACATTTTTCCACCCAAAATTGAGGGGAAAGGGTTAAAATCACAATACATAAACAATTTTATTGACAAAAGCCACAAAGCAAGGGAGAACAAATGAAAGTAACAAAGTGAAGTCCTGACAATATTTGCTTTCCAGCCTATAACAGCACATTCAGCATGCAACCCTTGATGGAGCTGCTAAATATCAATTGATTTCTGGACCATGTCCTATAGGTTCTAATTTCAGTTTTTATGTAAATTTAAGTACAGAAAGTAAATTATTATAGGAGCTTTTTTTCTCATTACAAGTTGTGTTTCTCTTTTCATGTGTCACAGTAATGATCAATCTACAGGTTATTTAGTGCAATAACACATCCTTAAGTTTGCAATCTCTGAGATTTTCAGTTTAAAAGTAAATCAGGTTTAAATGGCAAGAGTTCCTGTGGGGACGAACGTAACACTTATTTATGTCCCACTGCTAATAGCCATGCCTAATTTTCACTTCCACATTAGAGTTTTAGTGTTTTAATTCATATGATTTATAATGCATATTGCCAATAATAATAAAAAAATGTAATCATTTTGCATTGTTAAATTGCTTTTCAAACATCTGATGAATCTGAAATTTAAAATGAAAATGCTGTTTAATTTCTTTTTGCAAAAAGTATGAAATATGTTTTCAGTTAACGTTAACAAGGTCATAGTTGGATATTTTTAAAATGAACAAGATTGCTGATGAGGTCAAAAGTAACAAGGTGCAATTTGTGTTCAAAGTGAAGTTATTTTAAAGTTTGTCTACATTTTTTTCAAAATACCACCTGGTACTGAAAGACCACACTTGTTAGTTAGTAACCACAGCAAACATATTTGTCTAAAACTTTATCCTTTAAAAATAGGTTTTTATGAAAAGTTGTACTTTCGTCCCTTACAAACACTTGTGACTTTTTGAGAAAGGGTCTGAAATATACACTTGACATTTCGAGGAACAAAATAGAAACTATTAATTTTATTTTATTAACTTTTTGCTTATTATTAGCATTTTCTTTTTTTAAATTTAAGATATTTCAATTCATTTTCAATTTTTATTTATATAGCACATTTAAAAACAACTATAGTTGACCAAAGTGCTTTACAAAACAAAAAAAAACTAAACTAAATTTAAATCTCACAATTCAGATTTTTCATTAACAATAAGTTCACAATTTTAGAAAAGTCAACTAAATTTTCCATTTATAGGAAAATCTTAATTTTCTGATTTTGTAATTTGCATTTCAGATTTTGTCTTTCTATAGATAAAATAAATTCAAAACTCATTCTAAGCAAATATTGTCAGAACTGAGTTGTTTTGTTTGACTTGTTGTTTGAGAAGTCACAGTTTTATTTATTTATTTTATTCGGTGGCAGAAACAAGCTTCTATACATGTTGACTTTTCCAAAACCATCCCTCGTGTTTTCTATATCATTAGTGACTTCAACTTCTTTTACCTTATATTTTTATTTTTGGTCTCTTTAGGCCTCCAAATTTGACAAGCAGAGCAGCGTGTCTGATGGCGACTACGACAACACCGTCAACGAATCTGATCTGGACGACTCTGGGTGCGTGTCCACTTTCCTTTTAATAACCTAAAACTAAAAAAAAAAAAACTCATTCTGCTGGCAAACAAAACCAGCCTTTTTTTTTTCTCTCCATCTTAGCCAAATGCACTAATAATGCTGTAAAGGCACCAAGTAATCATGTGTCCAGCATTACTCATCCTGACGCCTTCTTCACTACATTTGTACAACCTCCTGCAGTTTTGGCCGGCGATGTCGCCTTCGCAGCAGTGGCTGGATGGGAGAAAGCGGCTCTATCCCCGAGCTGGAGGACCATGAGTGTGAGCTGGACCCCAGTCTGCCCAGCACCGAAGACGTCATACGCAAAACTGAGCAGATCACCAAGAACATTCAGGAGCTGCTGAGGGCCGCGCAGGAGAACAAGCACGAGAGGTGAGCCTTAAAAACGTCTCATATTTCTTACATCATCAAAAACAAAACAAAAATCTGATGTCATTTAGTTCCCTTCTGTCTATCGTTAACTTCTGCCTCATATTTAACAAATCCACATGTAAATGTTGGCACTTTTCATGAGTTGGGTACAAATTGTTTCCTCATTGTTTAGGGTGTAGTTCTGTTCTCTTGGTTTGTTGGGTTAGCATACAGTTGATGTCAGAATTATTTAGCCCCCCTCAATTATTAGCCTACCTGTTTATTTTCCCCCAATTTCTGTTTAACGGAGAGATCTTTTCAACACACTTCTTAACATAATAGTTTTAGTAACTCATTTCTAATAACTGATTTATTTTATTTTTACCATGATGACAGTAAATAATATTTCACTAGATATTCTTCAGGACACTTCTATACAGCTTAAAGTGACATTTAAAGGCTTAACTAGGCAAGTTAGGGTAATTAGGCAAGTTATTGTACAATGATGGTTTGTTGTGTAGACTAAGGGGCTAATCATTTTGACCTTAAAATGGGCTTTAAAAAATTAAAAACTGCTTTTATTCCACCCGAAATAAAACAAATAAGACTTTCTCCAGAAGAAAAAATATTATCAGACATACTATGAAAATTTCCTTGCTCTCTTAAACAGCATTTGAAAAATGTTTTAAAAAGAAGATGCAAAGGGGGGGCTAATAATTCTTACTTCAACCATACATTGTAAAACAATTCTTGCTGCCTTAATTTTCTTGCTTTAGTTAAATTAAGTTAAATTTTCTAGTCTTCTCAACTTATCACACTAATCAAACACACTAAAAAATTTGAAGTTAAACCTGGTATAACTTAAAAATATAGTTGAAACTTGATTCATTTCTTTAAATACGTTAAAGCAGCAAACATTTTTTTTTTTGTTGTCTTGACTTTTTGTCATTAAATTTTTTACAGTGTAGAACAGATCTAAAAATAAACTTATCAACATAAGGTCTTTATGAAGTATATTTTTTCTTTTCTTTTTTTTAATGACAGTTAAATCAAAGTAGCTTTTACTCAAGTGAAATTGATTTTGTGTTCAAGAAACATTTCCATTTATTAAAGGGCACCTATTTTACCCTTTTATGCAAGATAAGCCTTTTGTGTCTCCAGCAAGTGTCTGTAATGTTTCAGCTTAACACACCCATCAGATATTTTATTATAGCCTCCAGAATCTGCCCATTTTTGGTGTCTGAGTATAATGTAACTGTTTATGTTGCCTGTGGCTTTAAATGCAAATGAGCTGGTTCTCCTCGTCCACCGTTCCCATGTGTGTCAGCTTCTTATCATGTGTTACGTCAGATAAACAGCAGTCAGTGATAGAGATAGACTAGGATAAATCTGAAATACAGTTCATTAGTCAAAAATACCAAGTCTATTTCATGTATTTGTATTGGCATTTATTCAAGCCTTTCTGAAATGATGAGTCACACACAAATGTGAGATGCTACTGTCTTTATTATGGTCTGTTTTAAAAAACTTTTTACACTTATATGAAAAAATATTTTAATGCCAGTTTATTTGCAATAAAAAAAAAAAGTTTATGATATTGTAGAGACATGGCGCCAGTCTGTCAATTCAGTGGGTTGGAAAAAACCACACTCCTACCTCACATCAATGGGATTTGGGTCCTTTTTTTAACATCGGGAAATTTAAAAAAAGACACTTGTGTTTCTGTCACTCCAATATGACTGTACCACACTATACCTACACACAGTTCTGTCCAAACAGCTTACAAAAGATGATTTTCATCAAAGGTGCCCTTTAAAGAAAAAGTTCTCTACCTCATTAATGAAAAGTGTTTTAGCTTGTTAATTTTTTTTAATCACTTGTTTCCCAACCATGAAATCCATCATCAGTCCATTCATACATTTCCATTTTCTGTCTGTTCTCCAATTGTCTGTGTTCATCATTCGGGGTCTGTCCTGTCGGGGTCCGCGCTCTGTTTGGGTCCCGATCTGTCTTTTTCCCTCCACCAGTGCACCATGTGAGCAGAGGGAGAGTGTTCGCAGACTTAGACACAGTCTGGGTTGTTTCAGCACACTGGTGCCTTGGGCAGACAAACCCCCGTCTCCCATGCAGCCCCTTGGCCTCAGAGCTCCCCATCCAGCCAACCCCAACAACCCTGCCTCCTGGTACTCTGGCCTCTGTCCCTGCCTCACAGGCACAGTGTCTACCTCTACCTCTCTCTTCAGAACTCACCCACTAATCTCAACACGAATGTCACCTGCATGATCGCTAGTATGTCTCATGCTGAAGGCCTTGCGCTCTCTTCTCAACTTCGCTTTTTTTGTTTGCAGGAACTCATGTTGGTTTCCCTTTTAGGAAACGGCTTTGTACTGACATCCATCTAACATTTGAACTTTTTGTTTTTGCACTGGTTTGTATTTCACTGCAAAACAAAATGGGATTTTTAAGATTTTTCAATTTATTGATTAAAAAGAATGCCAAACCTATTTTTAAAATGAGATTTACCCTCTAAAATTGGGGTTTTGCTGAAGATGCATCATGTCTGCTGCACAACTAACGTTTCAAATAAATCTGCATGGTTTGGCGTGGATTATTGGACAGAATTTGAAGTTCTATATATATATGTAATCTTTCTGTGTACTGTTATAAGTCAGAATGGATCACTATTATTCAACAAAAGGTATTTTAAAAGACAATATTGAATGACATATTATGGACAAATGATGTTTTCCAGTGTAGTGTAAATGTTTGAAGTAGGGTTAGCTTACATTTTCACTTTCAAAACATATTTGTGATGGTTTTTGTTATAAGGTTTTCATACAGCATCTCTCATTTTGTCCTCTGATAGCTTTGTACCCTGCGCAGAAAGAATACATGTGGCTGTGAATGAGATGGCGGCTCTGTTCCCCAAGGTAAGCAATTTCTCCCCACACTTCATAAATTCAGTGCAAAAAAAAAACTGTAAGCTGCACATTTTGATGCCACAAAAGGTACATTTAAATCACTAGTTTATTTCTGAAATGTATATCTCTGTTCTGATATTGTCAACATTTGGTCATATAATACAAAAGTCCCAAGATCAAATCTTGGGGGACACCACATGCTAAAAAGTCAGATTTGTTGGAAAATAACTGCAATTGTTCTAACCTTTAGGTAGCTGAGAGCTGGTTAAGAAGTGGTTAAGAAGAATATCATGATAGATAGTGTCAGATGTGACTCTCAAATCATTGAAAACCATAAATGCTGTGGGTAGGCCACATTCTCTAAAATCTTGGAGGAAAAAAAGCAGTTTGGAAATATTTTTTTAAGCAATGAATATGTAAATGGTGTGTTTAAGCATGTCATATGATACAAAGGTCCCAGGATTGAGCCTTAGGGGACACCACATGCTAAAAGTCTGATTCGTAGGAATATTCAGAGCAAATGTCCAAACTTTTAGATAGCTGAGAGCTGTAACCTGAATGTTTCCTAGTGGTTATGAAGAATATCATGATAGATAGTGTCACATGTGACTCTCAAATCATAGAAAACCATAAATGCTGTGAGTAAGCCACATTCTCTAAAATCTTGGAAATAAAAAGCAGCTTGGAGATATTTCTTTAAGCTTTGCATATTTAAAGAGCCCCTATATGCATTATAAAAGGTCATATTTTGGTTTTGGGGTTCTCCAACATTAGGCTGATCTGCATGCAAGGTCAAGAAGGTCTTATAATATGCATTTATTTTTACCTGATTATCTCAACGACTCCCATATTATTCGTTCAGCAAATCATTTTTTCCCAAACCCCTCCTTAGCATGAAGCTAATCTGTGCTGATTGGTCCGATGACCTAGTCTGTTGTGATTGGTCGACAGAGTTCAGTGTGAGATGGAGAGAAACGCCCACCACGGTGATGAAGTAGCACAGAGTATATGTGTGAGCCCAATGGAGGGATGCATTAAAGTGCATTAAATATGCAGTTAAACACCAGCATATACGTTCTTAACCCTAACCCCAAGTAATAACAATGACACACATTCAGTATTAATCCAGACAGTGGCAAAGGTTAACAATTTTGAAAATTGACCGTGTCGTGCGCTTGTAAGGAACAGCTGATGGTGGCCATAGCAACAAACAGCAGGAGATTGCGAGCTCTCAAACGCATTTACATTGGTAAAGGAAGACGCACACAGCACGTTTTCAGCAAGGTTTTGGATGCAAGATGTGAAAAGCCCTTACAGATTTAACCTGAGAGATACTTTACAAGCACTGATCAATAATAGATGAGTGTCTACAAGCCACGCAGAGCAATTACAAGTTACAAAACACAATTAAACGCATATTTTGCAAACAAGGCAACAATGTTAATTACACTTGCATGTTCTGTAGGAAGGAGAAACCCTTACAGGATCCGGAGGAAGAAGAAACTGGTCCATATAACACCCCATTCACACGGGGCGTCAGTGTCAATGCTTCCCATTCACTTTGAATGGGTGACGTCAGGCGTTGCCGAACTGCACTGTGGATCCATCGGCGCCGCTTCAGAGGCGTTGCTCGCTGCAGAAGTTGGGACTAGCTCAACTTTTCCAGCACCGACGGAAGCGTCAGCCAATCAGATCGCTGTATGCAAATACACCAGCTAGTCAGTGGCTTATTGCTGACTGAATTTTATTGGCTGACGCTGTTATGATGATCGATTCAGCCCCAACTTCAGACACGTCTTTAGTCAATCGTTGACGCTGAAGCCCCGTGTGAATGGGGCGTAAACATTGTAACAGTTACTGACAAAGTCCCATACATTAGTATTCTTTGCTGCTTCTTCCTTTAATAACAAACAGACGGTGAATCCTGCTCTGCAGGGTAGGTTGTATTAAACATCAGAAAAATGACAGGAACAAACACAGCACATGGTATACTGTGGTATTGTTGTGAAAACCAACTTTAACCCTTTATTCCCCATAACCGCATGTCTAACCATCTCTCAGTGATAATAATCCATGATCTCCTCGTAGCCGTGTTCACGTTTTACCAGATCCGGTACTTCATATTTGGCGATGTCCCATATCAACGTCGACATGTTCAGGCAAAAGATCAAGGAACAAAGGACGAATCATTCATCTGACTCTGAGTCGACTTAAAAGAATCAATAGTTTTAAACAAGTTAGATTTAAAGCTGTGTTTCACACTGCATGGATGGTCAATTTCAAAAAACCAATATAGGGGCTCTTTAAATTGTATGTTTAAGTCATTTGAAAGAAAGGTCCCATGATCGAACCTTTGGGGACACCACATGCTAAAAATTTAGATTTGTAGGAATATTCAAACCAAACGTCCTAAACCTTGTTTCCCAAACTTGATTTAAGTTGGTGTTTTTTGTACGTTGTCCACAGAGACCACGTTCTGAGACGGTCAGGAACTCTCTGCGGTTATTAACGTCCAGTGCGAATCGGCTCCAGACCGAGTGTAAGAAAGCGTCTCCTCTGGAGAGCAGCCAGGCCTCAGACATGCAGTTGGTCACTCAGCAGGTCATCCAGTGTGCTTACGACATCGCCAAGGCTGCAAAGCAACTAGTTACTATAACCACCAAAGAGAACAACTGATCCTACTTCCACCTGAAATGCAATCCTGACTATTTTAGTTATTATATAATTTTTTTTATTTAATCTAAGCTGTATTTGCATGTTTTAAGTTCTGATTTAAAGTGTATGTTATCAATGTATCATCGTCTGGCTTGAAGCCATAAGATAAAGCCTCTTGAGGGTGTTGTAAGGATGTGTATATGTGTTGACCTGTGAAAGTGAGTTTGATTAGATGGCAAGTTGAGAAATTTGAGCAGAAATGTATTCGCAATGGAGCAGCCTATCATGTACTAGATGTAAAAAAAAATGCCTGACTCTTTGCACTATTCTGAAAACTTTGAACCTCTTCATAATCAAATATTTAGTTCACCATTTGTGGATGGATGTGGATGTTTTTTAATCATCATCATCATCATCAAAGCCTTTCAATTCAATGATAATCTATATTGTATCATAAATATGAACTGTAATCTGTCTGTATAAAAACAACAACAACAACATTCAGGTAGTGTGGTCGAGTAGGCCAAGATTAGGTACAGTATAAATGTAAATATATGTTATTATTAAGTATTACTCCGAATTCTCACAACGTCAGGTTAAATGCTGTCTCAGATGAATCATAATTCAGATTTATAGAGTAGAATAAATGTACAAATATATATTAAGAAAGATATGAGAATGTTAATTCAACCAAGTTGTAGGGTGTTTGTTAGATTTGGATGTACTTTGGACACACAATGGGCACAAAAAGTACACTTAGATCACACCTTTGTAAAATATTATTTATAAACTATTTAAGTTTTATACATTGTTAACCAGGTGGCTCAGTTTAGCACAGTCGCTTCACAGCAAGAATTTCGTTGGTTCGAGTCCCAGCTGGGTCAGTTGACATTTTTATGTGGAGTTTGCATGTTCTCCCCATGTTCACGTGCGTTTCCTGTGGGTGCTCCGTAAGTCCAAAGAAATGCGGTACAGGTGATTTGGGTAGGCTAAATTGTCCGTAGTGTATGTTTGTGAATGTGATCGATGGGTGTTTCCCAGTGATGGGTTGCAGCTGGAAGGGCATTCGTTGTGTAAAACATAGGCGGTTCATTCCGCTGTTGCCACCCCTGATAAATAAAGGGACTAAGTCGAAAAGAAAATGAATGAATGAATGAACATTATTAAATAGGTAGCTCTGAGGTTAGCACTGTCGCCTCACAGCAAGAAGGTCGTTGGTTCGAGTCCCAGCTGGGTCAGTTGACATTTTTATGTGGAGTTTGCATGTTCTCCCCGTGTTCTTGTGGGTTTCCTCCGGCTGCTCCGGTTTACACCACAGTCCAATGACATGTGCTTTCGGTGAATTGATTAAGCTAAATTGGACGTAGTTTATGTGTTTGAATGAGTGTGTGTGGATGTTTTCAAGTACTGGGTTGCAGCAGGAAGGGCATCCGCTGTGTAAAACATGCTGGAATAGTTAGTGGTTCATTCCACCGTGAAGACCCCTGATGAATAAAGAGACTAAGCTGAAGAAAAGTGAATGCATATTATTAACTAAAATAATTAGCTTATTAGTTAACATCTGCTCATTTGATACAATGGTCCCAGCATTAAACCCACACCACTTGCTAAAGGGGCTTTGATCAGTGCTGTTAAAATCTGTATTCACCATTGATAGCACCAATGACTTCACTACATTATTTATTCTATTTTAAACACATTCACTGAATATATCTGAGGTCGAAACCATCTTCACCAGCAGATAGATACTGTGTTTGTGATGGTTTCAATGCGTTTAGTTGTTGTCTTTTTTAGATCAACATGTATGTTTAGGCAGCTCCTAGCTATATCCTCTCTACAAAGTATTTTGGTCTGACCTAATCAGGTCAGTCATACCAGAGAGTTGTGTGGTGGACTGGTAACTCAGTATTATTAGAGCTAAATGTCAGTGACTTGCAGCTCAGTGTTTGTTGTTGTTCAGATGAACCGGTCTTCCACTTATTAATATTATTACTATGCCTGTGTCTAAGAAAACAAAATGTGTTCTTTATTTTTTAAATAAACTTAATTTATCATTTTGAGCTTCAGTTGTTGCTCCGGAGGTTTGGTTGATATCAGAAATTAAGCCATACTGTATGAATAAAGTTTTTAAAAAGTGTTCATCTCATGCCAGATTATTTTTGTCAGCAAAAGCTTCTCACCTGTTTTTTTCTTCTCATATTTTACTATATTTCATAAGCATTCAGGAGCTTTTCATCTTAAAATTTGCACATAGTATGAAGTACGTAAACATTAAAACACTAATATTTTTTTGTAAGAACAATGTTTGGATCTGTTTTGTTATATAGACAAATTTGTTCAGTAGACCCACACAACATGTTGAAAAATATACACCATGAATCCTGTAACTTTATCACTTTTTATTCAATTAAGACGAGAGCATAATATACTTACCATCACCGGCCACTTTATTAGGTACACCTGTTCAACTGCTCGTTAATGCAAATTTCTAATTAGCCAATCACATGGCAGCAACTCAATGCATTTAGGCATACAGACATGGTCTAGATCAATGGTGGGCAAACTCGGTCCTAGAGGGCCGGTGTCCTGCATAGTTTAGCTCCAACTCTAATCAAAAACACCTGAACATGCCAGTCAGTGTCTTCAAGATCACTAGAAATCTATAAGCAGGTGTGTTTGACTAGAGTTAAAGCTAAACTGTGCAGGACACCGGCCCTCCAGGACCGAGTTTGCCTACCCCTGGTGTAGATGATCTGCTGCAGTTCAAACAAAGCATCAGAATGGGGAAGTAACCAGATGGGCTGCTCTGAGTATTTCAGAAACTGCTGATCTACTGGGATTTTCACGCATAACCATATCTAGGGGTTACAGAGAATGGTCCAAAAAAGAGAAAATTGAGCGGCCGTTCTGTGGACGCAAATGCCTTGTTGATGTCAGGGGAGAATGGCCTGACTGGTTCGAGCTGATAGAAAGGCAACAGTAACTCAAATAACCACTCGTTACAACTGAGGTTTGCAGAAGAGCATCTCTGAACACACAACACGTCCAACCTTAAGGCAGATGGGCTACAGCAGCAGATGACCACACCGGGTGCCACTCCTGTGGGGTGTCTACCTCCAGCAGGATTAACATGCCATGTCATTAAGCGTAAATCATCTCAGGCTGGTTTCTTGAACATGACAATGAGTTCACTGTACTCAAATGGGCTCCACAGTCAGCAGACATAATCAACCCAATAGAGCACCTTTGGGATGTGCAGTTGACAAATCTGCAGCAAATGTATGATGCTATCATGGCAATATGAACTAAGATCTCTTAGGAGTATTTCTAGTACCTTGTTGAATCTATGCCACAAAGGATTTAGGCAGTTCTGAAGGCAAAATAGGGTCCAACCCGGTACTAGTAAGGTGTACCAAAGTGGCCGGTAAGTGTAGAGCTACAATACAATAAGCCAGTTAGGCTCGTTTTTGTGGTGTGTTCCACACCTCACCGGCAATTCACCCAATTTGACATGTTGAATCGTGTTGGGATGTTAGTGAGAAAGGGGACGAAATGTTTAGTAAGTCAGTGTACGAGAATAAAAGCAAAAGAGATGAAAGCAAGCAAAGACAGCACAGACTTTCTGATGCTACATCTTGCCTGAGCATTTCAATTTACATTTAGTCATTTGGCAGACACTTCTGTCAAAGCCACTTACAGTTGAGGAGACGTTCAGCACTTCACAGGAAGTTCTTATTATAAAAAGCAACCGTCAGTGCTCAGAGAATTAGGTGCAAGAGAAAGAGGAAGTTCATTTTTTATGGAGCGAGAAGAGTGAAGTGTGTTTCTACAGGTGGTTTATCAAGCCCACTCACACTGTAAAGCACACTGTAATAATGCATTGTGGATTTTTTTTTATGGTGTGAGAAGAGTGTAGTAGAGGTTTCCCCGCTTATGCAAGTTTTTATTTAGCACCCGACCGCTCTCCAGTCTTTGTTGACCTGCTGCCCAACCAGTTTCCAACCATTCCCGCTAAATTTAGATCTGGGTTCTCACATTTAAATCTCACATTTAAATTGGGTACTACAAAAAGAGGGAGAAAACTGATAAAACCTAAGGTTGTGCAGAGATTGTAGGCTAAATGTCAGTTTTGTTTGCCCCTTTGTGATGAGACATGTGTGCCGCCTTTAACCTGAGGTTCCAGTCCAGTGATGAATGCTATAGGGTGAAACTTTGATGTATTGTCACATGCAAAGGGAAACCTTTTCCACTTGTGTTTATGACTCCTGAAAAAGACTCCCATACATCAGACCTTCCTGATGTGGTTTTCCTTACAGTAACTGGACTGTTTTTCAATGCAAGCTGAGGGACAGCGCATCTTCACTTTGCTCTCTCATGTTGGTAATGCCCGCTCTGAGGACCGTTATGCAGATGATGTGCGAGACTCTGCGGGGGAAAAAAGCATGTGCAGAAAGCACTGGTCCATGCATTCATCATGTGTAACAGTAGCGAGCACTGGCTGTACCAGTGCTCAATGAGAATGAGGAAATCACAGATATGCTGTTCTGAAATAACGTCGGGACTCGGGAGCTCTATTTTGATTGGCTGCCCGCTCCCGTTCAAATTATACCATAGTTACAGACTGCTACGGCATTTTATTTGGAAATTTATATCCATGCCGCAAGAAATCTGGTCTGGTCCTGCGGCTCCCGCAATACAGCTGCAGGAATGCAGACCTCTAGTGTGAAGTGTGTTTTTTCAGGTGGTTTACAAGCCCACTCACCTGTGTGAGGCACACTTTAAATGTATGTATAAAATTTATTCTTTAAAATACATTCATATTTTCATAACACGAGTAGTCAAGAAGTAATAACCCCATCATAATATTTGAAATAAAAAGCACTACTTGGTTTTCCTTTTTAAATAAGAAATACAGACTATTAAAACCTGCTGTCTTACCCTCACATGGGCTTATGAAAGCCTGTTTTAGAGCCAAAAATCAGAAACCAGGGCGCCGTTTACATGAAATTAAATCAGGAATTTGTTTTGGGGTTTGTTTATACAATATTAGCATTTTGTGAAATCATAAAATGGGCTCAACGTAGATTTTTTTCTGAAAATGCTGAATCTGAAACCTGAAAATGAGGGTCTTTGAAAACAATGACATCATGCTTGTGCATAGTACTTATTTGAGACAGTCTGGTAGTGTTGTTGTTGTTTAAGGGGGCTTTCACACTAGCACTTTTGATCCGCAACCGGGTTCGTTTGACGTCATAGTACGGTACGTTAAGCTAGTGTGAACGCGTCCTCTGAACCTGGGTGCGCACCCGTGAACTGTACCCGAGTCCACCTGAAAAAGGTGATCTGGGGTACGGTTCACTTCTGATGTAAATGCAATCGTACCAAATAATGGAAGTGAACTGCCAACTGTACTATCTGTACAGCAAACTATCGCTTTAGCAAACTATCGTTTTCTTAACGTTCGTTCGTGTGTGTGTGTGTTTGTCATGTGTGTACCTTGGTGACTAGCAGGACTGAGCCACGGCACATTTTACTGGACTATCCTGCTTTTATTGATTCCAGAAGACTTTTTTAATAAATGAACTCTTTTAAAGACATTTTTAGCAAAGTGACACCAGAAAAATTTTAGAATTCTTATCATGTATTAACACAAACAATCTTATTTCATTTGTGTATTCATTTGTTTGTTGTTCTTAATTGGTTATTTAATATTGAAATGTTCTTGCCATGAAAATAGCTTTGGTTGCTGACATGGCAATAAACAAAAAATACATTACATTACTGAGCCACGGCAAACACAGTGTTGTCTGCTTGTCTCCTCCAAAAACAGCTTGTGCAGACACTGTGTGATGTTCTGAATGTTTATCATCAAGCTGCTGTGTTGTGTACGAATGTTGCCAAGTCAAGGACACAAAAGCAAAGCGCCAAAATGGAAAGACATACGCACATTATAGTCTTTCTGCTTTTACTGAATCTTTAAGTTTTGGACATAAAGAGAGCAACTCGCGTCCATCTGCCGTAAAAAATATTATAAACATTCAAAACATCACACAGTGTCTGCAGAAGCTGTTTTTGACATTATCACTGTGCTTTGAACATTATGAAAATGATAGTTTGTTGTTGTTGGCGGTTCATTTCCGTCATTGTATGACTGCATTCATACCAGAAGTGAACCGGACCAGAGTTCGCCTGAACCGTACCGCTGACCACCTCTTTCAGGCGGACTTAGATACGGTTCACCCGAGTTCAGAAGACATGTTCACACTAGCTAAGCGTGTACTCTGGCGTCAAACTAACCCGGGTGCAGATCAAAAGTGTTTGTTAATGCTCTTCCTCAGCAAAGTGTTTGAGGGTGCTTTTTTTTGGTTGTGTTGATCAAGAGCTACTTTTAGCATATCTGCTTGCATACATTGCTGCCCACTTAACTTTTTTTTTTATTATTATGCATGAAAGAACATTACAAAGATATAATATGAATAAATAGACAAAGAGGGTTACATGAATAGAATACCAGCAAGTTAAACAAGTTTAAGTGATTTACACCAAGAAAGCGTTTTACATGCAGTGTAATTGTTAGAGTCTTTTAAAGAGTTCACATAAATTTCAAAGTTCTTTCTGAAAATAAAAAAGTAAGGGTGTTTCTTTGAAAACTTACATTTATGGATGTAAAATTTTGCTAAAAAAGCAATAAATTAATAATAAATTTACAATGAGAGGGATCTACACTCAGAGAGTAACCAAAGAATACAATTTTTGGGGAAATACAGAAATTTGGAAATAAGAATTTTTTTAATGAAACTGGAAAAGTCAACCCAAAAAACTTTACAGTAAGTGCACTCCAAAAATAAATGGTTTAGTGTTTCATCATATTGAGTACAAAATGAGCATTTAGGGGAAATATTATTATTAAATTTAGCTAGTTTGATATTTATTGGGTAGCAATTATGAATGATTTTCATTGAGACTTCAATAGCTTTATTAGATAAGAAGAATTTTTTCCGAAGAAGCCAAAACTGTTCCCAATCCACGTCATCAAATGTATTATTCCAAAAACCTATGTAAGCAGGTAAAGAGATCCGAGAACTATTAATAACCAAGCGAATATCTGACATTCTTTAATATATATGAATGCAGCAGACGACGGATGACATTGTGAATTTATTGAAAAAACTGTCAGCACTGACATTTTTACAAAACAATCTACATATAAAAATGGACTTGGATGCAAACTTCAGTATAAGTGCAACAAAAACATTTGAACTTCCCTAAACTTTTATTTATTTAATTGCCATGAAGTAAATCATGAACTATTTATGACATCTCTGAACAGAAAACCGGCTCTCATTTGAAGCACAAAGTGGCCAAGATCAACATGGACACAGATATCCCCCTGATTTGATTAAAAACAGTGCTAGAAAAAAAAACTCCTCTAGCATCTGAAAAGGGGGGTGTGACACAAACTGTCTTCCTGTGAATGTGCCCTCATGTCCATGCTGACCGGGGTCTGCTGTGAATCTGCCATGATGAAAAAAAACAACACATTTTAATATAGACATGAAATGAACAAATCACAGTTTACATGCTGCCTCTTCACAGCACATTAATCTCCACTCACTCTCTCCTGGAAGCCCTGTCGAATCATTCGGTCCGTCTCAAGACGAAGTTCCTCCTCCTGGAGCCTAAGCTCCTCCCTCTCCTGTGCTTCTTCCTGTTCTAGTGTTTGTTGCTGCTCCCACTGCTCCTTTCGTCTCTGCTCCACCTGTTGGACAAACACGTGTACTGAAGACACTGGCTGTGTCTGACACATTTAGAATGTATGGCAAGAGGGAACTAAAATGAATGAGTGAATTTAAAGTGACAAAAAAATGTGCGGACAATTTCATCATGACCCTATAATCAGATAATATACAGTTGAAGTCAAAATTAATTAGCCCCCCTGTATATTTTCTCCCCAATTTCTGTTTAATTTTTAAAGTTTTTTCTTTAACACATTTCTGAACATAAAAGTTTTAATAATTCATTTCTTATAACTGATTTCTTTTATCTTTGCCATGATGACGGTACAATATACACCTTAAAGTGACATTTAAAGGCTTCACTTTAATTTTACATATATATATATATATATATATATATTAGTGCTGTCGATCGATTAAAAAAATTAACTAATTAATCGCACCTTTTTAAAAAAATTATCTCGATTAATCGCATTTAAAATACTGAAACTTGTAATTTTGGCTATTTAAATGTAAAATTAATGTAAACGCAAGACAAATTAAATTTTAAATTATTTAAATTCAAAATATAATTGTTTAATAGAATTTTTGTTTAACTTGTAACACAGATTTCTTCATGTAAACAACATACCCACAATAAACCATCAAGATCCTGGCTTGACAGACATATTTATTACAGAAATTAAAACACAGGCATGTTAATGACATTTAAATTTCAAAACAATCAATGCCAATAAAGAAAACATTGATTTCCATGTTGGATTCTAAGTGGACTGCAAAAAAATGCCAAAATACAGGAATTGCAGATATGGAAAATGAAATGAAACTGTTGCACTCATTGTAAAGTTTTATTGCTGTGAGTTGAGAACATTATTTATAGAGTGGAAACAATTTAGCTTAATCCTCCTTTACATTCATCCAGTTGCTAAGACTAGGAGTATCCCGCAAGTGCACAGAGACTCCCAAATGCCCGCAAATGAATGATAATTTCTTGCAAACCGGTCGTTAAATACATTGCACACCCCTCTCGCCCCTACTCAGATACGTTGCTCACTCCACCCCTGACACCCCTCAACGGGCCTGACACAGACACGCACACACAACGTGCTGCAGACGTTTTAGCCCCAACGGCCTTCCATACTGGAGTGACTCCCCTCAGATTCAACACGCATGATCACGTTCATCAAATTTGCTTAAACTAAGCGTCCTAAAGTTTTACTATATTTCACAAGGATTCTGACACAACAACGTGAAGCATACGCTTTCGTTGCGTTTAATGAGGAAACACGCTAAACTTGGAGGGTTCATGCTGAAAGGCAGAGTATTGCCGTCTTTGACAGCTCGCGACTTCACCTGAGACGTTCTGAGTACATTTAGCATAAGACACCAATACTCCGATTTTAATATGATTAAGATTATACTCTTTTTAAAATTCTACCATGTAGCCTTAAAAGGAACCTTACCTTAAAGCAGGGGTCACCAATCCTGGTCCTGGAGGGCCGGTGTCCCTGCAGGATTTAGCTCCAACTTGCCTCAACACACCTGCCTGGATGTTTCAAGTATTCCAAGTAAGACCTTGATTAGCTTGTTCTGGTGTGTTTGATTAGGGTTGGAGCTAAAATCTGCAGGACACCGGCCCTCCAGGAACAAGTTTGGTGACCACTGCCTTAAAGGAACACCGAGTCACGAAATGCGGAGGATTTTCTTTCTGTTCGCCATGCGGTATCAACTTACAACAGAAGTCGAAAGTTAAAAATGAAACACCCGAAATTGCATGAAACTTTGGAGAGCCTGGTGATGCAACTAATTGTTTTATACTGAAACTTGCCTTCAAAAAGTGCTTCCTTGGTCTTATCCACATTTATTGCATGTTGAACACACGTCCACCACAACAGGAAGTAAAGAAAACTTATTTAAAATTAATCGCATGCGTTAACGCGTTAATTTTGACAGTCCTAATATATATATATATATATATATATATATATATATATATATATATATATATATATATATAAAATAAAGGCTTTACTAGGTTATTAGACAAGTCCTTGTTTTATAATAGTTTGTTCTGTAGACTAGACAATCGAAAAAATAATTGCTTAAGGGGGCTAATAATATTGACCTTAAAATGTTTAAAAACAAAATTGTAGCCAAAATTAAACAAATAAGATTTCCTCCAGAAAAAAAAGAAACATAGGAAATTCTTTGAAAAATTCCTTGCGCTATTTAACATCGTTTGGGAAATATTTGAATTCAACTGTATATATTTTTGTGGGGTCACTATTCTGCCGCCTAGGTCGCATCTATGGACATGCCGGCCTTGACTGCAGATTAACTATGTTTCTATAGTTTCTTTACACAACTCCTTTTCCAATTTTAACTGTAATGTGCACCTTTTTTTAAAGATGCTTTGAAAGGATTACTATTGTGAAAAGAGCTACACAAATAAACATGAATCAAATGTTTTTCACAAATAATTTGGACTATAAAATGGCAGACACCACACTATAAAAGTGCATGAAGAGATGTTTTGGACACCGCTGTGGATAACTGAAGTGAGTGTGCAGGTTAGTGTTATTATGCAGACCTGATTATCGATCTCCTGTATGCGAGCAGTCCGGAGTCCTTCCTGCTGCTCTTTCTCCAGGCGCAGAGTGAGTCTGTCCTGCTCCAGCTGTTGGAGGAGCTCTTCTCTCCTCTGCAGAGACTCCTCTCTCGCCAGCCTGTTTTCCTGCATTCGCTCCTGCAACTGCTGCTGACGACCTGCCAGGACCTGACAAAAAATATCACACAAACTAACGGTCACAAATTTGACTACATTTAATATTTTGTTTATATCCATATAATAATCAACATTTAAAGTGGATCATCACCTTTCATCAAAGTTGTCCTACATCTGTTGAACAATACGCTTTCTTATCTTAAAACTATTTTGAAAAATGTTTTCGATTCACTTCAGATGTTGACTACGGTATATAGTAGTATATAATACATTTCAAATGAGTATTTAAGGATCAAAGTGCAGCCCCAAAATACAAATAAATTGAATTATATTTATACTTTGCTGCTATCATTCAAACCACCAGGTTTCAACCTTTTCTTAGTAAAAAGATTTGTAATCATTATTATATATTCCAAATTATATATACATGTTTATATTATTATATATGATATATTATAAATTATTATAATTCTTTTATCATTAATATTACATATATATATATATATATATATATATATATATATATATATATATATATATATATATATATATATATATATATATAGAGAGAGAGAGAGAGAGAGAGAGAGAGAGAGAGAGAGAGAGAGAGAGATTTTTTCCCTTTATTTTATTTTATTTGTTTTTTGCATGATCACATACTTTGTTTGAAACATATAGGTCAGATTTTTTTTTTACATTTTAGTTCCATTTTTAGTCAATGCTGTTCTTTGTTCTTTTGAAATTTGTCTTTATTAAATAACAATAATAATAAAGGTAATGCAGAACAATGGACATCTTAATAAAAAAATGTTTTGAGCCATGAGTCCAGTCTTTTTTCTATATTCGATACTCCAAATTCATATATATTCTATGCATTTATATCAGAGATGGATTCTCTCTAATAACCCATGTGCACTTAAAATAAAAATAATTTGATACAGTAGAAATATCTATCTATCTATCTATCTATCTATCTATCTATCTATCTATCTATCTATCTATCTATCTATCTTGCTATCTATCTATCTATCTATCTATCTATCTATCTATCTATCTATCTATCTATCTATCTATCTATCTGTCTGTCTGTCTGTCTATCTATCTGTCTGTCTATCTGTCTGTCTATCTATCTATCTGTCTGTCTATCTATCTGTCTCTCTCTCTATCTATCCATCCATCCATCCATCCATCCATCCATCCATCTTTCCAAATAGAAATATTCAAGCCATCTAGTGACATTGTATTTGCAATATAAATCGCAGGATAACAAAAAAATCGCAAAGTTAGTTTTTCCAATATCATTCAGCCCTACTAACTAACTAACTAACTAACTAACTAACTAACTAACTAACTAACTAACTAACTGTTTGTCTGTCTGTCTATCTATCTGTGAGCATGAGGTAAGATGTTTCTCCAGCTATAACATCTACACTTCAATCTATAACATATTTTCCATTGATTATCCATTTGAAGTGTGGAAGTAAAGTGCAGTGTTAAAAGGAATTTTGATACAAGAATTGTGTGCGTGCGACCACTGAGGAACTGGCCATTATCTTTAGCTCTCACCTCTCGCATGAGTCTCTCTCTCGCTCTCCTCTCCTTCTCCCACTCGGCCTCTCTTTTCTCCCAAACACGCTGAGCTTCCTCCCTGTAGACGGCAGACAAAAAAGCAAGAGAATGGGTATTTCTATTTCCAGATACAAACACAGTTGATTAAACATTTTGCCTGTGCGCTCACCGGTATAAAATGTCAAACTCTGCCTCCCTCTCCCTCTCCAGCTGAAGCTGCTCCTCTATAACTCTCTTCATCCAGGCGGCATCAGCGACGGCTCTCTCTCTTCTGGCTTTGTGAAATCTCTGCTCGTCCAGCTCTCCCTCCAGCAGCGCCGCCAGGATCTTGCGGTCTGCCTCCTGGTGGACAGGAAAGGTATCGATCATGCATTTGCAGTTTAACAGTAAATAGTTGCAGTATTTGATATTAACAGCAACAAGAGGTCAAATTGAAGTTTTCGCTGTAACCTACCAGCTCCTCCTGCACCTGCTGTGCTCTCCTTTTTAGCTGAGCTCGATACTGACGAGTCAGGAAACGCCTGTGGAAGCAGTTATACTGCTTGGTAAGTAGTTGTATTAAGTTGTATGTATTAATATAGTTTTAAAATTTTTATTTTAAATAATTTTAATGAAATAAAAAAAATGTTGTTAATGTTTGTTAGGTGCTCTTTTCATTTGTAAAAGTTTTAATATGCATAAGCTGATTCATAAAAAGTTGAATATGCATAAAAAGTGTAAATTATGAACAAAACAATCAGTCAGATGTTACAAATTTGTTTGATTTAAAGTAGTAAATTAATCCCACAATCCCATGATGCAGTGCAAATGACATAATATATATAGGCTTCATGGTGGCCCAGCGGGTGGCATGATTGAGGTCGCTGGTTCAAGCACCGGTTGGGTCAGATCGCATTTCTCTGAGAAGATTGGATGTTCGGTGCATTGAATAAGCTAAATTGTCCGTAGTGTATGTGTGTGTGTGTGTGAGTCTTTTGGTAATACCCAATTTTAACACGAGATTTTGGAAACCAGATCTAAATTTAGCGGGAACGGTCTGGTCGGGTATGAAACAGGGTGGATCGGGCAGCTGGTGAACAAAGGCTGAATATACAGCGGGAGTGGTTGGGTGCGGTATAAAACCTGGCAGGAGCAGGATTAGATCTCTAGCAGGGGGCTTTATTGAAGCCAAGATAATTTGTTTCTGTTTTTTAAAATATTTTTGAAATTGTTGTTTTATTGACAAAAATTTTAATAAAAAGATCTGGAAAAATGAATAAGTTTGCATAGTGTAGAAATTATTTAACTATAGAAACACTGCTGCTAAAGAAATAAATCCCTTAACACATACAATATTTAAGTCTAAATTTTTCACCCAAATTCCGTTTTCCTTCTGCTTTCCTCCATCATCTTCCTCTCATCCTCAAGCTTCTCAAGCTCCCAACGTTTGGACATCAGAGTTTCCTGTTCCTGCTTAAGACGCTCAGCCTGAAACATGTAGAAGAAATGGAACAAATGAAAAACATACTTTTGATGCTGCTTCTTTAACCTTACGATCTTTGCATTTGTTTTGGTAAATAGGTTGTTGTGACAATTTTTTTATTTCTGCTTAACTAAAAGATTTTTTTCCCAACACATTTCTAAACATAATAGTTTTAAAAACTCATTTCTAATAACTGATTTATTTTATCTTTGCCATGATGACAGTAAATAATATTTGACTGGATATTTTTCAACACACTTCTATACAGCTTAAAGTGGCATTTAAAGGCTTTACTAGGTTAATTAGGTTAACTAGGTAGGTTAGGGTAATTAGGCAAGTTATTGTATAATGATGGTTTGTTCTGTAGACAATCGAAAACAAATATAGCTAAAGGGGCTAATAATTTTGACCTTAAATTTTTTTTTTTTTTTATTAAAACTGCTTTAATTCTAGCTGAAATAAAACAAATAAGTTCTCCAGAAGAAAAAACTTATCAGACATACTGTAAAATTTCCTTGATCTGTTAAACATAATTTGGGAAATATAAAAAAATAATAATAAATTCAAAGGGAGGCTAGTGTAAGTGCGTATTACAGTAATTCCGTACTTCCTGTTCCCGTAGTTTGAGCTCCTCCATCTGTTTAAGGAGCTCCTCAGCTCGCTTCTTTTCCTCCCATTTTCTGTTCTCCTCTTCTTTCCTCATTCTTTCCAGAGCTTCCTGTCTGGTCCTTTCATACTCATTCTCAAATCGCTGTTTCTCCTCCTGAGTTCTCTCATCAGCCTGAGTATTACAGAACAGACTTATATTACACTGGAGATGTTGAACCTAGCAATCCTTTGTCTAGTAAGATTATTCAAACACAAGCAGCCGAGTTGCATTCATGCTTGTGCCGACATTTAACATGTCTTACCTGTTTTTTCTCTTGCTGTTGAACCTGCCACTGACTCACAATGTGATCTTTGTGCAGCTCTGACTCCACCTGCACACACACAATCATTCGAGACACTCAGATGTCTGATTGAATAATGCTCCAGAAGTGGTTGCGTGTGTTCGGAACCGAATCCTGAGCTCAGAGTTACAGTTCAGTCACGGAAGAAACTCATCACATGCTGTATTAGCTTACAACTTGCGTCTAACTACATTTTCATAAAAATCATGGCTTGATTCCTCTGTAGGAATGAATAATAAGAAACAATTATAATAATAATAATAATAATAATAATAATAAATTATATATAAAAAGTTACAAGTGAAAATAAACAAGCTATTCCTGTAGTTTGAGAGTTTAATAGCGCAAGTATAATGTTGACTTTTATGTGACACTATTATTCCAAAATTTATAGTACTCTATAATTTTTTAAGAATGGTTTTAAATAAATATATAATATATTATTATATTATTACATTTCATTTTATATTATCAACATTGAACATTATCGTGCTGTTTAATATTTTTATGGAAATTGATATGATGAGATTTTTTATTAAAAAAAGAATAGCATTTGCTTGACAAAAAACTTTTGTAACATAAATAATAATAATTATTATTAATTACTTTCATTTAAATAGAGCTTTTCGCTTTTCTGAGTACTCAAAACACTTTGCAAATTTTGGCGGGAATCTTCTCATCCACCACCAGGAGCCAGTGTGATGAAGCCCTGACAACAACGCTGTCTACCTTTACAGCTTAAAACGTGCTTTCGAGTGTAAAAATGTTGCACACTTTTTTATCAAATTTATTTACCTATGGAAGCCCATGTTGTTGTGTGTGTGGCTTAGCTCCACTTATCCAATAGGTGCCCATTTGTCTGAAATATTCTGAAGCAGCAATACTGTTCTGTACTGTCCTTATAGTTAGAGTGAGATTCACAATGTTTTTTAGAAAAAAGAAATTAAAAAATCCTCCTCGCTGCTTATAGTCGCAGTCTCTAATTAAAAATGAATGACTTCCGGCGACTTTGATGCTCTCGCGAATTTTGGTGTGAACGCAAACTGATATGGGGATGGTTAGTAAACCATGATGGACAGAAGCCATTGAGCAGATTTGGCCAGGACACGTTAATTTCAAAGGATTTTCATTGACCACAGAGAGTACCAGGACCTTGGTTTAACGTCTCATCCAAAAAAAAAGACGAGAAAAATGTCCCGTTCACTATACTGGGGCGTTAAGACCCCACACAGACAGCAGATTGAGCACCCCCAGCTGGACTCACTAACACCTCTTTCGGCAGCAACCTAGAGCTCCCATTTGTCTCACATCCAGGTACTGACCATGTGCAGCCCTGCTTTGCTTCAGATGGTGACTATATGAGAGCGGCAGAGCCAGCTGTACAAACTTTACTGGCGTTTTATTCAATTTAAAGCATACTTGCTTATTGACGTTATATATATTTTCCTTAATAAGAAAATGTTTCTTCACACTTTAAATACTCTTAATAACACCCATAACTAACATAGATGTCAAGTTTTGAGATATTCATTTATTTATATCTCAACGTATGACTGACCTTCCGCAGTTGTGAGTTGTTCTGCTTCCAGTGTTCCCTCAGCAGCTCCTGTGCAAGCTGAAGAAGATAAAACAAATCGACATATCAGATCAGATATGACATTCAATCAGATAACATAACAGGGCTTTATGACAGAACAATTAGTGTTCATACATTTTTCCTCCTCTCCTCCCTAGCAGAACGGAGGGCGTCTGTTTTTTCCACTAGCTGTCTGGCTAGCGTGTCTCTATCTGGATGAATATTTCTGAGCTCTGCCTCCAGCTGATCTCTCTCCTCCTGAAGCATCGTCCTCAGACGCTCCCTGCGCTCCTCTAGTTTCCGCTGCTTCTCCTCCCTCATGCGGTCCCGCTGAAATGCTGACATACTACAAGATCAAGAAAATAAGTTTTTTTTTAATTCACATAAATGTTTATTTGCAGTATGATGATGCAATTTATCCTCCTCCTTATAGGCATTAAGTATGCAGTGTTAAACTTTTGTATAGTTTTGTCAGATTTATGTTTTTTTTACCTCAAATCAAAGTGTGTAATGCTGTAATTCTCCTCATAGCTGTTTGGTTTAGTACTTGGTTTATAAAAATGTAACAACTACTTAAGAAAAATGTAAGGAAAGATACTTTCAGAACCAGTACTGCCAAAAAAACAGGAGTGAACTTTTACACACCATAAATTTTTTACTTTTCAGAAAGACATCTCAGCCTTGATAAAAGGTAAGAATATCATATTCAATAACGTGTCATATTTAACTATTTGAATAATTATTTTATTAAAGGGCTAGTTTAACCACAAATGAACATTTCCTCACCATTTGCTCAGCCTTAAGTGATTCTAAACTAAATTTCTTACTTTTGCAGAACTGTTGAACTGCTGTTTTCCAACATTCCTCAAAATATTTTACTTGTATTCAAACAAAAAAAAAGCATAAACAGGTTTGGAACAACTGGAAAATGAAAAAAATGACTTTGGGTGAACTATCCCTTTAAAGACCGCATGAACTGGAATCTGCGACCCTTTTTTCCCACTGTATTGTTACGCAGTTCCTAGAGAAAAAGAATATTAAATGAGAAAACAGTGGGTGTGGCTTGTTTTTTTGTACTGTGAGCTGATTGGATGTAGTATAGTAGGCATTTCACTCTGAAAGATTAGGAAAAGGGTTTGGGGAGAGTTATTGCAACCTAACAGATACCTCTTCCTCATCATTTCTGTTTGTTGTCAAAACTGACAGTTAGAGGGGGCATGGTTAAGTATTATAACCACACCCAATACCCAAGACGTTGTAATATGAGAATTTAACTGAAAACAAACAGGAAGTGCATTTTCAGACTTTTAAAAGGCAAACCATTTTTGCTTTTCTAAATGACATGCACAGAAGAATTGTTTACCACAAAACTGGCCATGTGATCTAAGAAAATTATAATGTTTAGTTTTGATTTCATTTTTTACTTTAAGTCCAAAAGAGTACAAAAGAGATTTTGAAGAATGTGGGACAAAACAGACTATTTTTTGGATGCCAATGGTTGCTGCTCTTCACTCTTCAATATCTTGCTTTGTGTTCAACAGAAGAAATAGATTCATAAAACTTTAGAAACACCAGAGTGTGAGTAAATGGTAATGAATTTTACATTTTGGGGTGAACTACCCCTTTAATGTATTTATTAGTAATGACAAGACATTATTTAGGCCAGATTCAAATTGAAAATACTGAGCATACATCTGCACATAGCATACAGTAATATTATTTTATTTTACATTGAATACAAAAACTAAACACAAAAGTCTCCACTGAAAACTACAGCATAGGCCAGGGATGTCCAAACTTGGTCCTGGATAGGGTGTCCTATGCAGGGTGTCAACACAGCTCTCTGGAAGTTTCTAGTTTACCTAGTTTGATCCGCTGGTTCAGGTGTGGATTGGGGTTGGAACTAAAATATGCAGGACACCGTCCCTCCAGGACCAAGTTTGGACACTCCTTGCATAGGCTACGCTGGTATGGTAAGTTTTGAAGCTGGTTTACGATGGTCTTGACCAGCAAAAACCAGCATTAAAACATACCTTACCAGCATATGCTGTTTTCTTTCAGCAGGATTATAACCCAAATCTGAACTAATGCTTTGGAAACTGGTGGAAAACTGTTGCTGTTGTTGGCTGAAGTGTCGGCAATAGTTTAAATAACACATTCAATGCATAAGCTACAGGAGGTATAAGCACCTGCGATGAAAGGACTGTCGTGAGCTCCACTGCGCCTGTTTACTGCTGCGGACATCCTGCTCCCTAAAGTACTGCGAGTGCTGCTCCCACTGTCGCCTCAGCCGCGCCTCCTGTTCCCGCTGCCGCACCAGCTGCTGCTCCAGAGTCCGCACCCGACTCGGCCAGTGTGCGGAGAGCGTCGGGAGAGCCATGGGTCTGAGGAGACCGAGTTTAACGTTACTTCTCACCGGAGATCTTGACTTGCGATCACTGGAGCAGTCATGGCAACATAATGCTGCAAATGAGGATTATTAACGTTATTGATCGCACTACAAAATAAGTCAGTAGATTTTAGAATCGACTTGCTAAGTGAGTTCTACATTCACGTTGATATTTGTACGTATTTTAACGAAACTGTAGTCAGAGGAAAGCGGTTAACGACGGCGGATGTGTAAACAAAACACCAAAAAAGAAGCGGTCCACTTGGTTACGCCTCTACTTCCTGGTTACCTACGGCGAGTGACGAGGTACAAGCAGGCAGGGGTTTATAGCTGGGGTATATTTCTACATTAATTTGTATCAGATAAATATAGCAATATCATCACATAAAAGTTTACAGTAGAAAACGTTTAAACCAATAAAAAAAACTAACAAATGAAGCAATAGATTAAATTAAGGCATGTTCAAAACATGGAGATGTCGCATAAGGGGAGTTCACCGAAATATTTACCTTAGTTTCTCAGATGGTTATAAACCGTTATGAGTTTCTTTCTTCTTTAAAAACAATCTTTTGTGTTCAACAGAAAGCTAAAAACCTGTAACCATTCACTTTCATTGTTGGAAAAACAAATAGGTATGTCTACTATGGATGTCAAGGTCCTGCAGGGGAAAAAAACCAGCTTAAAACAGCCTAAGTTGGTTCGCTGGTTTTAGCTGGTCGACCCGCTTGATTTTAGACAGGTTTCAGTTATTTCCAGCCTGGTCTTAGCTGGAAAGGCTGGGAGGTGACCAGCTAAAACCAGCTTGACCAGCCAAAACCAGCTGTCCAGCTTAAACCAGGCTGCTCAAGCTGGTTTTAGCTGGTCATTTTCTTAGCAGCCTGACCAGCTCAGATCAGGCTGGAAATAACTGGAAACCAGCCTGGAAAGGGCCAAAACCCCTTTAAAACCAGGCTAGTCGACCAGCTAAAACCAGCCAACCAGCCTTGCCCGGTTTAAGGTTTTTTTTTCAGTAGGGTGGTTACAGGTTTCCAGCTCTTTCCAGAAGAAATAGGCATACAATCAAACTGGTTTGACACAAGAGAATTAAGTGAGTGAAAATAATGACATAATTTTATTTATGGGGTGAACTGTCCTTAACTTTAAAGGGACTAAGCCAAGAAAATGAATGAATGAATTCTTAACTTTGCAGGGAAAAATTCATCTCTAGTTTTTGGGGTTATTCATGGTCTGACAAAAGTAATTAATTCTGAATTTGAATTTTAATATTCAGTGGTTGAACTGTGAGGGAAATAATGGTACATCATTATACCTAGTTAAAAAAAAGAAACATGTTACTGATTCTTTACAGTTTATTGGTTGAACCCATATTCACTAATAACAGTGTAATAGGGCTATTATATATTGTATAACATTGAATGAGAAATACCACATCTACATGTTCCATGGTGTCATTATCACCTCACATATTTACTCCTGTGGCCCCATAGGATAGTAAAGTCCATTGAATTCACTTAATTTGCTTAATTATACATTTTTGTCCAATAAAAAGTATATATAGTACAAATGTGAGAATCATGAATATAATCTTTATGTACTACATTCGCCATGTTGTCATTTTATAAGCATCAGTTTTGCATATCGCACACACCTGCAAGTACAAAGTCTGATAAATATCTTTAAAATGTATGCTGTAGTAACATTCAAAATGATATACACCTTATATTATCATATTATCAGCAATGTCCAAATGGAAATGTCCAATACATGTATTGCAGATGAGAAAACGCACTGATAAATATCTAAAAGATGTAAAGACAAACATCAAATAGACGTCTCCAAGATTGAATGAGCGTTATCAGTGGTTATCAGCAGATAGATATGTTATATGATAGATATGCGCCTACTAGTAGGCTCATAAGGCTGTTATCATTAATCCAAATTGTAAATCAGCTATAAATTATATACAGCTATGGCTGTAAATGAACGAGAATTATTTCGATTATTATTTTTTTTTCCATTAATTGTAGTTTAGTAACGTTTACCCCTACCCCAACCCTAAACCCAGCCATCACAGTACTGTAAAAGCAGATGTGGATCTGAAGTCATCTTTATCAGTATAACCGATTAACCATGATAATTATATTAAATATTACATTTTCCATTAATTGTATTTTATTAACGTCTACCCCAACCCTAAACCCAACCGCCACTAATATAAAAACAGATTTGGGTGTGGAGTCTTCTTTGTTAGTATAGCTAATTAACCATGTGGATGTATGATAACAGCCTTCTGAGACTAACAGGAAGTTGCAGAAGGCCCTTACTGACCCATATCTATCAGCCGATAACCACTCATAATGCCCATTCAATCGAGTGATAACATTTGAATCGGGTATCTCTCTGGGGTGCTTTAATACCGTTCACAAATCCTCTCTTGTGGCCTCGTGTGATAGTAAAGTGTCCATTGAATGCCCACTTCATAATCTCACTAAAAGAAATAGGACAGATCGTTCCTTTTTATAGTACTAGCAAATGCTCTGAGAAAATTACTGAAGTAGCAACAGTGAAAGTAATGAAAATTCAAACTTGCTCATCGTCACTTTAAAGAAATGACTATTAATATTTAAGAAGTTTACAACCTTGGATGCAGTCTTAGTCTTTACACAATAAGCATGTAAGAGTGATTGATTTGTGTATTTTACAGTTATTATTGCATGAATTGTGGCCAACCCCATTACATTAATGGACATTTAATCTTATAAACAACTTTTAACTCTGCTAGGATGATTAAAGAGCCCATATTATACATGAAATAGGGTCATATCCTGGTTGTAAGAGTCTCCAACAACAGTCTAATATGCATGCAAGGTCAAAAAACACTTTCATGGTCTTATAATCTGCATTTATTTTTACCTAATTATCCCAGCGACTCCTGTATGAATCGTCCAGTGATTCATTTGTTCCCAAACCCCTCCTTAGCGCGGAGCTAATCTGCGCTGATTGGACCGATGACAGTCTGTCGCGATTGGTCGACTGCCTTCAGTCAGAGAGGGAAATGGCCAATAGCTAATCAGCAATTTAAAAAGTAATCACAGTTCATACACGCTCGATAGTGTATGCGTGGATTTTAGCTGCCACACTATGGCGAGTGGATAGTGCTACGGATAACCGAACGAAGGAGACAGTCGTGTACTCGCCATACCACACACACACAAAAACACACACACACCTCCGGATGACAACGCTCCCGCTTCCGCCCGCACCCGCCAGGTTTTAGCCTGAGAACCCGCTCCGTTTTCTGCCCGCCGCGCCCGGTCCCGCTAGAGCGGAGAACACAACCAAAAATCACCCAGTATACAGTCCAGACAGCCAAGCTGTCTGTATAAACACATACACACAGCTCGTTCGTTCGTTCGCTCTCTCTCTCTCTCTCTCTCTCTCTCTCTCTCTCTCTCTCGCTCTCTCTCGCTCTCTCTCATACGCTCTCTCATACCAAGCAGACTCTCTCTTTCTAATTCACATAGCAATATCCGTGATATTGCTAGACAGCCCGCTCCCGTCCCAAATTAAACCCGTTACCGACCGCTCCAGCGATTTATTCGGAAATTTATTCCCGCGGCTGTCCCCGCGCCAGATTTCTGCGGCGCGGGAATAAATTTCCGAATAAATCGCGGGAGCAGAACTCTAGCACGGAGCTCCATAAACAAACAGCACGCGTCGCGTTTTTAACGTGACTTTGCACGCGATAAGATAATATATCCAGTTAACCTGATACAGTACACGCGGTTACAAGTAACAAATCACAACTAAATACATTTGCAAGCTAGAGTAAACGAGGCAACAACTTTAACCGCACGTACTTACACTTGAGAAATGGAAGAAACCCATCCTGACGTCCATCAGTTACTCTTTACTGATCCTTCCTTTAACAAACTCAGATGAAGTATTCTTTGTAGCATGTAGCTTCCAGAAGTTTCCAACTGCTTGGTTATAATGCTGAGGTTTCATCTTTGGGTAGAGACTCAATATATCCATCTGCAGTGTGACTTCAATCAACCGGCATGTTTGTGTGTGTGTGTTTGTGGGTGTGTGTATGTGTGTGTCTGGGTTTCTGCGTCAGAGGGCGGGGCCTCAGGTTTGAAATCTCCCGGGTTTGCGCGTGCACGTGAATAACTTGGTTTCGTTCGTACGTCATGGCGAAACACCTAATGAATCGTGATCAAGGCGACTCGTTTGAAGCACTATGAGTCGACTCTTTTATAGATGAATCAACAGTTTTAAACACTGTACACTAACAGATTTAAGCCTTAGCTGGATACTTCACTTCACTTAGAGCTGTGTTACACACTACATGGAGGGGAATTTTCAAAAACCCATAATATGGGCTCTTTAAATCTAGAAGAACTATTAAATTGCTCTAAATGATTTGAAACCTCATTCTACCACCCAAATGGCCTTTACAAATCTTTAAGTAATATTTAATAACAGCATGATTGCTACTCATTCCATAATGATCAGAAGCTTTTTTGTTGGTCTGATTTGATTTGAGAAGTCTGATTTGATTTTATTGTCAGGCATATTCATAGTTAATGAGATCTGAAGTAAAGGTGACAGCAATGTCTAACGCTCTACTTTAGAGGATTAAATATTGATTAAAAACGAGCAGTCAGCTGAGGTGTGAATTAAAGAAGGGAATCTGGTGGCAGTAATGAAAAGAGAATGACATGACTTTCTGGGTCATTGTAGGTTAAGCCTACTGGTGAATCAATTAAACATTGCATGTGAATGTTTAATGGTGACCAGATAATTGTGTCTAATCGTCATCAGAACACTCCCCGCTTAAACCTCTAATGTCAACAGGGTAAAGGACATTTTAATTATTAACAGTATGAGGCCCCTAAACTTTCAGCAAAGAATCTAATCTGAGCCGCTCCTTGGTTAGTTCGTTCCTTTTAAATAATCCACTAAGACGATACTAAGTCACTCTTGTTCAATTTGTTGATTTGTTCAAGCCTAAACTTCTTTTGAAGACAAAAACATAGATTAGGTGTTTAATAGTCAGACAAAATGAACCCTTTAATCAGCTTTTTATAAAGTGACATCTAAAAAGAGCTTGTTGTTCAACATTTACTTCACATAGAGTATATTAGCATTTTACACAATATAATTATGAACAGGAATGGGAAGATTGTTTTATCTGATGTCAAAAAAGAGCATATACCTCATTGTTAAAATGGATCAATACTGGACATATTTATTTAGATGCTGCATTGACATTTGTACTGATAAGTCTGTTTGTAGATCAGTGGTGGTAGTAAAAAAGTTATATATCATAATTACATTGATTATCAGATTTAAGTGTAATGGACATTGAATATTATTTTTATTTTTATTTAACTTTTAAAAGGGTTAGTTCACCCAAAAATGATTTTTACTTGAACATTTACTCTCTATTTACTCACCCTCGTATAGCTTCAAATTGTTATATATATAGTTTCTTTTTTCTATTGAAAACAAATAAAGATATTTTGAAGAAAGCTGAAAGCCTGTAACCACTGACTTCCACAGTAGGATAAACAAACACCATGAAAGCCAGTGGTTACAGGTTTCCAACTTTCTTCAAAATACTCTCTTTCGTGTTTAACACAAGAAAGAAAGTCAAATAAACAATAAAAGGGAGACTAGGCCAAAATGATGACAGAATATTTAATTTTTGAGTGAACTATAATGCTACAACAATTTAACAACACAAATGTACACTATAAATAAACTGCTGGTATGCAAAGTAGACCTTATATGCATAAACAAGCATGAATTAATTCAATTACAACAATAGGCAAACACAAATTTAGAAAAAAAAACAACTGGTAATGACAATTGTACTTGACGTTAAAACTAAAAAATAAGTTAATTATAATAAAATAAAGAAATAAATAATAAAAGTTTATACAATATAAATTTTCAAAGGGCAGTGAAGGGGCTATAGGGTACAAACTTCGCTGAAAAAAGTCGCTACTTTAGTAGCTTTATCATTTAACAAAGTACTAAGTAATAAATCCATTAATATAATATTATAAAGCTAAACAGTTTTGGCCCCGCCCCTGGGATGTGATAGGCTCGTCCACGCCCACCTGTAGGACTTTTCCGCGATGAGTCTTCATATATTTGCATAAAAGGGCGGAGCAGTGGGCCGTCCAGCTGTGCCTTGCAGCGCCTGTAGCAGAAGTGCAATAGTGAGCGCTCTGTCTGTCAGTCTGGCGGTAGTTCCGGGTTCTGTCTTCATTTCTGCTTTGGTGTCCTCGTCTTATGTTGTAGGCAGAAAAAAAGTCACTTTCACCCACTTTAGGCAATCATGGCTCTTCTAATGGAGCACCAGTTCCGGCAACTTCCAGCCGACAAACAAGTGGAAACCCGGCCGTTTCTCGAGGCGGTGTCTCACCTTCCTCCTTTCTTCGGTAGGTTGAAGGTTCTTCCGTCATCTCTCGTAGTTTTAGCTCAGATTTGAGGGTGAAGTCTAAGGGCTTCAGGGCATTATTTCGAGCTTTTAAAGTTTTAACTTTTCAGCTTTCAACTTCTTCAAGACGTCAAAAAGTTATTTTAATGTATCTCTTTCAATATGATAAGCAAACATAGCTATTGTGCATCTCTAAGGGTTGTTTTCACTATTCCTCTTTGCTTTACAAAATCACGTCAGAAGGTCGGTTTCAAAATGAATTACGCAAGTGAAAACGTAACATTAAAGTGTATGTATTATTGGCAGTATTTAAGATAGTAAACCAAGTTTAAAGTGATTCTGTTACATAATTATAAACGTGTTGTTACATGCTTCGGTAGTCGGATATTCTTGCTTTTTCTGACATCCAGCTCCTTGATCAGGGGTGAGATTTTCCACTCCTGATCAAGATCTTCAGTGTTCCTCTAAAGTTGTTGGTGAAGTCTTCACAAAGCTGTCAAGCAGAAGCTATTGTTTGTTATTGAGGACTAATCTTTTTTTGGTTCAAATTTCTTTTCACAAAGGCCACAAAGCTATTGCATGCATAATTTAATTCCACTGCCCTCGATTTTGGAAGTTGAGAAAATTGATTGGCTTGGTGTTGAATTGCCCTGGTCTATTCATTGGTGGAACGGAACATCAGAACATCTTTGTTCAAAGCCTCATTTGGTATTAATATGAAAAATGCATTTGAAATCAATTTGCCACTTGAAACGCCAAGCCTGAGGTTTTCACATTAGGTCTCAATATCCCTTTCTGTTTTTTTCTTCAGTCCCTGAAAACAGTATTTTTTATTCTGAAAACTACTGATGCCATTTCGTCCTCATTTAAGATAAAAGTATTTTTTTAACAAGATCAGAAAAATGGAAGAGAGATTTTTTTAGTTTATTCTGAAAACTACTGATGACAAAAAAGTTCTTCATAAAATATAAAAAGTTTCATGATTTGAAAAATATTTAATTTCATTTTTAGACATTACAAACAACTTCAGATGAGTTAATAAATATATATTTTTTGGTAAAATAGCCCTAATTTTCGATGAAAACAAATGAAAGCATTTGCTATTCTATTAAATGAAAAGAAAAAGAAAAGAAAATCTAAAGAAAATTCCAATTTATTTCTCTAAACTTCGTATGCAATGTTATCACAGATTTATAGAATAAACCAAATATTAACACTCACAAACATATCTATTCAATAAATGTAGAAATTTAAACTTTTATTAATAAATAATTCATTAAATTACAAAAAAAAATGTAAATAGGAACATTGCATTCCTTAACATGGAAACATAATTTGATTTTAATACGACTCAGAGCATACTCTGATTAAGAGTCTACCATGTAAACAGCTATTTTTGATTTATTTAGTCTGATTAAGGTCATAATCCAACTAAACAGAAATCGGATTAAGACATGTGGAGTATGCCGATTTTAGTCGCATTATTGAAGTTCAGTAAAGACATGTAAACACCACAATCAAACTATTACCGTCGTGTAGGATTTTCGCCACATTTTACGATAGGATAGTCTATACACACACAACCATTTTATCCCATATGGCATGCGGTATCAAATTCCATTAAAACCACACTCTTCCAGCAGTTCATACTCACATTCAATATCTCGTTTGTGATAAGGGCGTGCATGAAATATTCCTGAATGAAAGTGAAAGAGCCAAACTGCAGTTAAACTCAACAAATTAAAAATGAAACACCCGAAATTACATGACATTAATCCAATTATGTTATCACATGTAAAACGGGATCATGTAAAGAACATTCAAAAAGCAGCTCATGTAAACATCTTAATCATATTATTGTCTCATTCAGATTTTGCCAAATAATTCGATTACTGATGTAAACCTAGTCACTGACAACTTTAGAAGAGGTAATAAATCAATATTTGTTGGAATAATGCTGATTTTTAATGACAACAAATAAAGTATTTACTATTCTAATAAATGGTTTTTTTCTGAAAGAAAAAATCTCAAAATGCCAAATAATTCTCTAAAATTTATACGCAATGTTATCAGAGATTTTTTAGAAGAAACCAAATATAAAGACTCACAAATATATCTTATAAATGCATTAAATCTAGAATCTTCAGGTGGTTTGTGATTTACATATTTATTAAATTACAAAATACTAAATAGGAACATTTTCTCTAGTTATTTCAGACACTTTGAAACTTCAGGCGGTAAAGTCAAGGTTACATCAATCTGATATGAATTAAATCATGCAGGCAAACCTCAGTAGATGAACTTTGTATTGCCGGCTAAGATTAGCAACACAGTTTATGACAGTGTGACCAGGGACACTGGTTGTTGTGGATGTCACTAACTCCCACAGAAAGACAATTAAGCTTCCCAGCCCTTTTAGAGTTCACGCTTTATCACAAAAAGCCCTGTGTGAAGTATACAAACCCCAGAAAGAACAGGAGGGAGGGCTGTGGGTGAAGCTGTTTTTTTTTTTTTTTTCTTTCTAGAATTAAAAGGCATTCATTCAGAGTGTAAAAGCTGGGATGTAAACAGTGTTTGGGCTGTTTTGGTGTCCTCTGTAACCAGAGATGCTCCTTTTGCAAACAGTAGGCTACAAAATGCGGATGACTCAGGTCTTTCCAATGCACTACACTGGTTTGAACTCTACACTGATGGGCATATCACTACTATGTTAGGAAATACAAATTTGATGATGCTCTCATTTGAGGAAAACATGCTGTCTATCACTGTCTGAAACGTTTGCGTGCAAGGATGTCTACTTTTGGACATTTTTCATGTTTTATTTTTTATTTGGTTCGGCAAAATAGCAATGTAGTTCAATTTTAATTGAACAAATCTAAAAATAATTTTCAGGATATCCAGTATCAGCTTGTAAACAATGTCATGTTGCATTACATTTACCTCAGGCAAGTCATTCAGAGTCCAGACAGAGCTCATTAATTCGCAAGAGGAACCATGTCTAGGGAAAAACATTCAACTAAATATTTGCAGTGCATCAGACTAAGACTAGATATAAAATATATTCTCCTAAACCTGTTAGTGATGCGTTCGTTATTTAATGTACATTTATAAATAAATCTGTCATGTGAATAAATGATGTAAGCCACTCTGTAAATTATTATGTCAATGACGAATTAGATAGAAATATATTTTATCATTAGATTTGAAAGCTAATGTAAAAAATGCATACAGTGCAATTTACTTGTTTGTATTATTAATACGAGCCTTGATTACTATTTATAAAAATGAATAAAAAGTATCCTTTAATGTTATAGTTATATGCAAGTAAATAGTGCACCCTATTTAATTTAGAGCATTCACTTTATTTTCAATGATTTGAAGACAGAGCAACAATTTGTTTAGGATTTTTGTTTAGTTATATTTAAAGTTGTGTATACTAGTGTTGTAGCCAAACAGAAATTTCCAACTTTGAAAAAGTTCCATATTCGATACCATTTTCAATTCTGTTGGGAACAATTACAACAACATTAAAGGTAAATAAAGTACAAATGGTAAAAAAGAACTAAACTATAAAATGCTTATACCAAGTACGTCAGCAGTCGAAAAGGCAGTAAATTACAATGAAAATATAGTGAAAAAAATAGTGCAATCTCATCTTATTTTCTGATTAAAACAAAAGTGTTAAAGTCTTAATGTTATATTAATCATTTATCTCCCTGCTGGTGAGAAAAGAGTGAGAGAGCAAAGCCAGTATCAATACTAGCCAAAAGCATGATTGTATCATTTTAAACATTTCAGTATTGATATGTATTGATATATCATATATATATAAATATATTACAATGTTTACCCATCTTAAATTTGACCATACCACCAAACCTGTCTCAAACTTTAAAGGGATAGTTCACCCAAAAATGAAACTCTGTAATCATTTACTCGTCCTAAAACCTGTTTGTAAGTGTATTGTTCATTTTCGGTGGGTGAGTAAAATAATGCTTGAGAGCAAAAAAATATCTGTTTGTAGATGCCAGCTGCATTGCCTTTAACCAATTAGCCTATTGAATACAGAACAATCAGAGAGCATTTCACTGAGGTCACACAGGAGGGCTGAAAACATTTTAAATGTGACTCAATTTCTAGACAACCATAGTGTGTGAATGTAGTGTGATGTTCTTGCCAGGGAAAAATATTGAATCAAAATATGATTTAAGGTGCAGCATGTTAGCTCAGTGGTTAGCACTGTTGCCTCACAGCGAGAAAGTTGCTGGTTCAAGTAAGCATGGGCCGGTATAAGATTGTGTTGATTCAGCTTATTTTAAATAATTAATTTAAACGAGCAAAAAAAACAACAACTTTTTTGAGTGTAACAAGTGGTGTGCAAAATATATTTATTAGTATTATTTTTAGTTATACTTACAACAATTTTTCCGGCGTCCCTCTAATCCCCTTCTGATTCAAAGATCAAGCCAAGTGTCAGGTTTAAGTCTTTTTTTGGATAGCAAGCCGTGTTTGTCGACTGTTATCTTAAATAAGCTGAATCAACACAAATCTACTTCAATTTGTAAAAGCAGTTAACTTAATTGATTTGTGTTGGGACAACAAGAAGGAATTGCGCATTTTTAGTTTATCAAGACTGAAAAAGCTTCCGAAACAAAATTTTGCCCACAAAAACAGTTACAAACAAGATTGGAGCAGAATATTTGTGCGTCTCAGAGCAACGCTAAAATATTTTGTCATGAATGAATCTATTTTTAAATTCTTCAAGTAAGTATGATTTAATAGGCATTTCATAAACATAATCCAATCCATTAGTTTCAAAATGAATTAATGAATCACTCAATAATACAGGAACTTCCTGGCACCTTTTGGTGGTAATAGTGCAATTTATTTATTCATGACAGGCTTAAAGACGCAGGCATGCTTCAGGTGTAATCTTAAGAGGGCATGTAATATTTGGACAATTAGTTTTACTGTATTCATGCCAACATCTCATCCTAAATCCTATTTTAGATAAACCAAAAATAACTAAACTCTAAACTGGTCAGAGCATATACAGTATTTATTGATTGTATGAATTGAAATATCCGTGATTCAGCGTGACTCCATTTCCGCAGGTGTTTATTTCATTATCAGACTGGCAATACATTTGGTCTCAATGTGATAATGGGTGGTACTGAAACTTTAATGAACCGCATGGGTGCTTTCAGAAATCTGTCATGCTCTCTAAGCATGGTTAATTATTCAGAACTCTTTTTTTAATGCGGTAATGTCAGAGTTCACTTTGAGTTCTTGGGATCAGAAGTGGCAATGCATTTACCGTGTATCTGCCACATTCCCCGGTATGTAAAAGAGGATTACCTCACAGCTCTGTGAAAGAATGTGGCCCTCTCACATGCATATAATCTACTTTTCATATGAAAATAGACTGTGTTTCAGCCTTCTCAGAGGACATGGTTATTACATACAAATTGCATACAGTAAGTGTTAATGAGGTTTGAATGCATGCAACATTGCACATATCACTTGTTTTCCTTATCTTTTCTTAGATTGCCTCGGCTCTGCTGTATTTTCCCCTATCAAGGCCGATATTGCAGGAAACATAACTGTAAGTAATAAACACTTGATAAGCATCAAACAATCTAACTTTTACAACCTGATCTCCACCCACTTTTGTGCTTTGTTTTACAGAAAATCAAGGCAGTGTATGACAGCAACCCCACCAGGTTTAAAACCCTGCAGCAAATTTTGGAAGCAGAGAAAGAGATGCATGGAGCGGAGTGGCCAAAAGTAGGAGCAACACTTGCCCTCATGTGGTTAAAAAGGCAAGACTGGCCTTGTATGGTTTTGTTTGCTGATTTTGGAGAAGTAAATCTGGGAAACGGTTATTGATTTCAATAATGGGATTCAAAACTTCCTATATTTTGATCTTAAAAAGAAGACATTAATTCACAAGCTTTTATGCAGCATTGTTGGGAAACCAGTTTAATTCTTTTAAACTTCTGCATTTGTCCTCTACAAAATGTGAATGCTCAGATCAAGAATTTTGTGCAGTTATTGTGTTTAGAGAAATCGCACGTATAGTATTCTGGCTACACAGAGAAACATGTTAGTCCATGACCAGGTCATGCTGCAAGAAGTGAATCTAAAAGTGAATCTCTTATACACTGTTTCGGCCAATTAAGACATTTTAAACTTTTTTTTTAACATTTGGCATTAGTTGTGATGGTGCAGGGTGATTTTGTGCTCTCTTACTTTGACTTTGTGGGGCATAATTGTTCATTTTGGTCATTTTTTTTGCCTTACACCCCATTAAAATGATTACATGGATTGAAGTGAAAAGAAATCTTCTGACAAAATTTTCTTCAGTCCTTTAATCAACACTATATTTAAATAGCTGAGACCAATATAATTTAAAAAAGAGATGTTTTGAAGCAGGCGATGCAGTGGTACAGTTGGTTGTGCTGTCGCCTCACAGCAAGAAGGTCGCTGGTTTGAGCCTCGGCTGGGTCAGTTGGCGTTTCTTTGTGAAGTTTGCGTGTTCTCTCTGCGTTCGCGTGAGTTTCCTCCAGGTGCTCCAGTGTCCCCCACAGTCCAAAGACATGCGGTACTGGTGAAACGGGTAGGCTAAATTGTCCGTAGTGTATGAGTGTAAATAAGTGTGTGTTTCCCAGAGGTTGGTTGCGGCTGGAAGGGCATCCGCTGCGTAAAAAACTTGCTGGATAAGTTGGCAGTTCATTCCGCTGTGGCGACCCCGGATTAATAAAGGGACTAAGCCTAAAAGAAACTGAGTGAATGAATGAATGAATGTTTTGAAGCACTTTAATATTGCCATTTTGTGTATATAAAAGCATTTGTTAAACAAGCAGTCTATGTTAAATTAGCAAATATCTAAAATAAAAAAAATGGTTTTATAATAATTTTCTTGTGGATGTCACTTTTAATGGACAGGACAGTAAAGAGTTGACAGAAAAGTGTGGGGAGCAGAGAGAGGAGAAGGATCGGCATAGAATAGTTGTTACAAAGGACAAATCAAAAAAATGATGTAATTAATAGTAGTAATTCATTACAGATTCATGAGTAATTAATAACATAATTTCTTTTTTAGGTAAATATTTAGTTCACCTAAAAGTGAAAAATCTGTTTTTTTAAATTACTCATTCTCATGTCGTTCCAAAACCCTGAGACCTTTGTTCATCTTCAGAACACAAATGAAGATATTTTAGAAGAAATCTGAGAGTTCCCTCATCGTCTGTAGACTGCAACGATCATGAGACATTCAAAGCCTAGAAAAGTAACCAAAAATATAGTCAAAACATTTTATGTGACTACAGTGGTTCTATTGTTACCACATGAAGCTTTAAAAAACACTTTTGTAAATATGACATTGCCTATATCTTCTCTTCTATTACGGTCAATACGAGGCATTTGCCATTAGAGTGTGCAGCGGCGCATACAAGCATAGAATTGGCCATAGTAAACATGCAACATAACTTGATGTTTTTACAGTTTTTTTTGGCATACAAAAGTGTTCTTGGAGCTTTGTATGATTACAGCTGAACCACTGAAGTCTCATGGAATGTTTCAACAATGTTTTTGATTAATTTTCTTAAACCATGTAATGACTGTTACTCTAAATGGAAATCTCTTGGATTTCATCTAAAATTCCTTAATTTGCATTCTGAAGATAAACAAATGTGTCAGAGCACTGAAACTACACAAAGGTGATTATTTATTAGCAGATTTGTCATTTTTGGATGACCTATGATTCTTTAATTTTTTCTCCTGGTTCTCACATGTTTAATGTCATCAGATTAAGTCTGATGAGGAACTTTTTGAGGAACTAAAATAGACTGCTCAATAGCCCAGCTAAAAGCAGACCAGCTAAAGTCCTGCGCAGAGCGCGTCAGTTGTGCGCCTTGCTTCCACATTGCTTAATACACACAGGATGTACAACAACACAAAAATATTTTTATGAATGAAAAAGAATTAAAGTTCCAATGATTATTATTGCAGAACAATAATGTTACAAAATGTTTTTCAGTATATTCAAGATAACCTGCTTTTGTATAATGTAATTATTATTAGTATTATTTATTATATGCATATTTATATTTGTTTTATTAAAAACAAGCTTAGATTTGTCCACCTGTCAGGTTTTGAACCATATGGGGCATAGGACATGTCTTAGGATATAACTGTTGTTTTTTTACCACACTTCGTTATTACTGTTCATTTATTCATTTGCTGGAAATTAGAACTGAATTTAGAAATAGTTTTGAAACAAATCTTTGCACTTAACAAACAAAATTATTTATGTAGGCTAATGGATGTCCTCAGTGAAAAGGGTACAACACCTTTTCCTTATCCACGAAAGAGAGAAAGTGAAAGTCAAGGCCAAATGGAGGAGGCTCATCATCCTCTTGCTGCAGATGCTGTTTAACTGTTTTTTAAACTGTTTTGAAGTGTTTAGTGTTTCCACTTACAAAGTCCGCCATGTGAATAGCAAATGCACCATGGCGCGACTTAACTGACTCTAAAAGGGAATGGGAGTTGAGACTCTGATTGGTTTATTCTTAAAACACACCTAAAACTCATTAGGAGAACAAGCTCAATCCTGTTAGACCATGTGCTGCGGCGCAGAATGTATTTTCCCGTCCTTACATTAGCAAAAGTATCTTCGGACACGTCCCTTAATACTTTTGCACCATGTGCTTCAGACTTTGCACCTAGACCGTTAAAATAGAGCCCTTAGAATGCTTATTATTAATATTCCTTATATATAAAATTGGAGCATCTCTTGATCTTTAGGTAAACTAACCTAACCCTTTAGAAAAGCTGTTTACATTGTGTTTTTCTTTTAGGGGGCTGCGCTTTATCCAGGTTCTTCTCCAAAGTCTAGTAGATGGTGATAAAGATGATAACAACCCAAACCTCATCAAGGTCAACGTCACTAAAGCTTATGAGATGGCTTTAAAGAAGTATCATGGCTGGATTGTCCAGAAGCTATTTCAGGTAGGTTTCTAAAAAAAATTAAATGAATTAGGATGTTGAAATTAAATGATATGAATGAATACATTAAAACAAACATCTAAAAGTTTGAAGTCAGTAAGACTTTATGCTTTTGAAAAGAAGTTTCTTATGCTCACAATTTAAAAGCAGCAAAAATGGTAATATTGTAAAATACTATTATAATTCGGGCGGGGCAATGAGTAGCTATGTCGCCTCATTTGCAAGAAAGTCGCCGGTTCGAGCCTTGGTTGGGTCAGTTGGCGTTTCTGTGTGGAGTTTGCATGTACTCCCTGTGTTTGCGTGGGTTTCTTCCGGGTGCTCCAGTTTCACCCACAAGTTCAAAGACTTGCGCTATAGGTGAATTGGGTACTCTGTCCATAGTGTATGTGTGGGAATGAGAGTGTATGGGTGTTTCCCAGTTATGGGTTGCAGCAGGAAGGGCATTCACTGCATAATACATATGCTGGATAAGTTGGCGGTTAATTCCACTGTGGCGACCCTAAATTAATAAAAGGGCTAATCCAAAAAGAAAATGAATGAATGAATTAATGAATAAATGAATATTGCCTCAGAATATTGCTGTTCTGTGATTAAATTGTGAGTATATGTGATTTATTATTTGAAAATACACTGAAAAAATCTATACTAGTATTATATATTATAAAACGATATTAAATAGTTATTTTAATTTTAATATCATCTCCATTTTTTAAAAGAGTGTACTGTAGACAACAAGTCTGTCATGATATAATGTAATATTGTTAATGGCTGAAAAATCCTATTGAGCTTTTCGCTGTATTCATTCCCTTCAGGCTGCGCTATATGCCGCTCCATACAGATCTGATTTTCTCAGAGCTCTTTCTAAAGGCCGAGAGGTCAAGGACGAAGAATGTTTGGACAAAGTGCGGCAGTTCCTAGTAAATTTCACAGCTACTAATGACGCCATCTATGAAATGTACACCAAGATGAATGCAGATCTAGACTATAAAGTGTGAACTCTCATTGACAAAACAAGCAAACTTCAGACCTCATCTGCTGTCCTCCCGGTGGATCTCTGTTGCCTCCCTTCAGACGTCTGCTCACTGGACCGCTCTCTTCTCCTACTGGATCTTGCTTCTATCTTTTGTTTTCTCCTGGGGGACAATTAGGGTCCAAGCTGCTGAAGACGGTTTCAGAAGGGAAGGCTGTCTGTTATTGTTTGTTCTCCTCACCATTTCAGTGCTTATGCGTTTGTTTTTTTAAAAAGTAGTATTCTTTTTCTTTTCCTTTAGTTTTTTGAGTGTTTTATAACTTTAACTACTGATCATTTCTGCTCGATTCTTAAAACATGTGCACTTTAAGTGTGTGTATGGAACAGTGTTGGGAACATGAGCTAAATCAACACAATTCTTGAGTTTTTTAGGGGGACAACTTCATTGTTTTATGTTCAATCCACTTAAATGTGTAAAAACAATTAAGTTAACGTAATCGTTTGGGACAACATGAAGGAATTGTGTGGAACCCTGCATTTTATTACAATGTATTTTAATGAAAGAAAATGCAAACACACACTCAATAAAATGAAGTTTGCTGTTTGTTTAAGGCAGCACGGTGGCTCAGTGGTTAGCACTGTTGCCTCACAGCAAGAAAGTCACTGATTCGAGTCCATTTGGCATTTTTATGTGGAGTTTGCATATTCTCCCTGTGTTGGCATGGGTTTCATCTGGGTGCTCCGGTGTTCTGACAATTTTCCCACCTTGTCAGATTGTGCTATTTATTTGCTATCAGTGTACATTTTAAGGTGGAGTAGTTTGATATGAAGCTATAATATTGCCTTAACCTACCTAACCCCTAACCTCAACCTCAGAACCATTCAAATAACGTGTTGGTAGCATAATCTGATGGGTAAGATAAAATGTCACAACATTGGTTTCCCCCCCAGTCCAAAGACATGCGCCATAAGTAAATTGGAACTACTGTAAATTGCCCTTAGTGTATGAGAGTGTGTGTGAATGTGAGAGTGAGTATAGGTGTTTCCCAGTACTGGGTTGCAGTTGGAAGGAAATCCTATGTGTAAAACATATACTGGAATAGTTGGTGGTTCATTTCGCTGTGGCGACCCCTGATAAATAATGGACTAAGCTGAAGGAAAATAAATGAATGAATGCTTGTTCAAACTACTTATTTAAAATAAGCTGAAACAGCACACTTCTTGAGTTCATTTTAGGAGAACTTAATTGCTTTATGTTCAATCTACTTAAATTTGCAATAAAATAAGTTAAATTAACTTAATGTCTTTAAATTGATTGTGTGGAACCCAGCACTTTCACATTACTTTTGCCTAAAAGTAACTACACAAGATACACATTTAGTTCCTTTTTTAAAGTGACTCAATATTATGTTACTTGTATTACTTTTAAAATGAACTTTACCCACTGGTTTACAGAGGTATGAAAGGGATGTGTATGGGTGCTTTAAGCAAACAAGTAGAGTTTGAAAATGAGGCGTTTAATTATACTTACTTACCAAAATAAGAATCTACAGATTCTCCCACCATAACCAAATATCTGACTTTGTTCTGTTGTTTGAATGTTTTAATTTTGAATTCTGTTTTATGAGGAAAAAATACTTGAATTTGAGAAAATATTGTGAAAACAGTGACACTGAAGCCATGTTACACTGTAAAAATATCCACATTTTCCGTGCTTTGTAATTCACAAGTGTTTATTTTTAGTTTATTTAAGTGTTCATTTATTTACTATTGTGAGTTGCATTATGGGACCTTGATCTCTGCTCTGTCGACTGTTGACTGTCGACATTTTGGTTTGAAATAATAAGAACTAATATATAGAGAAATGAGTCTGTAAAATAACAAAAAATGTACTGGCAGTTTATTAAAAGGTTTCTGTACCACAATATATAACACCAACCCAGACAATATATCACTTTAAAATGTTAATAAAAGTCACTTTTTCAAATTTTTCAACGTTAAACGTTGCTAGAGAAAAGATCAAGATCCCATAATGCTATTCAAAAGTATAAATAAACAGGGAAAAATACAACATTATTGACAAAATATGGAAAACTGCTCATTTACAGATGAAACGTAATCTACAAGAATGTCTTAGAAAACAAATCTACTAAACATTCTATTACAGTATGATGACAGAGATGACTAAAAATCTTCTAATTTGGTGTTTTTTGGTTTTTAATTTGTCAAATGATCAAAAGTGCAGTAATGAAATGGATTTTAGAACATAATTAGGTGAGGTTTTTGTAAATGAATAGTTCTATTTTCCAGTTGCCTGACTTTTTTTAAAAACTCAGTAAACACACCCCAAACAACATTTCTGTTTTGTTGCTGTGCACTGGAGAGGTTATTTCATGCGTTTATTTTTTTTTTCTCTTGTCGTGAACTGACTTTATGTCAACTTAATTTATTCTGAAATGAATGATTTTGGTCATGAGTAAATATCTCACTGGCACAGAGGACAAAACGGAAGCACTCCATCATGATGTGGACTCGTGTGACTGATGCATTCTGGTGCTGTTTTGCTCCTCTACTGTAATTTATTATCTTAAAGTGTCTTAATTGATCACAGTTATAAATAGTCTCTTTTAAATCTTATTAAAGTATGTCCTTGCTTAAGTTGTTTTGTTGTGTTCTTTTTTGTGGCTGTGCTAAAAAGTTTAACCGCGATCAAACTGTTGTGTAACAAGTACATAAAATAACCACTAATTATCTGTTTTTTAAATCGGTTAAGTTTGTGATCTGACCTGCTAACCATACGTTTTTTTTTTTGATGACAAACATCAAGTAAGTTGAAGCAGTTCTGTGATCAGTCTAATTAAGTTTCTTGAAAATTGTGATGTGACAATTAATTTTTAATCAATCAATTTTATATTATAAAGGTCATACATTTTTTTTATTCATTCTTTATTTTTATAATGTCAATAGGACCCTGACAACAGAGTATGGATCCAAATGCAGGTTTATTAAACGGAGATGGTCAGGCAAGCAATGATCAACACGGGCAAACAGATGTACACAGGAAATCCAGAGTCATAGTCAAATATCAGGCGAGTGGTCAGAAGGCAGGCAGCAGTAAACAATAAGGCAAGGCTATACAAGGCAAGGCAATGAAAGGAAAGGAAAAGACGTCATAATGTTCACAATACTGTTTAGACTCTGATGCGCGTGTTTGTGTACTGTAAAAATAGTCCTGGTAATCAGTTCATGTCAGTGTGTGTAATCCACTGAATGAGGAACAGGTGCATGTGAGCAGTGCATGATTGGAACTTGTAGTCCATGTAATGGCTAATTTGTAGTCAGTTAGCGATCTGCAGCCCTTAGATCGCTGATAATCATAACAATTTTTTACCAGGATAATCCTACCATATACAAGGATACTCTTCTTCCAGGTAATCTTGGCCAAAATGGCCGAAAAAACAAACAAACAACAAAAGGTTTTATTTTTATTTTATTTAAAAAATAATATACGTTGAAGTCAGAATTATTAGCCCCCTTCGATTTTTTTCTTCTTTTTTAAATATTTTCCAAAAGATATTTAACAGAGCAAGGACATTTTCACAGTATGTCTGATAATATTTTTTCTTCTGGAGAAAGTCTTATTTGTTTTTTTTCGGCTAGAATAAAAGCAGTTTTGGATTTTTTTATGTACCATTTCAGGGACAAAATTATTAGCCCTTTTAAGCTATATTTTTTTCTCGATAATCTACAGAACAAACCACAGTTATACAATAACTTGCCTAATTCCCTTAACTTGCCTAGTTAACTTAATTAACCTAGTTAAGCCTTTAAATGTCACTTTAAGCTGTATAGAAGTGTCTCAAAAATATCTAGTAAAATATTATATACAGTCATCATGGTAAAGAAAAAATAAATCAGTTATTAGAAATGAGTTAATAAAATTATTATGTTAAGAAATGTGTTGAAATAATCTTCTCTTAAACAGAAATTGGGGAAAAAATAAACAAGCGGTCTAATGATTAAGGGGGGCTAATAATTCTGACTTCAACTGTATATACAACAATGAAAATAATAAAAAATAAATAAATCGTGTAAGATTACCCCCCAGAATCAGCAGTTTCTAATTGTAAGTTAGCATTGTTTCTAGTGTTGTTGATGTCATATTTAGGAGGGCTTTTATTTCATATATTGAGATTGCACATTTTAAAAAAGTCTTAGAGAGAAATAATGAAATGTACATTAATATTGCAGTTGTTATGACATATCTTTGCTTAAAATATGGGCAATTAGATATATACATTTTCCATATGTCCTAGAATAATGTTACTGTTCAGACAAATCTCTGGTATTTGAGTTTTTCCTTGTCATTATTTGTTATTTAATTATTAAATAAATATGAAAATAAAATAATAAAAAATATAATAAAATAATAGTTAAAATATTACATAAGTATTGCTATATTATTATAATACATGTATAATAATGATACCAAATGCATCTAATACATTCCATAAAAGTTTATAAAAGAGCAAACTTACACCTGTTTTATTCTTTGCAATAGTATGCAAATTTGGGCATAACTAAATTAGCAAATGTTGTTTTTTTATTTCCTACATGCAATATCATTCGAAACATGCGAAACTTAAATATTCTGCATTTCTATTGTCTTTCTTTCTCCCTATAATAACTTTAGAGTAAAATAAATATTAGGAGTGCGCCATTTTTTCAGGTGAACACCAGAGGGCGCCGTTTCCAATATTTCACTGCCCGTAGACGCGCTACAAAGCATTGAGATTTCAGGTAAATTAGCCAAACCGGTTTTACCTGTTATGATACTTGTATTATTTTTCACAATACATGTAGTTGCGTGTTTGTCTAAATATTATAAAACAATGTTATATTACCTAAACTTTATGGCACGCACGACTACATTTCCGTTAACTTTTACTCACTTTAAAAGCACAGCAAAAACATTTAACACTTTAGCGCGTTAGGATAACATATTACGCTAGAAGTTTTTTGTTATAGAGCCAATTTTAAGATGTTCCCAAGCGTTAAAATGAGAAAAGCGTATATATTTAGTTATAACTTTGGTTTGTTTACACGACAGAAGCACGAAGGTTGACTAGTTAGCCTAAGGCTTCTGAAGAATAGCAAGTCAGACGGGGGATGTATTGTTATTTGGCTACTACAAGTCTTCAAATGTAAAACCCGAGCTCAGCCTCTGTCTAAATGAATTGGTAGTCCAGTCCACACCCATACTGCTCCTTTCTCCAGGTCTACGTTCTGTGGGCGGTGTGGAAATCTAAACTCCGCTGCTGCAGTCGCTCTGTCTGTCTGTCTGTTCACACGCTCTATTTGAAAGATGAAGACTTTTACAAAGTTTCCTGAAAAAGCTGTACGGATACCACCTGAACTATGAGTGTGCTAATCCGACTTCGTAAACGGAGTAACTAATACTCATTCTACGAGAAAGAATAAACGTCTAACAGGAATTGTGTCTGTATTGGTAAGTCATTTTTCCAATGGGGTTTCAATGTTGAACGAGTAAAAGCTTTAAAATCCAAGTAGAACAGTTTAAACAGTAGAAGAAAAAGTTTTTTTTCACGTCAAACCATTCCTTCTGAACATTTGTTTGTGTTACAGTAGCTACTTATTTTGCAAACATTTCGCCAAGGGGTGTATTGTTGACATTTTAGCATTTCACCCTCATTACCCTTCATACTTGTAATTTACACTATGAAGGCACAAACGCCACTGTGAATAAAGGGCATTTTTTTCATTGAAACCCCTTCTTTTAATTCCTCTGTCATCATCAAGACAATCTTTGCTATTAGGCCTATATTGAGGTAAAGTTATGTATTTTGGAACAGTGACAACTTGTGGTTTACTGTTCTTAATTCGGTTCGAAGAGCATGTAAGTTTGACTTAAAAACTGTAATTAGCACCATTTAATTAATTGTCAGTGGTTGGCTGCTGATTTACGTATTTAGAATTTGCAACTAATACTTTTCTGAAATTATAGGGTATCATTTTAGGAAAGTTACGAATGTAAAACCAACTTAACTAAATGAAAGCCACTGATGTTATCAAAGTTACAAAATGAACCTGTATCTATAAAATAATAATAAATTCACTAATTGAGAACTCAATTGTGATCATTTTATTGAATCAAAACCTTTGGTACTATTATTGGCACTGATCTTGGTAAAGCAATCCAAAGTCAATATATGACATTTTTATTATTATAAATGATTTTGGTCACATATAGTTATGGCTAATGCACAGTGGGTTAAAAAACTCCTGAATGTCCTCTTGCAACTGTACATGATTATTTCCAAATCTCAGTGTTGTCTTTATCAATTAATCCTGGTTTGGTTTTACACGCACAGATATGTCGATCAAGCTTATGTATTAGCTTCTTATCAAAGTTTCATTTATTTATTTATTTTTAATATTTTGTTTTATTTGACATTGATAAGATATTCAACAAAATAGTACATTACCAATAAAAGAAGAATAAATAGTACAGAAAAATTGACAATGATTACTACAAATAGTTATATATTTAGTCCGATTGGTTCATAGCCGTTATTCTGCCAGTAACAGCACTAGTACCGAACGGCTCTTCACCCTTCTCTCTTGTGTTTTACTCCACCTACGTAAAGCAACAAGCAGAGGACACTTTACAGTTTGACAAATATTGCTGCTGTTGGACAACATAATGTACTTTTGAGGCTTTTTAGTCAAGAATGTAGTTGTTTAGATTGCAACTATGCAGTTTATTTATAAGGATAGTGCCTATTTTAAAATATTTATAATTTCTGAGAGACACCGCATCGTGCTGTCATACTGAGCAAAGATGATAGATGTTGTTCATCCACAAGAAGACGACAGAGACCACATAACAAGCCCTTAAAGGAGAAAAAATACAGTGTAATTTTAAACTACAGCTGATCAAATTATTATTAAACAGGTAAATTATATTCTATGTTGATTTTTCTGTTTTGTACGTTGTAGTGCTGTATTTATACCATCTAACTGTAGTGAAATGAGAGTGAGATGGGACTCGCATATCAGGAATATGTGTTGGCAGAAAGAAAGAAGAAATGTCTGCATGTATTTAGCGCTTTTCCTTATCGCAAACACAACAGCAATCTGGCAGTGATTGCGCTGCTTATTTCAGGGTTAATTATTGTGACATCCTGATTGCAACAGAGAAATACTGTAGACTGTAATAAACTGTAATACTGTAGGGAGATATCTCTGTAGATTGATGGCATTTCATGTCACATTCAGCCTTATAGTCTAAAATTGTGAGCAAAATCACTTGTTTTGTCATCACTTTAGACTTTATGCTGGAGAATCGTTCAAATACTAGCTATAAAGAGAAGTTTGTGAATTAGTGCCGGCTTCTGCTATTCTGACGTCAGCTGCAGATGTGAATGAATGGTGGAAGAAAGTAGTTCCTAATAAAAAAAGGTTTTTAGACTCTCTGTGTTTAATTTTTTTTTTATATACACAATTATGCCATCGTTGTATAAACGCAATATCACACTCATCACAGTGCGATATGGCTGTATAGTATCAATGGTGGGATGCCAAGGCACGCTAACGCATGCCTCCCACCAGTGCCGATATACAGCCACATCGCACGTCTTCGAGTGTGACATAGCTTAAATACATACTGTATACACACAACATATGTTCAACTTATAAACAAGAGATGACAATACTCTCATTTTTACAAAGCCAGTGTCATGAATATATAGCTTAGAAATTAAGGATGAAGATATACAAACTTAAAATGCTAAATTCCCAAGAGTCTTAAAAAAAGTCCCCATGTGGTTTCGGCTTTTTTTTTCTGTAAAGTTTTAAGATGTAGTTGTTCCATTTGAATGATATAAAGCAACTCATTCAGCCATCTCTAATAATGGGAAGCCTTTGAAGATTTTCATTTAAGTAAAATCATCTTTTTAGCTGTAATCATGCCAAACATCAGGGCTTGCTGTTGGGTTAATGGAAAGGTGTCCATTATATTATTAGAATATGCAAAAATAGCCATGTAGTCAGGTTGGATATTGGTTCCATAAACACTGAAAAACAATAAAAAAAAAATTGGACCACAACTCATAAAGAACAGGACAAAACCAAAATAAATGTGGCAAAGTCCCTTATGCCCCACCACACATTTAGGATATAAATAGGGAAATACTTTACCCATACCTGCCAACACTCCCATTTTTCCTGGGAGTCTCCTGTATTTAAGACCTGCCACCCTCCCGTTTTGTTGTTTCTCCCGGAAAACTCCAGTAATCTCACCCCTGGATCGCCGAGTTTGGTATAGTATAGTTACCTGGCTGTGTTATTCAGACACCTCACCCTTAACATCCCAAATCCCCTTTCCCCTGTCTCCATGATTTTCAGAGACAAATGTTGGCAGGTATGATTTTGAGTAATCTGGTTTTAGAGAAGATGTAAAACTTTCTTTACAAAGTTAAAAGTCTATCAGACCTCACATGAGCTTAGAACTGTTTGGACAGTCCGCAGAACTAGCACTGGACACTCTCTGAATCATCTTCATGTTTTCCCACAACCTCATCTCTAGTGAGATCACAGCTGTTTGGCTCTTTGGAGACCCTGTGACATAAAAAAGGAAGTCCAGATCATCCTCTGGGGCTACAGAGATGGAGTCATTTCCAGCTGTCATTTAATGCTGTTTTTATGTAGATAGGCTTGATATTTTCTCCATCTGTTATATTTCAAGTTGGATCTCCAGGTTACGTGTTCTGATGCACCATCCAATTCCCAAAGCACAGTAAAGATGACCCAGGCCATCGCTCTCCCTTGTTATCGGAGCTTATCAAACCCTTTCCACTGTTCTGCTTTCACTCTCTGCAGTGATAATGGACTGTATTGGAGCCGGGTCAGAGCAGAGGTACTGCTGTAGTCAGTATTTGGACAGTGGAGGATTGTGTGAGATTTTCCACCACCCGCTTAAGCAAACATGAGGGGCAGATGAACTGAAGTGCAGAGAGAAACAGCTCTGGCTTCAGTGCTCTTCCACAAGAAGCATGGAGTTTCATTTATTATATTTTATTTTTGAAGAGGCTACATGTAGTATTCAGAAACGCTTGTTTATCGACACTGGTCATTAGCAAGGTTGTAATGGTTTTGGATTTGTCATTATTTTTAGTTTTTATTTTGTTTTGTCTTTTTGTTTTCAAATTCAGTTAGTTTTAATTAGTTTTTAGAGGTAGACTTACTTGTTTTTATATTTTGAAATTGCTTAGTTTTAGTTTAGTTTTTATAAGTTTTAGTATTAGTTTTAGTTTTCATTTTTTAGTTTTGTTGTTTTTAATAAATTTGAAAGATAAAGATACATTTTTGAAATGTGTTCAGAGAAACCATACCATCTACCCATCCTCAAATTCAAATGCAACAAATAAATAATTTTAAGTGTCTGCTCGGGTCGTATTTAATATTGTCACTGTGTTGCTGTCATGTCCAGTTGTTTTTTTTCCGCAAAAGCAACAGCAAGGACTGACTGGAGGGGGACTGGCTTGATCTGGCCAATGGCTTCTGGATTACAGACTGTGAGGTGCCGTAAACACCTCGCGTATGCGTAAAACTGGCAGTGCGAAGTAAATATATTTATTCTAAATGGCTTATGTATTAAATATATTTACACAAATGAAAACGAAGGATAAATTGTTAGAAATTTTGTTAGAAAAACAGTGAACAGTTAACTAAAAACAGTTTATCTTTGCATAGGTAAAAAAGTGGTTGAAACCGAATAAATGTAAAAAATAAATAAATGAATGTAACAAAAGCATTTACATTGACACATTAATTTAAAAAACAAATAAACAAACAAAAAATATATATGTATAAATATCTTAGTGGTGTGCTGTTATTGGCGTTAACATGTGGCGTTAACGCGAGACTCTTAACGCGCAAAACAAAAAATAGCGATGTTAATCTGTTCTCAAAGTTGAGTTGGGAGCTGGGTCTTTACTATGCAAGCTATGATAACTTTCACCTTGATATTATAGCTCGGATGTATACCTAACAGGTGAGGCGTCTGACAAAATGGTGTCCTTCTGAATCAAATCAGCAGGATGCCTTTCTTTATCTTTTACTTACTTCGAAGACACTACTGACTATGCTTACATGGACATCTGTAATCTAGTTATTTGACAACAATATAATTGAGGTGTTTATGTGAAGTGCTTTCATGTAAGAGTTTCCTGTAATTTTGGGTGACTTTTACTGCAGTTTCCCTTTAACTCATGAACATTTCATGCATGTCCCCGTGACAAACTGGAATATTAGACGCAAATAAGGAGTGTTATGGAGTTAAATAACGCACGTCAAATGGAAAGAAAAAAACATACATTTCGCGTGACAGGTGTGTTTGTGTGTGTGTGCGCGCTTGCGATCCTTTACTGACAGCTGCATGTGTAGATCTTGTAGGAAAATATGGCAAAAAGTCCTACATGACAGTTATAGTTTGATTGCGGTGTTTACTTCAATAATATGCCACTAATATCTGCATACTCTACATGTCTTTATTCCATTTCTGATTAGTTCAGTTTTGACTTTAGTAAGATTGTAAGATTAGTAAGATGTAGATTAAATCCAAGATTACAGTGAGAGTAATATTGATAAAAAAGTTAATCTATGCCCACCTATTATATATATATATATATATATATATATATATATATATATATATATATATATATATATATATATATATATATATATATATATATATATTAATATTATTATATTATTATTTTTATTTATTTATTTATTTTTTACTCTGCCTTTCAAAATCTAGTTTTGTGTTGTCCAGATTGCAGATCAGGCTGAAAAATTGTGCCAAATTTTTTGAGAATTTGACAGCAGTAATTGTAACACAAGCAGAAATGTGTTTGTTATTACTCTTAAACGTCCTCAGATGGACTTCTCCGAGTAATCTGGAATATCTCAAACGTGCCTGAACAGGACCAGTGGTTGCTCTTGTGGTGATGAGCTCACAATCTGAAAAACTGGAACCTGCAAGCTGACATTACTCTCCCAGATTGACCAAATATGAGCTGTCTGCATGTATTTAAAGGAATGCTTTACATACAGCTGTATTCGTGCAATCAAATGCTAACCTTAAATATCATGTAATTTTAATAACATTTTCTATATTTTACTTATTTCAGCTTAAGCAGTTAATAAAATAAGTAATAGGTAACCAGTGATTTGTTAAAGAGTGCACAGCTGTACAGTGGGTGGCATGTTCTCCTCACATAAAAAGGTTGCTGGTTCGAGCCTCGGCTGGGTCAGATGGTGTTTCTGTGTGGAGTTTGCATGTTCTCTCCCCGTGTTGGCGTGGGTTTCCTCCAGGTGCTCCAATTTCCCCCTCAAGTAATTGTCTGCAGTGTGTGTGTGAATGAGTGTGCATGGATGTTTCCCAGTGATGGGTTGCAGTTGGAAGGAAAAAATGAATGGGATTTCTAAAGACTTTAGGCCAGTGGCATCAATCCTGGTGCATTGTGTCTTAATGTGTCAAATTTAAAACTACATCATTTAGACATCTTCAAATTATTTATGGTAGTGTAGGTTAGATTTCAGTTGGTTAGTTAGTTGGTTTAACCTAAGTGGCTATCTTTGTGTCATAGTTCGCAAACTCTCTAGAGTCTAGACTGCATTAAAAAGAATACACTGTATAGAGTTGACGACACAATGATTAGCCTTGCTTTGAAATTGTTATTGATGTTTAACAGACCAAGGAAATGTTTCACAGTATTTATTACATATTTCATCTGGAGAGGGTCTCATTTCTTTTAGTTTGATAGAAATAAAATAATAAATAAATAAAAGTTGTATTCGTCCTCTAAAAAAAATATATAAGCTCGAAAAAGTATTCATACCCCTGGCAAATTCTGACCTTAAGTTACTTTCATTCAATCTGCAAGTTTTGCTTTGTTTTGACCAGGAATGACACAGGCTTCTTCCAATAATTGAATGATGTAAGAGGCATCATTCTGAAAAAAAAAAAGTTCCTAGATTTTATTTACATTTGAACAAATATGTGAACTCAGAATTTGCCTGAAGGGAAATTAATAATTTCAGGCTGTATATTTTCTTTCCTGGCTACAGAACAAATTCAAAGACTTGTCTATTTAACCTAAAACATTTTTTTAAAACATTTTCTGGATCACTAGAAATACAGAAAGGAAAACTAACCTCCTAAGTAATGTGAACGCTTTTGTTACTTAGAAAACTTTTTTATTGCTTTTTTCTCACTTTGAAAACCAGTCTGCACTCTTTCTTACTTGGAATGTTTTACTTGTTTCTAGTCCATAAATCTAAAAATTCTTCAATCAAGAAGCATTTTCTAGACAAGGAAAAAAATATTGTCTTGTTTTCAGAAATAATGCATCAAAATTCAGTGAGTTTTTCTTGAAAACAAGCATAATAATCTGCCAAGAATTAGGTACAAAAATTTTTTTTTTTTTTATTACTTCTTTGTCAATTTTTTTTGTTGCTTCAAGGAAGAACTCGAATTATGACATAATAATTCTTGAAATAAGACAATATTTTTTCCTTATCAAGAAAATACTTCTTGGTTTAAGAATTTTTAGATATTTGGACTAGAAACGACAACAAAAATCTTAAGTAAGAAAATCATTTTGTGCAGTGAAATAGATTGACCCTGGTGCTGTTTTTGTTGTTGTTGTCATACTAGGTGCCTGACAGTCACTTGTTACAACATTAGTTGTGTGGAAAAAGAGCAGTGTGAATATTCTATTAAAATATTTTGTTACTTGACTGAGTAAATGATGACCAATCGTTCACTAGGATGAACAGTTTTTTTTAAAGCAGCTCTGGAATTAAACGCTGCATCAGCATTAGTGGCTCTTTTGTGTCATCATCGTTCACTGCCTTAGGATTTCTAACTTAAATGAATGCAACAGAGGAATTTCCCCTTGATCTAATAAGAGAACAGGACAGAGCGACTGTGAGTCATGCCCTGTTCTGGGAAATGAGAGAATCATTTTCGGCCAAAGATAAATCCCTCAATGGATTGTGACATGCAGACAAAAGGGGTGCGTTTAGGTGTGTGTTGAGGAGATTTAAGGGATGAAGGGGTGTTTTTTGCCAGATGTGACCGTTTTTTAGTGAAGTTTTTAAAAGAAAATTGATTTAAGAGTGCAAAATATGCAACATAAGGTAAACACAGAACACAAAAAACAATAGAACAGAAACCAAAATAACAGGAAGGTGTATAAACCGCAATGACCAGAATAACATTGGTACTATTTAAATAGTACTTAGCATTCATTGTCATAGTAGTAATAAAAAATAATACTACTAAGGTTGCTGTTGGTAATGGCTGGATAGGCTTTTATGTGATTTTTGAATAGGTTTTTTATGTGATTATGAATCTTTCATTTTCTTTTTTTTTGTGAAAGAAAAAGTGTGAAATGGTGTCATATTAAATAACATTCAACTATGGATACAATTTAGAGAGAGCTTGAATATTCTTGAATATTTATTAGGTCTAGGTTTGAGTAAAGTGTTGTTTACTTTATAAAGGTCTTTTAACATTTCTTTCATTCCTTCATTCATTTATTTTCTTTTTGACTTAGTCCCTTTATTAATCAGAGGTCACCACAGCGGAATGAACCGCCAACTTGTCCGGCACAGCAAATGCCATTCCAGCTGCAACCCATAACTGGGAAACACAAATACACACTTGCACACAATCACATACACTATGGCCAATTTAGCTTATTCAATTGACCTGTTCCACATGTCTTTGGAAATGTAAGGGAAACTGGAGCACCCGGAGAAAACCAATTGTTTCATATGTTGTCATTGAAAATTAGGGTTATTCCTGTAAGTTTGAATCTTGTTATAATGTCTTCTAAAATCTTGTGTAGATGTACAGTATATAAAAAAAAAAACATGGCACCTTTTTGTTTTTTATGCAAATGATTAATAATTGTTTTTAAAGAAATGTCATTAGTTTACAGAATAAAACATTTTTTTTACTCACATTTAAAAAACATTTTAACTGTAAATCCAGAGTGACTGACAATTTAATTGTCTCTTCCTATTTTACATAACTTTATGTAACCCCAAATAATTTTATTTTATTTTATTTTATTTTATTTTATTTTATTTTATTTTATTTTATTTTATTTTATTTTTTATTTTATTTTATTTTATTTTATTTTATTTTATTTTATTTTATTTTTATTGGAAAGAAAATTGTAAAGAGGTTGTGACCACTCATGTAAGGTCAATAAAAATGTAATCACAAAAAAGTTTACGTTTATGTAATTTTATTTTGTATCATTTAATTTTGTTTAATCTTATTTTAACCTTTTGATTTCATTTAAATTAATTTAATTTCGTTTTTTATCATTGTTTTTTATTTATTTTAATAATTCACAGTTCAGAGCACATCTAACAAATTCAAATACAAAGCTACAACAGGGTGGAGCAGAAAACAGTAAACCAGGAGAGGCAAAACCACAGCCGACAAATGATCTCTAAGAACTGCTTGTGGGCTGGCAAGATTTCCAAATGAGTTTATGTGCTGACAGAATAGTTATACATGAACAGGAAATATGAACCTGGTGTACAAGACTGAATGATTTCAGAAGCCTTTGGGAATATTAAGGAGGACCAGGTCAGCAGACATGGATCTTACAACATCTTTCTTGCTGAGAACCAGTTTGACATTTGTGTTCTGTAAACAACGCTGACTTGCTTTTTTCCCTTCTCCCTAGCTCTCTCTGGCCTCTTGCAGACCCTCAGACAACTTCCATTTCCCCTGAGGAAAAATTTGATATTGGGAAAGTGCACATAGCAGTTAAAGCAATGACTGACGTAAGTAGCTATATTAATTGCCAAAACAATGGTATGATTAACATGTCGTGAAGTGTTTAAGAAGCACAGAACATTTGGTTTTTTACTGCAAAAATGTCTTGCAATATTGTTTAAGGCTTTCAGAAAGTCAGAAATGCTTTTGGTTAGCACACCAAAGTTACAGCAGATGTTTGGTTAGAGATCTCACTGGAGATGCCAACTATTACGTACATACAATGTAAGAAGGAAGAAAAAGCCACTGGATTGTATTATTCAAAGTCATGAAAGTGTCTTTGAGCTGTTTGTGCTGTTACATCCAGCTTGTTCCCAACTGCAATTTAAAGAGGACCTCATACAATAATGCCTAGTTGAGACTGCGTGATTTTAGCCCCGATTTTGGCTCGCCGACAGGTTTTAAGAAATCGCCGACAAATGCCTGAAATCACAGGCAAATCGCTGCTCGTGCACGTGAGTGACAGTCACACAGTATGAAGTCTGTGTGAGTCGCCGATGCCTGTGAGATATTTGGCATGCTAAATATCTGGAGCTGTCGGCGATTCAAATCATGCCGTGTTAATTGAGTTTTGACTGAAAATAACATCAGCGATCGCCTACAGCCAATGAGAGAGCTGCATTCACTTGCGTGTGTGTGTGTGTGTGTGTGTGTATACCTTCTGGAGGACAGCGGGAGGCTGGGGGAGAAGTTAAAAGCGCTCTTTTTTTGGTTTATTTGGACCCACGAAATGGAGGAAAAACTAGTGGAGGTTTAACAGGACTCAGGAGCAACCGTGTCTGTTTGACGTTTCATACAGAAAGAAATTTGTTTATTAGCAACGTTGAGGAGAAATGGCTAATTCCCTTTAAACCCAGGTGAGCAAATATGTACATTTTCTACCCCATTAAAGGCTTCTTTCTCATTATGTAGTTAATAACAAAATATATACTACGTGTTTTTGGCTGTGAGACGTAGTTTGGAGAAAGTTGTTGGCGATTCTTCCTATACTAAAGTCATGCAATGTGAAAGTCCCTGTCGCCGATCCATCTTGCAGTGTAAACAAATCAGCGATGAAACGCTAGCCCAGATAGTCATGCAGTGTGAAAACATCTGTGACACGACTACTTTTAAAATCATGCAGTCTGAACTCGGCATAAATTCATTCATAAAATCTGATAAAAACTCATAAATTGTTTTGTTGAGTAGTTTCTTCAGGTCTCTAATAGTAATAGAAAGCTACAAATTGGCTGGTAGTTACAGAAAGCTACAAATATATACAAGGATCTGCTGGGCAGATTCAGCTGGAGAGATGAACATTGTTGGAAAAGATGTCTTTCAGAAACCAAACAAATACTTCCAATTGGTCCAAAATTTCAGTCTGAAGAAATAGAAAGGCCAGGGTCACAAAGATGCCAACATGGTAAAAAAAACTATTCCAGATGCCTTTTTTCTGTTATTCATCTTCATATTGGTTGTGCATTCAGTAATAAAGGTTATCTCTGAGTTTATAGTCAGTGCAGATTGATTGTAGGATTTTTTTCCTGGCAATTGGATCGAGAGGCTAAAACCCACATCTCCTTACGCTTAGTATTTTTTCAATGTGTTAAAATCAACATTTAAAGGGATAGTTCATCTAAATAAATAAAGGTTTGTTTTTAATTCACTCATCCTCATGTCATCTAAGCTGTAAAGCATGCAACGCTTCTTCAGAAGAACATTTAAAGAGAATTTTAGGTGAAACAGTGGTTTTTGGTGATTTAAAAAAAAATCAAGACAAATGCATGATCTCAATCAGGAAGATTGATGTTTTACTGATTCCAAAATGTTTGATATTTGCATGTTTAAGCAGAGGGAGGCTTGTGTTTCAGACTGCCGTGTATATACCCAGGACTGTTTGCTAAGGTTGTTGTTTAAAGACCAACCAATATAATCGGTTTACTGATATTTTTTCTGATTATTAAAGCATCTTAACATTAATCGAAAATCAGTTTAGCAATATCAGTTTTCTGATACACACCAAACAGATTGAGAATTGTGCACAAGATTGTCGATGCAGGAAGCATCAGAGGGGCAAAGACACAACATGCTTGCTTTGCTGGATTTATTATGCTTTATTTAGCACAACAGCCGTTAATGTGCAAATGAAGATGCGTTACATAAATGCCTAATGTAGATTATGCAACTTGGCTTTAAGAAATAAAGATGATAAATAATAATAAAAAATAATAATAAAAAATGGTGTCATTTTTTTCTTCATAGAATGATTGTTTTCTTCATAAAAGATCAATGTATAGTCAGGAATCAAAGGAATTAATTTTGGTTTGCCTACATGTTTTTTTTTTTTTTTTTAATGTATTTTGTAAATCACCCAAAACTATTAAAATAAAAAAGTTGTCACCTGCATCATAGATGGCCTAAGAGTGAGTAAATAAATCATGTAGTTCAACTTTTTTGGCATGAACTAGAGTCTGTACTTCTTGGAAGCATTAATGTATTGTGTGATGTAATAAATAGTCATTTAAATGAACATGTTCCAAGTAAACTGATTGTCCTACAGCAGTGAAATCAACTTTGAGTAGTTTTGGTATGCTAATATTATGGTAACATTTTCCAGTTAGGTTGTATAAGTTAATGTTAGTTAATGTATTTACTAACATGAACAATAGGCTAAATAATTACAGCATTTATTCATGTTTGTTAATGTTAATTAATGGAAATGGAATGAAGTTGTTTGTTGTTAGTTCATGTTAACTCCCAGTGCATTAACTAATGTTAACAAGTATGAATTCAGATTTTAATCATGCATTAGTAAGTTTTGAAACACAAATAATAAATGCTTTACAGGATGTGTTTATTACTAATTCATGTTAGTAACTACATTAACTAACATTACCTAATGAAACCTTATTGGAAAGTGTGACCAATATTATGAGCCAAATTTAGACAAGCGAGCTTTTAATAAGTATCTGTTTAAATATGTAATATTACGAGAGATAAAGTAGTTGCCTAGCCACCATTTTGATTATTTTCCATTTAAATTATTAGCTTCCGGAGATTCTTATTACAGCACATTCACCTGTATTATGCTAAGTAATAATGTGGCTGGCTTAAGGCTGATAAAGAATATAAAATATGATATAAAAGATAAGATATGAAATGTATGACACTAAAACTGCCAGAAAATGGTGGCAAGTTATTTAAATCATTCATTCAAATGGTTTGTTTAAAAAGACTTCTTTGTAAAAGTAAAGTTTCCATGACTTTCTCAATGAATTCTTAGCAAAACAGATTCATTCAGCATTTTTCAGATACAAGTATTTAAATGATCAACTTCCAGAGATTCTGATTAGAGCACGTTCACCTGGACACATTCCAGAGTAATTGTTTTGTCTTGTGTTTAAAGTCTTTTTTTTTTGTCTTTCCAGCAGGGTTTTTCTGCTTCCACTCTACTGAAGCGCTATCGTCTGGCCATGACAGAGTCCTTGTCTGTCTCCTCACCACCAGACAATTCAGCTCAGGACTCTTCAGAGGCAGCAGATGGAGATCCCAACTTCCCCATGTCTTCAATGGCAGCGCTACTGGAAAATGATGATGTATCACAGCCAACTCATGAATTGCCTCGACCAGGACAACAGAACGACCAGAAGCAGAACATGCGGATTAGGTTCCCAGGACCCTTTAAAAAGGGGGTTCCTAACCCTATGGATCTTCTTGAGTCGGATTATACAGAGTATCCTAAACAAGCACCTATGGATTCCATGTTTGACTACGGCACATGCAGGCAGATCAACAACAATAAGAAAGGAAGACGGAAGAAGCTTCCACGAGGGTGAGACAGAGTCGATTCTGTGCTTATTAGTTCCTAGACTAGCAAAAATAAGTTGTTTGTAGGATTGTTTAGTCAACTAGCTATGATTGTTAAACTGACTTAAAAACACAAGTTGACATTAAAGGAAGTTGGTCAGGAAGCTTGCCCATGCGTGCTGTTCCGATTCAGGAGTTGAAAACAAACAGGCATTTTAATAGAAATAAAGACGGTACAGCATTACTAAACCAAAACTACAGATGTGCGATTCTGTTAGATAACACCTCATTTGGGAATTCAAGAACATGAAATTGCAGACAAACTAGCAAAATAACCTTTAAATCGTAATGAAAAAAAAAATAGAATTGGGTCAACCACTTGGTTTAAGAGTTGATACAACTCAAAAAAAGTTATGCAGCAAGTTGGCATTTAATTCTAAGTTGAGTCAACTTTTTATTTTTTAGTGTGTGTGTGTGTGTGTGTGTGTGTGTGTGTGTGTGTGTGTGTGTGTATATATATATATATATTGTATATATATTTTATACTGTATACTATATATATGTATTTATTTATTTATTTTTTATTTTATTTTATTTTTTATTATTCTATTTATTGATACTTTACATTTTTATAGCAATAATTTGCTAATTGCTAATTGTTAATGTGGCTGGTTTTAAGATATAGATTAAAATATATGACACTAAAATGGACAGAAAGTAGCAACAAGTTCATTGAACCATTCATTCAAATGATTTGTTCTAAAGGACTTATTTGGAAAAAGAAAGTTTCTATGACTCTCTCAATGAATTTTTGTCAACAACCGATTTGTTTAGGATTTATTTATTTATTTATTTTTTTGAATTTTTCTGAAATATTGTGATATTCTGGCTTTGTTCAGACATATTTTTGTTGGCAGTGCAGAAAAAACTGACAGTATTAATTTGTTTTGGGAAAACGACACTCTTGGCCCTCTTTCTTGTGTGATATTCCTTAACTATATTATAACAACTTTACATAACTATATCATGTATATAAAATAACATCCCATAGCCCTACATTTATTTAAAAATTAAATTTTAAAGCATTAAATGCTATATAAAAAGCATTTAATATATAATATAACATAATTTTATATAATACAACACAACACAATATAAAATTCAATATATGTACATATGTGCTAACTGTAAGTACTAATTAACTAACATTTTACATCAGATGCAAATTGACTACTTAAGTTGCTTTGCTTAGACGATCAAGTAAGCCACGACTTCCACTGCCAAATAAAAATCATCCATGTATAAACACTTACCTTCAGGAATCTTAAAACAGAGCGACATGTTGTTTATCGTCTGACCGTGTGACAGAGTGCAGACTGGAGTTTGAGTAACTCACTCATTACAATGCTCCACAATGATTAAAGCTGTTTTTATTAATGGTAAATATTTATGTATTTAACACCTTTCTTACATAAAATACTTTATTTTACTGTTCGTTTTGATCGATACTGAGGACATTCTGCAGTCTGTAGCCGTTTCAATGAATGTTTTAAAGTAATGTTTATGTTGAGGTCAGTTAGGCAGTCAGTTTTTCCTCAGTACAGAGACTTGTTTATGATTTTTTTTTTACTCTACTATGACTTGAGTGTTGTTCAGTACAGGTAGGGTGATTCCAGGCTGTAATTGCATTCAAGCTGCTACTCCCTAGCGTTTTATTAAATGTGTGTTCAAGATTCATATTTTTTTTGTTGTTTAAAGGTGCACCAAGTGATGTATCTTTGAAAAAAAGCAAGGAATGATCATTAATAGACCACATATCATACACAATGGTAATTCAAGGTGATTTACTTAGAAAGGAATTAAAATAATCCCATAAAAGACGGCTAGACATGATATTATACTGTGAGTACTTTGTCTCTCCAGGAAGAATTGAAAGTTTTTTAACATGTCTCAAAGTGAAAAATCATATATTATATTGTAATATAAAAATTGAAGTGTTTTTTGTATTTCCTCTCATTGATCTACAGCAGTGGTTCCCAAACTTTTTACTGTGTGCATTCCTTTCTAATATTTAACACGTGTCAAGCACCCCTTTTTATGATCAAACTCCACATTTTTAACTACAATAACGAAATCCACATATTTTTGTGTACATGATTAAAATAAAAATAATAAAACACGTAAATTAAATGGAGGAGCTTTTATGAAGTTGACAATTTTCACAGCGCCATTAGGTACAGACAAAATTCATCTGCCATGTTTTTCATCCCTAGAGCTTCTTGGTGGATGCTGCAATGTACCCAGTGCAACTTTTCGGATTTAAGCCACAGCTCTTTTGTGCCTCCTTGTTTCTTTAACTGCAGTTCCTCCCATTTTTCTTGAAAAATACTTGCAGGCATGTCTTGTGAGTGGCTGTGTCTTGTTTGTAAGTGCCGGATGATATATGAGGGCTTAAGACTGCTATTAGCTAAAACCTCACCACAGACTACACACTGCAGATATGGATTTTCTGCATCTCCAATCCATGTAAACCCGAAACCAATGTAACTGTCACTATATTTGCATTTCTTACTTGACGTTTTCTCACTCACTAGTATAGGCCTAATTCTCTTCATCAGTACATCTCTTCTGGATTTCTCTGTTCCCGTCTGTGCCTCTTTACCTCGTTCGTTATTCTTCGAGTCCTTATATTCAAGGACACTGCACATCTCCATAGAAGAGGCTGATGTAGATGGTTCATCCCAACTGCCACTTGACTTCTTTAAAGTGCCAGTTTTTAACCATTTTGATCAATATAGTGAGCAGGAAAAAAATTAAGAATGTACTATCACTTAGCGCCTAATGTGAAAGGGCGGGGCTATTGTAACGCAGACGTTAATTCGTGAGATGAGTGAGTGTGCATAGGTTGTAAATTACAATTTGTAATGTGATTATTTTATTGTTCACTCAGTGAATTTTTTTTTCTCTCTAAAATATGACATGTGAATTTTACCCAAGGTAAATTTAATTCAATTCAGCTTTATTTGTATAGGGCTTTACAATGTAGATTGTGTCAAAGCAGCTTCACATAAATGGTCATAGTAACTGGATCAGTTACTATTAAATGCATGAAAATAATAAAAGATAAAATTTTCCGACATTACAAACATTGTCTCGCGCACCCCTGGTGGTCAGACTGCGCACCCCAGTGTGGGAACGGCTGATCTACAGTAATTTATCATCGTTATTATGTAATATGTTTTTTATCTGTATTATTTTACAATGAAACTCCTTGTTGATGTGGCAAAAAGTAATCAAACAAACAAAACTATCAAAACAAATAATCACAAAAATAAAAAAGAGTCAAGAAAATAAATTGAACAGTAAAAGAATTACAAAAGTAAAAGCCGTGAATATTTTAATCAAATTAATAAAAATGGTCTCCAATTTATTGAATTAGTTAAATATTTAAAAATTGATACATAGAAACTTTTTCTTGTGTGATATTTCTTAACTATATCATGACAACTAAATATAACTATATCATATATAAAAACAATGACCCATAAAATTACATTTATTTTAAAATGAATAATTGTTTGGATAATTTTAGAGCATTAAATGCTATGTAAATTAAATGCTATGTAAAATGAAAAGTAAAAGATCACAGCTATAAAAGCAGAAAATATTTTAATCAAATTAAAAAAAGGTCTCCAGTTTATTGAATAAGTTAAATATTTAAAAATTGATACATAGAAAAACCTGAATGTGATGATTGAATTATGATTTAGGATGCAAATAAAGGATGGTGTAACATAGGACACTATATTTGCTTTTAACTGTAGTCTTAATGTTTGTTAAAGTGCATGTTTTCCGCTGCAGGAAGGCAGAGATCGGGATGTCATGTGATGAGGGATCCCCGGAGCCCCCTGTTCTCAAAGTCTTCAACCGCTGGATGTTGTTCGAAGCTGTATCTCGAGCAGATCCAAGAGCTCTGGACGGCCTTCTGCAGTATCTTCAGTCCCACGAAAAGAGGCTGACCGATGAAGAGTTCAAAGGTATATTTCCATGTACGTTTGTCTGGAAAGAAAACTGAATATAATGCTACGATGAAACCTAAAATTAAGCATTTTATGGGAATAAGAAACAATTTGTACAGAGTGTCCGCGGATCCTTAAAGAGTCTTAAATTGCATAGTATAAAAATAAGGTCGTTGTAACTACCCGCCGGTTAATAAAACACTCCACGCTTCCAAATACTGATGTCCATATGGATTTTCTTTATTGAACACCGTGAAAACTAAAAGATAAACAAATAAACAAACCAAATGTTTCACACAAACACAGATCAAAAGGACATCAAAATAAACAAATAATATATAAACAATCTTTAGTTTACCGTGTTGGCCTGATAACCAGCTGTAGAATACGCAGGAACATTAAACAGGTGCTTGCATTGAGATCTCACTATCCTGAGTGACCATACAAACTCTCGCAGGTTAAATCAATCAATGAGAATCATGTGACTTCTCACTCAGGCCAACCGGAAACAAAGAAATTATTAACAAACATATACCAATACACATTTAAATAATGAAATTCAAAAACCATAAACAAAATTACAAGCTGACCAATCAGCATCAGCTACAGTCGTAATTAGTCTTAAAATGTCTTAAAACTCCATTTTATAGGTCTACCTAATAAATTATAAAGCATCATTTATAGACAGTGGAAATTATGTTTTGTTAGTGTTGTTAATGCAGTTTGGGGAAAGTAAAATTGGTTTTATTATTTTAACACCTGACATTTGTCAGATCTGCTTTGTCTCGGCCACAACAGTAATGTTAGGGCTTCCACAGAGTGCTGCTGCATCCCAGTTATTATTAGTATTAGTATTATTAGTATTAGTAGTATTAGCAGTGCTTCCCACACATAGAGATTACTTGGACAGGTATATTAACTGGCTGCCCAAGTATATTTGGTGACACTTTTTTTTACTATTATTATCATCAAGTGTACTTTTTACAATTTTTTTGTATCGCAAAAAATAACAAACATTCGCAATCGATTAATCAGTGGAAAATCTTTACTCATCTTATACATTTTATACCCCTTTTGTGTGTGCGCGATAAGCGCAAACAATCCCACAGACAGTCCACATGCTCGATGCTCTGTATCGACCCACAGAGATGCACCTTTTTTGAGACGTAACAATGCGTCTGGTTGGGGTTTGTAAATCTTCTAAAATGTCTGGGATTTGACTTTTGCTTTCGCTTTCTAATGTCTCATTCAGACTAGTAGCGACTTTGTAGCTGCCTTTCCCTCTGGGTGGCGACCTGCTTTAAACGCAGGTATGTGTAGGTATATATATATATTAAGGGTGTCACAATCCTCCAAATCCTCGATTCGATTACATTTTCGATTCTAAAGTCACGATTCGATTAGATTTTCGATTATGAATAATTAATTTATTAATAACGAATTAACTATTTGTAGCCTACCGTTTAAACTACCTGACTGTATTTGTTTTACCCATAAACAAATCATACAGTAAATGAATAAAGGTAAGTTACACACATAATTACCACCTGTCAATCACTTTTTTCTGCGGGACTCGTGAATAGGCAGTGATCTGTGTCGTTATAATGGCGCCGGTAAAAAAGGTGCACAACCAACAGGAACCAGCCAACAGTATCTGATGTGTTGGCTAAAATGACTAAGTACTTGTGTGAAAGTAAAAGATGGAAGCAGTCTACTGACTCGCTGACTGCCTTGACCCGCTGTCTCGAGCGCATGACAATGTGTGTGCATCTGTGTCTGTGTGTGAATGGTTGTGTGTGGTCACGTGATGTGCGTTTTCAGCGGTAGTGAGGAAAGAGGGCTGCTCAGAAATGCTACACACCAGTGTGGATGTGGATCGTTGTCATTCTAAAATGCTACTTAAAAACAAAGACATATTAGTGTAAACAGGGCCTGAGTGTGTATCTGTCGCTCAAGAAAGTCGCTCTTCCTTTGCATAAAGTTGAAGGACTCTCAAAGCAACGGCTCTCTGTTGAAATGAACGGTCGCTTGTCGATTTGCTACTGCGAGTCGCTCGTAGTGTGAATGAGGCTTAAAGCTGTCATTAATTGTAGGTGTTTTTGCATTACCTGTTTATTTAAGTCTACTTTTTTTCTTTTTTGACTTTAATGTAAATGACTCAGAAAAACTTTACAATATATTCGGAGAGGACGAAATGCCATCTAAACTGGCTGCAAAATATATGTATACCATTAGAAGTGGTTAATCAGATGTAAGCAGAGATATTGTCTGTTTTTATTTCCTTTTTCTGTCATTTATTTCTCATTTGCTGTATACTTTATTAATTTAATCATGTTAATCTATTACACATGTATGAAATGCTATTGTATGCTGTACAAAATGTCATGTTAATAAAATAACCTGAACTTCAATTTGAGAGAGAAAAAAAGAGAAGCTTTTATCAGTGGGTTAACATGGCTCCACATGGAAATAGTGGATAGTTTACTTTAACCCATTGAAAAGAAAAAGTGTATAACAGTGTCATAATAAATAAAAAATATTGTTAAAAATCACATTATTTTTTGTCACATCTAGGTAACCATTTATGTGCCATGGGTAAAAGGTGTGTTTTAATCTGACTACCACTGCAAGTGTAAGCACTGTGGGAAGCACTAATTAGTAACAGTAGCAGTATTAGTAGTGATAGTAGTAATAATAATAATAATAATAATCATAATCATAATCATAATAACAATAGTTATTAGTCATTTCAAAGACTTTTGAGGTTTTTCACTCTAAAAAAGGACAAAGCCCTCATGACTGGTATATGCGAAATCAGAATTGTGTCTGTAATGACCTGATGCTATCGTAATTGTTTTCCCTAATGGTCCATGCCTTAGGCTTTTGTTATTTTGCTATTGTTATTTGTTCTAATTTGTTCAGTAAAGGAAGTTCTATTATATCAGCTTAATGCGACTTAGTGAGGTGGAGTCCAGTTTCTACTTCCTGGCTTAAAAGGTCAAGCAAACTTTTAGCACAGAGCAGTGAGAAATCACAGCAAACCGTCACAAATGAAAAGATTTTCTTTGAAGGCATCAAAAAGATAACTCTTGCTAAATATAAACACAGAGAAATGTCTCTCTTGAGGAAAGGAAATCAGTTTTTAGAAACTGGAGGAAAATGTGATGCACTGATAAACTGGAATAACTTTCATATTTTAGAGTAGTGAGCAAAACCTTAATATTAATCTTAAACTTTGGTGTTTAAATAGTCCCTCTGTTTCTTTTCAAAGTGATCAGCCCTAAAACCTGTCCAAATAATCTCATAGATATGCAATGGATGGCAAATTTAACAAGGCTAACCCATTTAAGAGCATTGGCACTGGTGGCGCTGAGATCTACAGACTGTGGCACCTGATTTGGTAGAGCTGCACATTTAATAGTTTTATTATTATACTACATATCTCTTAAAATTGCACCTTTGGCAGTTGTTTGAGATGAGAGGAGTGTGTTGACGTCCAGATGTGATTTTATTTTCACCAAGAATAATAGTAATATAAGTACAATCCATAAAAGTTGTAACAATTTTATCCTATATATTTATAGATCACCTCAAGTATAACAACCTGACTGCCACTTTAAAAAGTTGCCTACATTTGTTCTATGAGATTTCTTGTGAAAAATGAAAGACTTTTAGTACATATTACAATGGATAACTAATATGATTTATTAACATAAATACTGGGGTGGCACGGTGGGTTAGTGGTTAGAACTGTTGCCTTATAGCAAGAAGTTCGTTGGTTTGAGTCCCGGCTGGGCCAGTTGGCATTTCTGTGTGGAGTTTGCATGTTCTCCCCATGGTCGCGTCAGTTTCCTCCGGGTGCTCAGGTTTCCCCCACAGTCTAAAGACACATGCTATAGTCAATTAAGTAAAGTAAATTGGCCATAGTGTGTGTGAATGTGAGTGTATATAGGTGTTTCCCAGTACTCTGTTAAAACTGGAAGGGCATCTACTGTGTAAAATATATGCTGTAGTAGGTGGTTGTTTATTCCGCTGTGATAACCCCTGATAAATAAGGGACTAAGTCAAAGGAAAATGATTGAGTAAATGAACAAACATACTTTACTGTAATATTCTACATTTGTGCCAATGGTTTCATTGTGTTAATGAAGGGTTAGGGCTAGTAAAGCTATGGAAATAGTTGGTGATTTGTGGATGGAAAAGTTCTGTGTATAGTCCCTATACAGCTGTTTTCTGCTTCAGTGTTGTAAAAAATTCCAATAGAGTTTAATTAAGAGATTTCATTAAGAGCGTTGCAGCAAACCTATTATCTGTCACCCTTATCTAAGTGGCTTTTTTTAAGCGTTTCATTGTAGTTTGTGGCAACATACAGCGACGGGCACCACAGTTGCTATAATTACGTAAACAAATCGTAACAAACCACGAATGCTGGCCTTAAAACAGCCCTGCAGTACACATCATCTGTGCCGTTTTTTTTTTTTTTGTCGAGACATTCCCTCATCGAGTCGAGTTGTTCTTGCAACCCAACTTTTACTAAGGGTACCCTTAACCTTTAAACTGTGAGATTTTTTGGTTAAGGATTTTTATGAAGTAACCTGCACTCTCCTGCACCATCGATTGTAAATGATGTCACTTGCAGAGGAAGCATGGGTGCCTGAGAGTGCAAGCCTGAGAGTGCAAATCTGCAGCCAGACCCTTATGTGAATGACTGATCCAGCAAAAGGAATTTACTCTAGAATGCAACAGATTGTCATTGCTCAGTTTGGCAATCTATTTGGCATCTGCACAACGTATAATAAAATTTGTAGGAATAATAATAAAAAAAAAAAGTTGCAAAATGCAAACATTCATGCAGTCTGGATTCCAGGAGCCATAATTTTAAACAGACTTTGGGCAAACCCAATTTACTTGAAGGAATTGTTCACTCAAAAATGTAATTTTACTCATTATTTGCTCACCCTCAAGTGGTTATGAGTTTCTTTTTTCTGTTGAACACCAAAGAAGATATTTTAAAGAAAGCTGAAAACCTGCAACCATTCACTTCCATAGTAGAAAAAAATACAATCGAAGTCAATGGTTTGTAATGGTTTCATCTCTTTTATAAACATCATCATCTAATTGATAACAGATTTTCTTTTCTCTCCTTCATCTAGAACTTTCTACAGGGAAAACCTGCCTACCAAAAGCACTTCTCAACCTGCACAATGGTCAAAACGACACCATCCCAATATTGGTGGACATTGCTGAACAGACAGGAAACCTCAGAGAGTTCATCAACACACCCTTTAGAGATGTCTATTATAGGGGTGAGTCCTCTATTTAGTCATACCAAAAAAAAAATTCAGCCGTTATAGGACCAGTTTTCAATCACCGTTTGTCTTTAAAGTTTCCAAAATCGGAAGTGTGCCATGAGCTAACATTTACTCTGAGCAGCTTCCAGTAGCACCCTGAGCAGGTTCATGAAATATGAGCAGAAGGGTGGAGTTAAATGTGCCTTTCTGACTGAGCTCAATGTTAGAGAAGTCACCCCAGAGCTAACGTTGTGTTTCCTGCCGTCTCCACCCATTTCAGCACAAAGAGTCCTCACAAACATTGCTGAATTTAACGCTGTTTCTCTGTGGAACTCTGGTTCATGTTTGGAGTGGTTAAATATGCCAGCGTCACACCCGATGCTGTTCATAACTTTCTCTTTCTTCTAATACATCCTGTGGTCTGGTAGCTGAAACGTAGTGAGTAGTGATGGTCCTGTGATTAACAAATCAGCTGTTTTTCAGTTAAAGTGGCAAAAAAGAAAAACTATTTAAAAACAATTCATTATAGAGTGTTAAAACATTTGTGCCAAAATATTTCCATAAACCTTTGGTCAAATGTTTGCGGTCAGTACGATCATTTTATTAATCAGGGACAGATTAAATTGATAAAAAGTGACATAGATATAAATACTTTTAAATTGTTAAAGGACAATTTAATCTATTTTTACTCACCCTCAAGTAGGCCTGTCACACTAAGTGAAGTTTCACAAACTCATTTCCAGAGGAACACATGATATCATTGATGGCGGCTGGTCTCCCATCAAATCAATAGTAAACCAATTGGATTAATCCAAACTCACTATAAGAGCCTGTCTATAATTACTCCCTTATCTTCATTTTTCAAAGAATCTCCCATCCACCCCATCTCCCCACTTTCCTCCTTTACCAGAGGGAGCTCTTGAGAACTACCCTATCTCAAACTCTCTCACATGCTTATCGACCAGGTGGGAGCTCTGGCCTCAATTTTCTCAGAGATCAGTGCTATTTAACGGGACAGCATGCCAAACCTGCTTTTAGTATCAAGGAATAATAAGTGTGAACTCTTGAATCTATATATAAATTTATCACACAACACATGGACATTTTTGGTGATGCAATATGCTGTATATCGCCCATACTGTACATAAAAAACAATTCTAGCAACATTTTAGCTGATTGTGTACTCTCTTTCTATCTCTATTGTCGCGGCCAGTGTCAGTATGATTAAAATAACACTTTAGTATTTACTATAAATGACTTTAGTTTATTTTCATGTGGGTGCCTGATAACTGAAAATAGATCTGGAAACAGATATCGCAGCCTGTTACTTTTTAATCTTGCACTTTTTTGTTAACACTTATTATTATTTGTTTAGGATATACATTCTAATTCCAATGCCTAATTATTCAGTTTTTATAATAATTATAATTAAAATAAATATTCTTATAAATTGAATATTGTGTGTTCTTTGGAAGCGTATACTTGCATTTTGATACTATTATATTGTCATTCTGTCATTAAATGGTCCTAAAATGACAGTGATATCATATATTTTGGTGCAATATATCGTACAACAAAAATAGATATTGTAAACAGGCCTGCCTTCAAAAACCTTCAACCTATTATGTGTTTACTTTTCTGTTGAACACAAACAAATATAAAAAAAGTCAAATAATGAAAACCATTATCTTTCATTATGGCAAAAATCAATGAAAATCAATGCCCACAGGTTTTCAAAATTTTTCAAAATTTCCTTTTTGAAGAAACAAGTTGGTAAGAAGTGAAGGGGAGTAAATGATTACAGAATTTTCATTTTTGGGTGAACTATCCCTTTCAAAAAAAAAAAAAAAAGAAAAAGAAAAAGAAAAAGAAAAAACAACAACTGAAAAATGTAGCTACATTGGTTTCAACATGGATAATAATTTTAAATATTTCTTGAGCCCCAAATCAGAAAATTAAAATGATAAATAGTGCTGAAAATTATAGCTTTACCATCACAAGAATTAATTACACTTTAAAACAGAAAACAGTTTTTTTTTTAATGTTTTAAATCAAACAAATGCTGTCTCATCAAAAGTAACCTTTCTTAGACATTTTTAAAAGATCTTCCTGACCCCAAATTTTTGAATGGCAGCCTATTATATATGTCCCTTGAACACAAAACCAGTCAGTGTTCATTTTTAAAAAATTAAGATTTATGTATCATATGAAAGCTGAATAAATAAGCTTTACATTCATATGTTTGTTAAGACAATATATGGCTGAGGTACAGCTATTTGAAAAGCTGGAATCTGAGGGTTAAAATAATCGAAATATTGAGAAACTTACTATATGCATTACTAATCATAAGTTTTGATACATTTCTTTAAGTTTTTGATATATTTACAGTAGAAAATTTACGTAGTTTTATCATGGATCACAATCTTAATATCATGTTTATATATAACTCCTAATATTTTTCAAATTTCTGACATAAAGAAAAATTAATCATTTTGACCCATACAATGTATTTTTGGACACTACCTGTGCAACTTAACACTTGTTTTATCATTCAGGGTTACATATATTATCATCAGTAAATTCTAATTTTCATGATTTGGCATGTATTGTACTTAACCATCAATCTAATTATCATTCAATTTGAATCCATGTTGTATGTGTGAGAGGTTTGCGATGGCTGAATTAATTATACAGGGAAGTTGCAGTTCTCAAAATGCATAATGCCATACTTACAGCAGACGTAGTCTAGTCTGACTCCCATTTCCCCAGGAAACAATCACTTACTCATTTGTTTAGTTTGCTTGCTTTCAGTGAAGTGCGCATGATGTCAGCAGACTTCCTTATTGAACCACAATGAACTGCTACAATCAAATCAATTAAGATGTTCAGCCAAGTATATAATAAAATACTTTATAAACCTAAACTTCAAGTAAAGATTCCTCTGGTAGTCTATTAAATCAGAGAAAAGTAAAAAAAAAGTTAAACAAAGTTTACTTTAGTAATTTAAGGAGTTTTAGGCACAGTCAGTCACTAGGACAAATGTTATCCCTGTGATCTGGCCTGGTGATGCCTTCGTTGTTGGCATAAAAATGGAGATATTAAATGCAACTGTTTTATAAATATGGACACAGGGTTGAGCTCTGTTCAGTCATTCTTAAACATCAAGCCATCAATAGTTAATACCCAAGACCAACTTATTGAGTGCATTTCACTTAAAGAGACAATTTACGCAAAACTGTAAATTCTGTCAATATTTACTCATTCTGCTTGTTCCAAAATGGTCTGATTTTTTTGAATACATAGCAAGATATACTGAAGATGTAGGGGAAAACCAGCCATTGACTTCCACATAATTTTTAAAAACATTGTTCTTTAGAAATCTTATTTATGTTCAACAGAAGAACGAAATTCATAAAGGTTTAAGACCACTTACTGTAAGTGTGAGGAAATGCTGAGGAAATTGTCATTTTTGCGTTAACTGTCCCTTTAATTTATATATTTGATTATGAATTGCATTATGGGACCTTCATCCCTGCTTGGCTTTTAACAGAGTAACTTTTTTGACATTTTAGTTGTATGAAACAATATACTGTAGAAGAAGTGATATATGCTACCTGACAAAAGTCTTGTCGTTGATCCCAGTTGTAAGAGCAAGAAAAAAATAACTTCGTTTATCATTTGGAAACGTGGCAGAAGGTAAATTTTTTTTCGATGAACCATCTGTTGAATTGCATTCCAATCATCACAAACGCTGCAGAAAACCTATTGGAACCCGCATGGACCCAAGATTCTTATAGAAATCAGTCAAGTTTGGTAAAGGAAAAATCATGGTTCGGGGTAACTTTCAGTATGGCGGCCTACAAGAGATCTGTAGAGTAGATGGCAACATCAACAGCCTGAGGGACTGTATTATAACATTTGTGCTGCCCATAACATTACAAACCATAGGAGCGGGCAAATTCTTCAGCAGGATAGCGCTCCTTTTCTCATACTTCAGCCTCTGCATTAAAGTTCCTGAATTATTGAGCATGTCATGGGTAAGACGATGGAGGAGGCATTGAAGATGAATGATGTATGGATGCAGTCCTCCAAGCTCATGGGAGTCAGACACAATATTCATTCTGTCTCCACTACACCATGACTTTATATTCTATACTGCACATTATTTCTGTTAAGTGACGAGACTTTTGTCTAAGCAAAGTCAGACCTTACTGTCCTATTTAAATAATTAAAAATCAAGGCATGATTATATTTTATTTTGGTAAAATAAGCGTAATCTAGAGGCCTCTGCCTTTAATATAAGCCACTTCTGATAGCAGATGATCAACTAGAAGTCAAGTTATTATTTTTTGTTCCTAAAAGTTTGGTAGATGACAAGACTTTTGTCAGGTAGTGTACAAAAAATTATAAGGAAAATATAAGAAATGTATTATATGTTATAAGAAAAAAATACTGCCAGTTTTTTGCCAGGTTTTTTGCAACATAATATACAATACCAAGACAAATATATCACAACTAACTATTTAAAATGTCAATAAAAGTCTTTTTTGAAAAAAAATAATGTTTAACATCATAATTTGTTAAAGGAAAGATTAAGCTGTCTTAATGCAATTCAAATGCATAAATACATGGAAAACACATGAATCACAAAATATAGAAGACTGTAAATTTGCAGACATTTTTTTCCAGTGTAAATGTGTAACAAAAGTAGCAGATGGACTTAGCAGGGAGAAAAGTTATTTTAATAATGCATTTCAGAGCTCTAACACACAAACACAAAACTGTAGACTCAGAACACGAGCTGCATTACCTTATTTTCATATTGCAGTACTTCCTCTCGTATAAGACAAGTTGATGTATCTAATAATATCATGCTGCTTCCCGCTGTTCTGTCTGATAAGATGCATCACAGATATCGGCTTTCCTGTAACATTACAAAGGGCTTTAGTTTGGCTGTCCATTATCATGATCAACAGCTTCCATCTGATTCTCCTCTTGCACATGTATTTGTAATAAAAATGTGTCATGTCCTCAGGTCAGATGGCTCTGCATATTGCTATAGAGCGACGATGCAAACAGTATGTGGAGCTTCTGGTGGAGAAGGGGGCTGATGTCCATGCGCAGGCCAGGGGACGCTTCTTCCAGCCCAGAGATGAGGGTGGATACTTCTACTTTGGTGAGTTTGTTGTTGAAGATCTGAACAACAGACTTTAAATCAATATTATTCAGTCATTAATTCCACTGCTTTTGTTTCAATGGTGTTTATCCTTCTTACTTGTTTGAGTTATACATATGCACAGTTGAAGTCAGAATTATTAGCCCCCCTTTGATTTCTTTCCTTCTTTTTTAAATATTTCCCAAATAGTGTTTAACAGAGCAAGGAGATTTTTACAGTATGTCTGATATCTGATATTGACATTTTTTTCTTCTGGGATAGTTTTATTTGTTTTATTTTAGCTAGAATAAAAACATTTTTAATAATAATAAGAAAAAACATTTTAAGGTCAAAGTTATTAGCCCCTTTAAGCTATTTATTTTTTTGATAGTCTACAGTCTACACGTCTTTAACTTGCCTAATTACCCTAACCTGCCTAGTTAACCTAATTAACCTAGTTAAGCCTTTAAATGTCACTTTAAGCTTTATAGAAGAGTTTTGTAAAATATTATTTATTGTCATCGTGGCAAAGATAAAATAAATCAGTTATTAGAAATAAATTATAAAAACTATTATGTGTAGAAATGTGTTGAAAAAAATCTTCTCTCCGTTAAACAGAAATTGGAGGAAAAATAAACGGGGTCTAATAATTCAGGGGGGCTTATAATTCTGACTTTCACTGTATATATAATATAAAATAATATATTATATTGTATTTTATTTTATAAAAAAGTATTATTTAACATTAAGCATGACATAGTTTGTTTAGGCTTGAATAAAACACACTACAATTTATTTTCAATAGTATATATACAGTTGAAGTCAGAATTATTAGCCCTCCTAAATTATAAGTCCAATTATTAGCCCCCCTATATATTTATTTCCTCCAATGTCTGTTTCTGTCCAATTTCTGTGATTTTTTTTTTTCAACACATTTCTAAACATAATTGTTTTAATAAATAATTTCTAATAACTGATTTCTTTTATCTTTGCCATGATGACAGTACGTAGCATTTTTCAAGATACTAGTAAGTTAAGTTTTAAGTATTAAAATTGTAAGTATTCTGCTTAAATTGCAATTTAAAGACTTGGGTAATTAGGCAAGTTAGGGTAATTTCTATAACCGTGGTTTGCTTTGTAGACAATCGAAATAAAATTATGCTTAAGGGGGCTAATAATATTAACCTTAAAATGATACTCTTCAGAAAATTCAGATAGACCCCTTAAGAAAATTTGCTATAGAATCAACCAGTGTTGTCCAATGATTTTCCTAATTATACAAATTTGCCCAGCTGACCTACGTAAATAACACAGTGAAAATCCTATGTACTGTTATCATGACAAGGACAAAAGAAATTAGTTATAACAACTATTATATTTAAAATTATGTCTCATTAAACAGCACTTGGGTATTTGAAAAAAAAAAAATAAAACAAATGTTTATATTTGTGAGCTCTCTTTGAGGGTGAGCGATATGAATATCGTTCATGATCCAAGCACTCAATATTGTTAAATATTTTGACTTTACTTTCAGAGTATATTGTAAGTAGTGTAAGTAATGTGTTTTATATAGTGCATTTATCGTGTATGGCCATAAACCCAAAGCGCCGAACAATCATGTCTCTCCACACCACCACCAGTGTGCAGCATATATTAGATGATGCGACGGCAGCCACAGGACAGTGCGCTCACCTCACACCAGCTATTGGTGGAGTGGAGAGACAGTGATAGAGCCAATTCGATGGATGGGGATAATTGTGAGACCATGCTCAGTAAGGCCTGAAAGAGTGAATTTGGCCAGGACACCGGGGTTACACCCCTACTCTTTACGAGAAGTGCCATAGGATTTTAAGGATAGGATATGGAGGATATAAATCTTCTTCAGCTGCTGTGATATAAACAGCATGCTTTTAATGCCCTGTTCTTTAACATCTGGTCAAATTATACACTGATAAAATTGCAACACACTGGGCCTTCGCTCACTAAATTATGAGTGGGAAGCTTCTATTTCCTGTTTTATCGGTCACTTCGCTGATGTTAATGTTTTTATTTAGCAAGAAACAAAGCAGTGATTTACATTCCTGAAAATAGTGTCATCGTTTCTAGCAATGTGTTTCCTGAGCAGCAGATCAGTATATTACATTAACATCGGACGCTAAAGACTGGAGTGATGATGTTGAAATTTCAGCTTTGCTAACTGATGAATCATTTAAATGTTGTCAAATATAATATCATTGTATTAAACTGTATCATATTTAATCATATTTAACAGTGTTATTCTGAAAAATAGTTTTTGATATATATATTTTAAGTGACCCAAAGTTTGTAACAGTAGTTAAAGAAATAAGTGATTTCCTGAAGGTTTTGACCTGTATTTTTTCCCTCTGGGAAACGTTTAGCATTAGCAGTCTAACCTTCATGACTTTGCAAGTGAATAATAACCTTTACATTCGGAGGTCCAGCTGTTCCCATAGTAACATCAGGTGATTTTTCTTTCCCTTTTCCTAAAACCCTCCCTTTAGTGCTATGGTTTGCCATCAATGAGAGTATTACACAGCGCATTCATTAACTATTTAACCATGAGTGAAATGGGTTTTGGGACTAGGAAAACCAAGACATTATGTCACAAATTAAACATGTTGGATGTACTTGGGATGTAGGAGAGTGAAAGGGGCCTCTGTGTTTACTATGAAAAGTACAGTACAAGGGTTTTATATTTAGGAGGCCTGGTGATTTGGCTGAAGTACACAAGAACACATTGTGCCCTCTGTTGGCCATACTTGGTTACTACACTAGCTATTTGCTCGACTTTGCCAGTATTTTACGCTATTTTAAATGTTCAGTGGTTCATAGTAGTGACAATCTCCATCAAAATGAACTCATGTAAGATGCAGGTAATTCGATTTACACAGATTTAATGCAGTGTGTGTACAGAACCAAACTGAGCAGTTAGTGGTAAATGACCTGCCAAATATGTATCAAAGATCAACAAAGCAATCTGTTTGATATAAATATTATTGTGTATTTTTTTTGCCCACTTAAAAAACTGTTTGAATTTTTTATGCTGTTTATTCATGATTGAAAGCTGAATTTTAGCAGCCATTGCCTTCAGTGTCACATTTTTTCAAAAGAAAAGCACTTATTTCCTATATATATATATATATATATATATATATATATATATATATATATATATATATATATATATATATATATATATATATATATATTTTTTTTTTTTTTTGTAAAATGTGCGCAAATGAAAAAATGAGAAAGTGGTTCATGTTACGTTGGATAATAATGAAAATTTAGGGTATTCACTTCTATACTTACATGTGGTTGTCATGACCCAATTTATTTAATTTCTTTTTAAATAAATGTACATATTTTACTCACATAGTCTGTAAAGATGAAACGCCAATTACCACATTTGAATGTTAGATGCAGAGGATTTTTCAGCCCTAATATACTCAGTGACATAAACAGTGGGCCTATTAATGTCATTGGTTTTATTGGCATTTTGCAAATTTGTCTCAATTGCACATAGGTATGAACAGGAAATAGAATTACCACTGCAGACTCATTTTAGGCAGATCAGAATCGGTTCTTTCTTTTGATTTGATTTATTGTGCACTTAATTTTAACAAAAATCCTACTGTATATCTAGTAGAATAGCCATAGCAGTCATTCTGACCGTTCATAATACCGTAACTACTGAATTAATTTTTTTGTCAAGTCAAATTTACATTCAAAGCTTTTATTGAGATTTTAGTGTTAAGCTTTGACTGGCTGTTGTCATATTTATGAAGTCATTCCCCTAAAATCTTTTTAGTTATATAGCCTATAACTAAACCTCCCCAGAAGAAGTGTATACCTCTATACATTAAACATTATACACAAAAGGAAAAAAAATTATAATAATAACTATTTTGAAAATGTATTATAAAGTTTTAAAAAGTATTTTAATTTGGTTTCTGAAGTATTTGAAGCTTTGCGCCACCTTTCCTACCACTTTTTTTCATTTACAATGATAAATATGATATTTATCCATTAATAAAATAAAGTTCACAACATCAGAGAATGAAAAATGTAAATCACACTTGTAAAAGAAAATACCTTCTAGAGAACAATAAAGGGGGCTGAAATCATCTTTAAAAGGCCATGAAACCCCCCTTTTTCGCTTCAAGTATACTTCAGAATTTTTTCCTAAAATCTTAGGAGATGTGTGTGGAGCGCTGCGAGCAGAGGGAGGAGTGGGCATTGGCGCCAGAGGAGAGAAAAAGAGGGGAGTGTCAGTTGGCTCACAAAATAAGACAAAAATAGTGAGGAAACCCATGATTTATAGTTTACAAAGGTAAAATGCAAAGAAATAACCAGTAAAAAATGTAATGTCTGAATGTAGACACAGTGGATAGCAGTGCAGCAGGTCTCTTGCTCTGTCTAATCCAACCATTACCACTGCTGGTAATTTAAACTTGTGCGAACACAGTTGCACAGATATAGGCGATGTGTCTGAATGGTGATGAACTCAACTGATAAAAAGACAAAGTTTGCCATTCTCCAATTTTCATACAGGTCTCTCGACAAAAATGCTTGCTGCAAACCAACAGCTTTGCTGTATTGGCTCTTGCCTAATACATACGACCCTTGCTGTGCATGGACGCGGTCTCACCCAGTCATTGGGTCTCACAGCTTGGCATGTCTGCCTTGCCTTCAGAAAGCACATGCTCTCATGAATAATTAAAAAGCAAGGCCTTCTCATAGGATAAGAACACTCCGCTATGAATAATAATGAGAAAACGATGCATCATTACTCCACGAGCAGAATCAAGCTACGTCACTGATTTTGATCCTGGCCCAAAAATTATTTTAAAACTGGAAGATGAAATTAGCAGACAAAAGCTTCAAATTTTCCAGTTTTCTCCACATTTAAAGCTGACAGGTGCTAACATTCTTACTCAACACACTCAAATCTTTTAATTGTTTAAAAAAAAAAAAAAAAAACTCCAGGGTGTCTTGAATCTTTAATGAAAGTCAAGTATAGACGTCAAACCAGAACTTAGAAGTAAATTCACAAGAAAAAAAAAAGTGATTTCTGTAAGTAATAAGTATGAGTAATAACAGAATTCTGTAATGAGTTTCCTTAACTTTAGGTGCTACAGGATATGTAAGATTAAAGGTGAAAGCTTTATCCTCTACTAAGGGTTCAAGTTAGGTTTTTATTAGCAGAAAGTTTGAATGCACAATAAGTAGTGTTTTGTGTGTTTAAATTTGATTTATTAACTTTAATAAAATAACAAATGTTAGAATGAAATATACACACATTTAGGAAAAGTCAGGGTGCTACTGTATATTAATTTGGGTTTTATGTTAACAAAAAGTAATTAAATTACAAAATGTAAAAATGGTCAAAATGACTGCCTTGGTAGTTCTAGTGTTAAGCTTTTTGGTTTCACAAGCAACTATAATATGCATTCAAATCAAGAGTTAAAACACATCTGTTTAGCTGTGCCTTTGCTGAATGAGCAATGTGCTACTGTACGACCGACAGACTGCCCTATTCTTGTTTTTCTTTCTCTTTTTTCATTCCTTTTAATCTGTTTGTAATCTTTGTTATTTTTATTTCTTAATCTTGTTGTATTTCATGTTTCTTTTATTCTTGTTTATGTAAAGCTCTTTGAATTCTCATAGTGTATAAAATGTGCTATATAAATAAATTTTCTTATATATAAGACATAATATATAAAAAGAATGACCTTGCCTTGCATACTATTCGAAAAAACATGGACACTTTAATACGTTTTTGCATAATGCTTGTTTCAAACTTTGCGACCTCATCTCGGAGAAGACTTTGTGATGTATCAAATCCACCAGCCCGCCCCTACATTTCTTTTGTCATGTTAAATATGCTAATCGAAACTATTCTAATGAGCTTATCCTCCCAGGACATCGGGGGTTACAAAACCGTGATTTCAAAATCAAGCCGAGATTTTGAATTCCCTATTCATGAGCCTCATTTACATCTCACAAATTTATACCACGAAACAAGACGTCTGCTTTGGAGCTGATTGAAAGGTGCAAAACTATTTTAAAATAATCCAAGGATGACAGAATAGGATTATCTTTTCTGGTGCCCTGCCAGGGGAGTCTCCATCTCTCTTTTATTCACCTGTAAATTATTTTCATTTGTATTAGACACGGCTGTCAGTGTTTAATCCCTCCTGATCTGAGCACGAAGGCATTCATTCGCCGCGGAGCTTCCCGGTGACGTGAGCATGAACCTGAGAGCACTGACAGCTAATGTGATTTAGCAGTCACGCTAACCGCTCTCTGAGCGCGTGCAAATCAATGAGAGGGAAGCGTTTCTATAAGAAGTGACATGAAAATAATCTGTCACCCCTGGCAGCGGCTCACTCTCCAGTCTGTCTGTTTGGTTTGCCTGTTTGAGATGGGCTCTCGTGAGACCAGCTCTAATTGAGCGCTGGATAGCAATGCTGACATTTAGATCAAAGCACATTTGTTATGTGAGGCCTGCGAAGGACTGATTGACTTTTAGTGGCTAATTGTATTTCTTCATTGTGCCGTGAAGTAAAGGAGAATGATAGATAAAAGGAACATCTGGAAATTGGAGTCTAATAGCTGGGCAGAGGTCTTAAAGGAGACGTCATAGACTTTGGGGTTTTTGGATGCTGGTCTCCATCTAGCCTCTCACATCCTGCTTGGTGGATTCTTTTATTAATTACTCACCCTCATGTCATTCCTATCTCCTGAAACCTTTGGTCATCTTCAGAACACAAATTAAGATATTTTGGAAGAAATCTCCATTGACAGCAAAGGGTCGTGACATGTTCAGAGTCTAAGAATAGGAACCAAAAACATTTTCAAAACATTTCAGTGGTTCAGCTGTAATCATACGAAGCTCCAGGAACACTATTTTTGCCAAACAACCACGGTTAAAACTACTTTTCACTAATGTCCTTTCTTCTGCCACGTCAGGTCCGGGTGCACATTTACTAGAGGCAATACAGTGTTTTTGTGTTGCACATCTATCTATCTATCTATCTATCTATCTATCTATCTATCTATCTATCTATCTATCTATCTGTCTGTCTGTCTGTCTGTCTGTCTGTCTGTCTGTCTGTCTGTCTGTCTGTCCGTCCGTCCGTCCGTCCGTCCGTCCGTCCGTCCGTCCGTCCGTCCGTCCGTCCGTCCGTCCGTCCGTCCGTCCGTCCGTCCGTCCGTCCGTCCGTCCGTCCGTCCGTCCGTCCGTCCGTCCGTCCGTCCGTCTCATCTCTCCATCTTTCCATCTTTCCATCCAACTTTAGTTTTTTTGTCATTCCATCCATCCATCCATCCATCCATCCATCCATCCATCCATCCATCCATCCATCCATCCGTATACACACACACACACACACACACACACACACACACACACACACACACACACACACACATATATATATATATATATATATATATATGAGCAATATCACACGAGTAGCAGTGCGATATGGCTGTATATCGGCATTGCCCCCACCAGTGCCGATATACAGCCATATACCACTGCTACGAGTGTGATATTGCATTTATACAGCAGTTTGACAGCATAATTGTGTATATAAAAACAAAATCTAACATGGAGAGTCTCAAAAACCCTTTTGTATGAGGAACTACTTCTTCCGCGTTGGATTCAAATCATAAGCTGATAGTTAAACAACTGAGCAAGCATCCTTTAAACTTAAGAACTGTACTGTCTACTTTTTGCTGGCGGTATGTGGGCGGAGTAATGCACAAAGGGTAAAAAGGCTGTACGAGTGTTGATATTACTAAATAAACCACGGCTATCAGCCAATCAGAGTCGAGAACCAGATAGAACTGTTGTATAAAAAAAAAAAAATATATATATATATATATATATATATATATATATATATATATAGAGAGAGAGAGAGAGAGAGAGAGAGAGAGAGAGAGAGAGAGAGAGAGAGAGAGAGAGAGAGAGAGAGAGAGAGAGAGAGAGAGAATCGCCTGTGATATCATGTCTTTTTGTTTTTTTTGTCAGAATGATGTAAGCCTATTGTTATAATAATTATATAATACAGTTAAAATGATATTTCTACTTTATCAAATTCATGTGCAACTTAAGCAAAACTAATACTAAAATTGTTTTAAATTTGGTTTTGTAGTTAGGGCCAAAATAAATCTGTTAACATGGATGCCGCAAAAACACGTGATGCTCACACGCTGCTCTCGGATTTGCTCTGAACAGGCTTGTGTTAAAGTATTATAATTTGTGTTCTGAAGTTCTCAAACGAAATGAGGCTTATGCTAACCAAATTGTGTATTTTGGATGAACTTTGATCTTCGAAGACTTCGAAGTTGTGATCTAGTATTGGAGGACCCCATTTTGCCCCGAATATGATGAACTGGCTGAGGCTAAGATGTGTTGCTTGCATTAAACCCCTATAAAATTAGTTTTAGAAGCTATTTAGTAAATTGACATGAAAAAGTTTGTTAGATGATTCCTGAGAATGAAATTTTGAACATGATGATTGACAGCTAAATCAGCATGAACCACAATTTCGGTCTAAATGATTCTTTCTGGTATTTCAGGGAAATCAGTCAGTAAAAAAATCATGTATTGGATAAAGTTACATTATCTGCTAAGTGCTGCACCAATTAAAAGTTTTGGATTACAAAGAGTTTTTAATGTCTTATACTCAACAAAGCAAACTATTTGATATAAAAAAATGCAACAAAAATGATTGATATTGTGAAGTGTTTTTACAATAAATAACTGTTTTTAAAAATGAATACTATATTTTCATGTGATATGAAAAGCTGAATTTTTGACAGCCATTACTTCAGTCTTCAGTGTCACACGATCCATTCAGAAATAATGTATCAATATGCTGTTTTGTTTAAAAGAACAACAATTATTTCAAATATAAATCTTTTGTAACATTAAAATCCTTGCTGAATAAATGTATGACTTTTATATGCTAGTATATTTAAAAAATGTTTCCAAATACAATATAGAAGAAATAACATGGAAAAGGTTTTTTCTTTTTCTTCTTATTGTTTAGGTGAACTGCCCCTCTCACTCGCAGCTTGTACCAACCAACCAGACATGGTGCATTACCTGACAGAGAATGGACACAAGAAGGCGGATCTGAGGAGGCAGGACTCAAGGGGAAACACAGTCCTGCATGCTTTGGTCCACATTGCTGACAACACTCGGGACAACACACGTTTTGTCACTAAGATGTTTGACTTGCTGCTCATTAAATGTGCCAAACTCTACCCGGATTGCAACCTGGAGAATATACTCAACAACGACGGCATGTCCCCTCTCATGATGGCCGCCAAACTGGGCAAAATTGGGGTAGGATACCACTTCATATGGGATTTAGGAACTTAAAAAGCATATCAAAATAAAACGTTTTTCCTCCACAGGTGTTTCAGCACATCATTCGGAGAGAGATAAAAGATGAGGAAGCTCGACACCTCTCACGGAAATTTAAAGACTGGGCTTATGGACCAGTGTACTCCAATCTGTATGATCTGTCCTCCCTGGACACCTGCGGAGAGGAAGTGTCTGTTCTGGAAATACTCGTCTACAACAGCAAGATTGAGGTGAGCGAGGAAAATGAAAATAAAGTCAGGAAGATGGAGTGTGTACTGTATGCTGCTCCATATATTGTATTGATATCATATAAGTTTAGAGGACTTACAGATGTGACTAATTGTAAATAGCCATGAGCAATATATCCATTAGATCATTTATGAAAATGGTATAATGGATGGTGTAAAAGCTTCCTGGTGATTGCTTTAGTTTACATCTTTCTGTATGCTTTATGGGTTTTGCCCTCAGAATCGGCATGAGATGTTGGCGGTGGAACCAATAAATGAACTGCTGAGGGCCAAGTGGCAGAAATTTGCAGCGGTGACCTTCTACATCAGTGTGTTTTCCTATCTTGTGACTATGATTATCTTCACTCTTGTGGCCTACTATCGCCCATCAGTGGGAAAAGTGAGTACAGTTTAAATCCTTTTGAAGGTCAGTTCACTCATTTAAAAAGGGACAAACTGGACTTTCTAAAAATGTTCATGATTATATTTATGTGACTTATCAGTTCACCATTCTAATATAAGAAAATATGATGCCACAAGCTTGGCACACCTGTCTTTGGGAATTTTTGCCCATTCCTCTTTGCAGTACCTCTCAAGCTCTATCAGGTTGGATGGGAAGCGACGATGTACAGCCATTTTCAGATTTCTCCAGAGATATTCAATAGGATTTAGATCTGGGCGCTCTGACCTCCCTGACTAAGGCTCTTCTCCCCCGATCACTCAGCTTAGATGGTCGGCCAGCTCTAGAAAGCGTCCTGGTGGTTCCAAACATCTTCCACTTACTGATGATGGAGACCACTGTGCTCATTTTAACTTTCAGAGCAGCAGACATTTTTCTGTAACCTTCCCCAGCCTTGTGCTTCAAGACAATTCTGTCTCTGAGGTCTACAGCTATTCCTTTGTCTTCATGCTTGGGTTGTGCTTTGACATGCAGCGTCAACCCTGGGTGTATGACAGGTGTATGCCTTTTCAAATCATGTCCAATTACCTGAATTTACCACAGGTGAACTCCAATTAAGCTGCTGAAACATCTCAAGAATGATCAGTGGAAACAGAATGTACTGTACCGGAGCTCAATTTAGAGCTTCACGGCAAAGGCTGTGAATACTTATGTACATGTGATTTTTCTGTTTTTTTAAAGGAAATAAATGAATTTAATCCATTTTTGGAATAAGGCTATAACATAAAAACTGTGGAAAAGTGAAGCACTATGAATACTTTCCAGATGGACTGTAGGAAAAGGTTTTGTTTGAACACCAAATGAGCAAATAAAAAGTATTTCTATATGTCCATGTTACTCAGAAAATTCAGCTTTGGCATCACAAGTTTTATGCAATTTTAAAATGTATTAAAATGAACTGGAAAAAATGTGAATAAATGCAGAAATACATTAATCTCCTCTTCCTTCCACTGTAAAAAAAAAGTGAAGCCACAATGTCCCAGGTATAGTTGCTATTAATTCTTTTGTGTCACTAAGATTATTTGAAGCAAGTCTGTGCAAAAGTCATCATAAACTGGAGCTATTGAATCAAAATCTCTAAGATCCAATAGCAAACACAGAGTCTTGTCTCATTTATTAAAGGGATAGTACACCAGAAAATGTTTTTATTCCTTCTGCTAAACTCAAAAGAAGATGATTTGATGGCCATAGTATTGTTTTCGTATTGTGGAAGTCAATGGTTACAGGTTTTTAGCTTTCATCAAATCATCTTCTTTTGAGTGTAACAGAAGAAAGTGAGTAAAACCACCTGAGAGTGAGAAATAGTGAATACATTTTCATTTGTGTGTGAACAATCTCTTTAAAACAGAGAGATCTTTTAATGATTTGTACTGCAGCCAACCACTAGGGGGCGATCTTAAAGTTTTGGCTTTATTTTTCACCACCTGGGTAAAATAGAAGGGTTACTTTAAATGTTATTATGTTTTTATCAAACAAATGCAGCCTAGACAAGTATTAGAAAGCATTTTCACAATCATGCCAAACTCAAACAGTTTTAAATGGTTGTGTACTGTATACAGTGGAATAGCTACTTCAACTCATGGGCACTTCTGTGTGCAGATGGTTAAGGGATATGGAACAGCTCTGTTGTTGATTCAAACATCTCTTATCTCCACAGCCCCCTTATGCTTATGATACCACAGAAGACAAGGTGCGTCTGGCTGGAGAGATCATCACAGTGGGTTCTGGACTCTTTTTCTTTGTAACAAATGTAAGCTTTACTCTGCACAATAATTAAACACACTTTCCTTTCTCCTTGATGAAAGAACATGGGTGTATTTGTATCAAATGTTGTGGTACCCAAATTCACTCAAGCATTCTTTCTGGTTGCTCTATCGATCCTCTTTATCGGTGAATACCTTTAGCGGCATTTCTTGGTTTTCTCCTCTGATTTAGATTAAGGACCTTTTCCTGAAGAAGTGCCCCGGGGTGAATTCTATATTTGTTGATGGATCCTTTCAGCTTCTCTAGTAAGACGCTCGCTCCCATTCTTTGTGTCTTCCTTTACAATGTCTTTGCCTGAGGCCATTTTTTAAATTGAGCTGTATAATTAATTCCAGAACCTCTTTCTTGGCATGTTTTAATAGTTACTGTAGTCTCCTTGCATTACAAACCGCAAAGATGACTGCAGCTCTCCAATATGTTTATGGTAATTGTAATTAATTGCTAAACCAGTGAGCCATCTTACATTTCAAAAGCGAATCTTGCACATTGACAACTCGCAGATATTTTATAACCATCACATTAACAAAATAAGAAAGTAGCCCGAGGCCACAGTGCGTTTAGCTATTAATTTTAAGCGTGATCTTAAATAGATGAAAATTTAATGTTAATTTACTCACCCTTGGATGCACATCATGATTTTGCCAAGTACGATGTGATCCTGGATTAGCATCTTTGCTGATCCTGGTACATCATTTTTGTTTGAAAATGTAACCCATACCCATTCCCTACCCCTAAACCCAACCATAACTAAATTATTCCAAAAATCAGATGGGAAAAATAGTGCGATAACAAACATGTAGAAGTGCATAAACCTCACCGTAAGCCTAAGCTTAACATAAACGGTAAACGTATCTCTTAATTCTGATTGGTTGATTGTAATGTTGTTCCAGGATCAACATAGATGTTAATCCAGGAACAGGTCCTACTTGGTGAAATCAGGTTGGCGCACTTGGACCACTCAAGATGTATTTTTTTCTTTAGGACAGCAATAAAAAAAAAGAATATATGTGACCCGATTTGGCAAAACGAGTCGGAAGTCTCACCATTCTCTGCTCTCCAAATATGATGTTAAACAGTGTATGAAACCAGTCAGAAATGTCCACAAATGCTGATCAGTATTTCCGTTACATTGTTACATTTTACACTGTTAAAATGTAGCATCTCAGTAAAACCTTTCTGAATTTAGTGAATCTTTGTAATAATGCCTTTTATTATATTTATATTGAAATAAATACTTAAATTATTTGAGCGGTTTAATGGCATTTGTGTATATAAACTGCATGTACAAATTAAGCTGTAAAATAAATAGTTTATCCCCTTAACTCCGATGAATTTTGAAGGATATCAGCAAAAAAACTTTACTCAAGATATTTTCAGGTTTTCAATTGGAAAAAGAGAGCAGACAACAATAATTTAAATGGGGCATATCTTCAAAACCATTCAAGGTATGATGTTGAATAGGATATCATTTTAAAACGTAGGGTCACTGTGACTTATTTTGCTGGATCGGGTCACATTTAATGCAAGTCAGGGGCTAATAATACTACTTTAAGGCTATGTTCACATTGCAAGGCTTAGTGCTCAAATCAGATTTTTTTCTCATATCGGATTTTTTTGCATAGTTGTGTACACTTTTTATTATTGTGGCTAATATCACTTCATTGATATTTGTTATCAACAACATGTATCCTGTCAAAAGTGGGGTTACAGGCTAATGGTTGGTCATTTAAAAAATATTTAAAATGAACAACTTAAATTTTTGTTAAAGTATTTGCTGAGGAAAGGAGGATGTTTGCAGGACGAACCAGTACAGAAAAATATTGTATCGGCTTTATTAGCACATATGAAAGTGGCACACTTTCCACACTGGTGGTGGTGTGGAGAGACCCCCCCCTCATGATTGTGAAGCGCTTTGGGTGTATGGCCATACACAATAAATGCGCTAAATAAATACACATTACATTTACAGTACATTACATATCAAAATTGAAAATATCAGATTCCATGTGGTTTTGGCTGACAAAAGACAAAAACAGATCTGAGTCACATGTGGGCAAAAGTATCAGATTCAGGACATGTTTGCCTGCAGTGTGAACATAGCCTTAGATGAACAAAAAAACAAACAAAAAAACAAGCAAACAATACGAATTAACTTTTTTTTTTTTGTGGCTGCTGATTAAAGGTAAAAGTGTTAAAGCAATGTTCATTTTATTTTTAAAACAGACTGGTTGTTTTACCAATAAGACCTTAATGTATCATCAGGAGCCATGTGTATTCATTTTATTTTAATACGTTTTCTTCAGTGTCTGTAACTTGCTCAATCTTCTGGTGAGCAGATTAAATGCAACAGCAAAAGTTGATTTTTGGGGGGTTTGCCCCTATAACATGTTCATGACTTGTATATATGGTTAATACAATTTAATATATGGTTGACTGGTATTTGTGTTTTCTTGTGTAGCTTCATCTACTCTGTGTTGGTGCTGGTGAGCGCAGCGCTGTATCTGTCAGGCATTGAGGCCTACGTGTCTGTGATGGTGTTTGCTTTAACACTAGGCTGGATGAACACCCTCTATTTTACCAGAGGCCTTAAACTCACTGGAACTTACAGCATCATGATCCAAAAGGTATTAAATGAACAGGTCGATCACCACGTGCATTTAAAGGCGCAGAATGCCATTAGAGGATACATATTCACAACAAACAAATAGGTCGTTTAATGTGGAATTATGGGGGTTGTGGTCTTCATTAACTCCATGTTTTTGCTTATTTCTCTGGAACACTCTTCAAAACATTTGGGATAATATCAATGCATAAGTCAGCTAAACATATATAAGTGGTTTTTGGATATTTTAATGAAAACAAAACGTAAATATTGTGCCTTTAATTTAATAACTGTAAATAGTGAAATGTTTTCCTTTCACCTCAACTGTATTTGTAAGAGGCCTTGAGAAGACATCAAATCTAAATTTATTTAGCTTTTCAAAACACTTTTATTAAAGTGGGCAAAAAAAAAAATCTTGGCATTAATTAGTTATTTGAGTATGCTTGAGAATGAAGTGGTATTATTTTAATACTTGTTTTATTCTATAAAGCAGTGGTTCTTAAACTTTTCATCAAGTATCACCTCAGAAACAAATTGTCTCTCCAAGTACCACCATGATGACGAGGCAGATTATTTCCTATTGTTAAAAATATTTATTATTGTCAGCCACTTTAAACGTTATAAATAGATTGAACATTAACACTACTGTGCTTGCAGGTAAAAATTCAACATTTAAATTGTGCTTTTAAAAGTTAAAAAAATTAGGCGTAAAAGAAAGTAAAAAGAAGACTGCTGTACTTAAATTTAAAGTATTATCAAATAGTAAGCTATTCATCAAAACCTGGAAATGTTGCTTGGACCTCATGAATATAGGCTATATGTCATCATATTCATATATAAACCATTTTTGATAAATTTGTGCATGTGTTGCATGCACAAATGACATATGTGTTTATCTTTGAAATCTAATCATTAACTTGTATTTTAAAATATTTGGGATGACACACATTTAAAGTCAGAATTGTTAACCCCCCTTTGATTTTTATTATTATTATTATTTTAATATTTCCCAAATGATGTTTAACAGAGCAAGGAGATTTTCACAGTATGTCTGATAATATTTTTTAATATGGATAAAGTCTTATTTGTTTTATTTTAGCTCGAATAAAAGCAGCCTTCAATAAAAAAATGTTAAGGTCAAATTTATTAGCCCCTTCAAGCTTTTTTGTTTTTTGGATAATCTACAGAACAAACCCTCGTTATACAATTACTTGAATAATTACATTAACCTGCCTAGTTAACCTAATTAACCTAGTTAAGCCTTTACATGTCACTTTAAGCTGTATAGAAGTGTCTTGAAAAATATTGAGTAACATATTATTTACTGTCATCATGAGAAAGATGAACCAGTTATTAGAGATGAGTTATTAAAACTATTATGATTAGAAATGTGTTGAAAAAATTAAACAAATTGGGGAAAACAATTAACAGGGGGCTAATAATTCAGGAGGCTAATAATTCTGACTTCCAACTATATTTAAATTAGAAATTAGATCTGCTTACTGCACGTCTTTTATAGTACGTTTGTCAGAAAAGTGAGTGATTATATGCATAAATACACTACTTGACCAATTCATACATGATTTATCCATTCATACGTGCGGAATTTCTGTGATTCGAGATCTCATCTTAAGTGGACAGTGGAGTTTGTATTACCCGCACACAGAGACTTTAATCATGCTATATTTTAGCTCCAAGCTTCAAGCAAAGCAAAGTTGCTTGAGTCTATGTTCTGTGTCCTGCGACATTTGAATCACATCCAGATAAATTAGCCTAAATCTGAGGTAACAAATTAATCGAAAGCTACGGTGGTTTACATAAGAAATAACTTTATATATATATATATATATATATATATATATATATATATATATATATATATATATATATATATATATATATATCAAAAACAGGCATTATTTTACACAACTACAAGCACACATTTAACACATTTGTGATATTTTGAATTGTGAATTATTTTACCAATGATGCAGCATGGAGAGGTTTGCAGTAACTGAAATGCCAACACAACAGCACTGGTCTGCAAAAGTGCTTAATTCTCTAGCATGTATCTGCTCCGGAAGTGCTGCACACCTCTTTCTCATGGATCTGTGCCAAAGTGGGTTGATTTTTAGCATCTGATGACATGATGAACTAAAGTAAACACTGCAAGCACACCGATGTGATCGTATGCTCCAGGGAACAGCCTATGCTGATCACATCAGATCACAAAGGAATCGGATTGATCAAATTTTATCACTATCTCAAATAAAAGTACTGTAACCTAGTCCATTTGCTTTTTTCAGAAATTGAATGAACAGCAAAAATTTTCTAGATAAAGCTGGGTTATTCCACCCAATGTTTATATCTCAACTTTTCTAAAGGTAAACATTGGTATTGTGTTGTCTAAAAGTTTATACAGAAATGTCTAAAATATGGCATATTTTAGCTATTTAATGCAAAGAAAATTCTAAAGAACTACATTAATTAGAATTTTGTCATCAGTAGTTTACAGAATAAAACTAAAATTACATTTTACACTTAACACTCACTATAAAACAAATCCAGAGAAATCAGCACAAAAAAGGCTTCACACAGTTGAGTGGGCTTGATAAACCACCTGTAGAAACACTCTTCTCACTCTATAAAAAACTTAAAAAAATAATAATAATAAACACAATCCCCCTTACTCAAGCACTTAATTCTCTAAGCACAAACAGTTCCTTTTTTAAAAATAAATAGCACTTCTTGTGCTTATTGCTTCTTTTTGTTGAATCGCTGAATACCTTCTCAGTTATAAGTTGCTTTGGACAAAAGCATTTGCTAAATGACTAAATGTAAAATGTAAACTAAGAATTTTCAAGTAGTCTCTAATTTTTTTCCAAGGCTGTATCAATACAAATGTTTAGACCAGAAAGTGTTTACGTGTAGTTATAAATTATAATATGACCAAACACCATAACATTTTCTTTTTTCTTTAGTAAGGATTTTATTTGTAAATCCTGTCCTCTTGAATTACACGTTGTTCTGCATGCTGATGTTTCTAAAAGCTGCAATTCCAGTAATGACTATTTCTCTTAAAGTGTACACTACTGCAGGCAACTACATTACATAAAACCCTCAGAATAATTAGAGCGCTCGCTGATCTTCCTTCCTCTCATTTTCTCAGTCTAATTATTCAACCCATTGTGTCATCAATTTGCTTATTATCTTCAGATTCTCATCAAAGATTTGTTCCGGTTCCTGCTGGTCTACGTGCTCTTCATGATTGGTTATGCTTCAGGTATTCCAATAAGAATCATCACTCTTGTTTAATATCTTCTAAAATGTTTATTCATAATGATCTATTTTGCATTCTGTGTTCTGTGCACCAGCATTAGTGTCGCTGTTGACCATCTGCCCTGATAAGGACACGTGTAAGGAAAACTGTCCTACATATCCCGAATGTCGAGACACAAACACCTTCAGTGAATTCTTGCTGGACCTCTTCAAGCTGACCATAGGCATCGGAGACCTGGACAACATGCTGAAAGGCGCACAGTATCCCGCCGTCTTCCTCATTCTGCTGGTCACCTACATTATCCTCACCTTCGTCCTGTTGCTCAACATGTTAATCGCTCTGATGGGGGAGACGGTGGGACAGGTGTCCAAAGAAAGCAAGAAGATCTGGAAATTGCAGGTGAGAGGAGAGCCTGAGGGGTAATGTGCAATCAGTTGTATGGATAGTATTATTAAGACTGAATAATGTTAGATAGTATAAACTTGTGGTCAGATGACCCACAATGGAAATTCTTGTTGTCAATTGGTTTCTTCTGTGAAATAAAAGAACTAACTTTTATTATTAGTGGTGTAACGGATCACAAATCACATGGTTTGGATAACATTGTTTTTTTTCCACATTTTTTGGCTCAGCAAATAGGGGAAGAGACAAATCTAATTTGCTTTCTATTTAATACAAAAACAGTACTGCAAGACACTTTTGGTTTTAATAAACTGAACTTAGAACCTGTAATTTTATTAAGAATAAAATAAAGAAATAATCAGCTGAAAAAAATAAACTGTAAAATATTCAGTACTGTGAAAAATTCACAGTTACTACTACTGTTGCTGATAACGCTTGCAAGACTGGGATTTAACCACAGCGGTTCGAATTGTAGTTCTGCCGAGCGACTAAAAAGTTATCAGTATTGATGGTAAAAAACTTTCTAGTCAAACCATTCTTCTGCAGTCTTATACCAAAAATGGAAATAATGGCAGTATTAATAGCTAAAATGTGTGAGAGCGTTGATATTATGTGATTATATTGTATTGCATTATGGATTAATTAAGTGTTAAATCAAAAGTAATTCACAAATACTTGATAATGAAATGATTTAATGACAATAACTTGCTATGGTTACAACTAAATTAGTTACCAACTGTATAAAATGCTAAAATATGAACTGATGAAAACATGTGATAATAATTGTACCCAGCTTAAATTAAAATAAAGTTACCTAAGAAAGAGAGAGACGAGGGATGGAAAGAGAGAGACAAAGAGAGTAAGTAGGCCTCAAAGAGCCTGGGAGCTGTAGAGCCAGAGAAGATAACCTCCAGAGAAGGAGAGGAGCAGAGCTCAGGAAAACGTAGAGAAGAAAAAGAGACAGAGCAGAGTTTACCACCTATTTTGTCTCTTTCTTGACCATATGACCAAAGTCCAAATACTGAGACATTCAAACTGACCAATCGACATGTGACCAGATCGTAAAACCCTCAAAGTCCAAACACCAGAGCCTGATCTAATCAGTATCTGCCTTTAGAATTTGTGAGAGCCTTCTTTAAATTATGTAATTTCTGCCTACAACTTTCATCTTTGAGCATCAAATTAAATGTACAGTATATGACAGTGATTTTAATCTTTACCATCAACATCAGTTGTTTTATCTAAACTACAAACTGTTACCACAATACGTCTGTGTTATTTGACAGTTTGTAACTTCCTAACTAACTCAAAAGACTAAAGCCTGAATCTTGATTTTTGCGTTTTTCATACACAGATTTGAATGCAGCGATTCGAGGGATTAATAAACATATGCAAATTACCATAGTTTTTTACATTTATGTTGCATGGGTGTTGAGATCACGATTTTTAATCGTGCTGCTTACACTGAATGCAATAATGCAGGCTAAACAGGTAGTGACAGAAAACACCTTTAATATCCTAAGAAACCCAGCACAAGTGGTTTGCTCCATATGAATTTTGTGCATATGTATTTAGTATCCTGTTTGACAAAGTAAATATTCATATTTAATATTTATTTGTGGAAAACAAACTCATTTTGTGTGTGATTGCTTGTATAAAAAAATCTGGTTGTAATAACATGAGAATCAACCATCTTTACTTAAGTTTTCTACGAGGACTTTTCCTTTTGTAAATGGCTTTAGTCTCCAACATGTAGTTTTTCTTTTCTTTGTTCTCAGTGGGCGACTACTATCCTGGACATTGAGCGTTCTTTCCCTGTGTGTCTGCGGCGGTCTTTCCGTGTGGGAGAGATGGTCACTGTGGGCAAGGGTTTGGATGGAAAGCCAGACAAACGCTGGTGCTTCAGGTACAGCAACAAAATATCTGCTACATTTATGTTTATTAATTTATTATATATTTTTTTCAATTAGAGCCTGTTTATTTTAATGAATAAGGCTAAACTTTGAAGTCTTCATTCTTAATTCTGCAGGGTGGACGAGGTGAAGTGGTCCCACTGGAATCAAAATCTGGGCATCATCAATGAGGATCCAGGCCAGAAAGACCTTTCTGAACACACACAGGGTGGACGGGGCCTTCGAAGAGGTAAGTTAAGGGGCAAATTATTTAAAAAAAACTATATTTTTGGTTTGTAGTCAAAATTAAAAAGTTAAAAAAATACATTATACATTGCATATTTTCGTGCACTTGGTCAATTGTATTGTTTAGAGGGAGAGAAAAAATACAAACAAGTTGCAATTGTGTATAGAATATATTTTATGATTTCATTCAAAAATAATGTTATTTTATAATAATATATACAGTCTGGAAAATAAGTCACCATTTTTCTCTGAAAAAATATTTCCAAAGATGCTTTTGACATGGATTTTTCACCAGATGTTGATAACAACCAAAGTAATCCATGTAAGAAAAGAAAACAAATCTTATTACTTTACAATTTAAGTTATGCTTAATAAAATGAAATGACGCAGGAGAAAAGTATTGAACACATGAAGAAAGGGAGGTGTAGAAAGGCAGTGAAGGTCCAGAAAAGAACTGTAATCTATCAGTAGTTATTCAGCTACCCTCTGCTCTTCATCATTATAAAATAATATTAGCTGCTTCAGTTCAACATTTACACTAGCAGGATGATGGAGATGAAACCAGGGAAGACATTTCAGCAAGACAATGATTTAAAATACAGACAAGGAAACTCTCAAAAGCTTTCAGCGAAAGAAAGTCAAGCTGTAGAATGGCCCAGCCAATCACCTGACTCGAATCTAATAGAAAATACAAATTATACATCAGATTTGATAAACAAGACCCACAGAACCAGCAAGATTTTAACACTGTTGAGAGGCAAATTCAATATATAACTTATATTACATATTTTATATGTGACTGCACAGAAAAGAAATAATCCAAATATATAAAAAATAATCAATTGTTTCTAATCACTCACCTATTTAAGACTAAAAAATGTAATTAAACAATTAATGCTTACAAACAGACATATAGAAATGTCAATTATATGTAATTAAAATAGATCTTTTCAATACCAACTATATGCAGTGTTCAGCATAAATGAGGACACCCCATTTTGAATATGAATATCCATTTTATCCATTTTCTAGTGAATATTTGTAATATATTTTGGCTGCATTTAAGTAAAGCAGATTTATTAAACAAATTTATTTATTGAAATCATATTTTAGTCACTAAACGTCTTTAGAAATATACAGTTAATACATTTAAATTCATGCAAAATATTGCAAACAAAGAAAAATTACAAACTACAAAAATTCAAAGAAATTTAGTTTATATTTTTTTTGTTTCTTTTGATTTTTGCTCTTTTTTAAAAAAATTTTTATGTATGATTTTTCCCTAACGTATAACTTTGAGCTACTAATTTTTGACCAGTTTTGGCTTTAGGTATGACTAATTGAACATACATACACAAATATAATGTTATAAAGCATCCTATAGAAAATAAAAGAAAATATTTGTGAGAGGTATACTTATACTAAACATTTAATTACAATTAATTAATATTAATATAAATAAAAAATATATATATAATCATGATTTAAAAGGTTAAATTCTTCTAAATTAATTTAAAATTTGGTATCATTAGGACTGACGCTGGTAAAGAAATTGTAAGTAAAGGTGGAAAAATGTTAATATATTATACTATTTTTAAAGTTTTTGACAGACAGTAAGGTCAAATATTTGAAATAAGACAGCAGAGATACAGTTAGGAAGATAATTTTAAGATGAAAAAAATATATAATATAAAATATAATTTAAAAAATGCATGTAGGTAAAACACACCCCTGGAAATCAAAATTATGGGCAAATATTGCCCGGTAATAGCACTGTCGCTGGATGTTTTTTAGCAAAATGCTATTTGATTTGGAATACATGTCATAGCATTTTTCAGATTAATTAAAAAAATTTAACCTTTATTCCAGACATTGCATGTTTCAAGTATCAACTAACAAAGCGCTTCTCTCCACTGCACCCACAGACCGCTGGTCCACTGTAGTACCGAGAGTGGTTGAACTGAATCGCGGCTCCAGAGATCACACCGTAGAGATGGAGCCTCTCACAGGGAGACACCGACTCAAGTCTGAAAGCTAAAGACTTCAAAGGGAAACAATCCCTTGATACTTTTTTACTGGCCAGACAATTATGTGTGCTATTAAAGCTGAGTTTCTCAGCACCGTTGGGAGAACAGGTCTGTACATCATGAATTTTGAACATACCCTGATGGCTTCTTTTGGGATGATTGTGTTTTACATGTATATTTGGACACACTCAGGAACAGTTTTAATTAGGTCAGTCCATCTTGTGTCAAGAGTTTTAATATTATATGGTTTTTTAAGAATTATTATTTGTACCTAGGAAAAAACAATCCGACAGTATATTAGCTCTTGGATATGAGTGTCAGCGCCGCTAGCTCTGTTGATTCCTGCTGACATTTTGCTTTTTTTTGTATGTGTATGGATTATATGAAAAAACATTATATATGAATCAATAATCATGTCAGATTACCTCAGTGTTATTTGTGCCTTGTGATATAAAGTACAGCTTTTTAATGAAAAACAGAACTGTTATTATTTTTGTGATAATGCCGACCCCTGATGGAAAAAAAATGCTGCTCTGGTTTGGCCTTTGGCTTGGTTTTGTAATAAAGGTCATGTTAGAAGCAGATGTGTCTCTACACCAGACTGCAGCACTGCGCTATTTTCACCTCAGTATACTAGCAATAGTGCCACACTGCGCTTAATAGGCGTGATTCTTGTAAAGATTTAAAGCGACTAGTTCAGATTAGAGCTTTCTCGATTTGCAGAAATTCAGAAAGGTAAACCAATGCCAAGTTACACATTTTGGAAACCATTTCAACCTCTATTTTCTTTTTTGTAAGAAATTTTTATCTTGTATATATTGTGTCCCCTGCCCCCTTTTTAATTAAATACACTCAAACAGTGATGTTTGTTCAAACTACATAAAATAAAACACAATTCTTGAAGATATTTTAAGACAACTTAATTGTTTTACGTTCAATCCAATTAAATTTGTGAAAACAAATCAGCTAACTTAATTTGTTCATGTTGTCTTAACACAAATTGAGTGTGTGCAACCCAGCATTTTATACAGCACTGGGTTCCATACAATTCCTTTAAGTTGCCTTAGTACAAGTTGTTTACATTGGATTGAACATAAAACCATTAAGTTGTTCCTTAATATATATATATATAAATATATATATATATATATATATATATATATATATATATATATATATATATATATATATATATATATATATATATATATATATATATATGTTTTTTCATCTAATTTTAAATAAGTAGTTTGATCAAGCAGCAGATTTTGTTTTAAGTGAGTGTATTTTGGTGCTTTTTTTCACTCCAGGAAGAGTGATTAATTCAGGGCTGGAAGTCTTTTTTATTTTGTTTGATATACAGTTTGCCTTTTTTAATACTCTGGTTATTTAATATATTCTTTGTTTTACTATTAGAGTAGATTTTGTATCCAAGGAATGTAAAGAAATAGATAGTAATATATTTGTGGCAGTAGACGTTATTTTACCAAAACGTTCGATGCTGCTGCTGCTGACAACATTATTTTATGTTCTGAATTAGATGTGCTGACTATTCCAATAATCCAAGCAAACCATATCAACAATAAAGCGATTTTTTTAAAATTCTCCCTCTGTTGAACATCTAAAGGAGCCGATTTATTATTTATTGTATAGCTTTTTAACTCATTTGTTTCAAAACCATGTTTTAAAAATTGGCTGCTCTTATATAATGGAAAGAACTGAAATGTATTACTTGACATCGTAAGCACAAGTAGATTTAATCTGAATCTGCAACTGTGCCTAATTTACATTTAGAAAACTACATGTAGATGTGCCATTTTTTTTACTTTGTGGTGTTATAGCTTTAAAACCTTCCAATAAAACTCGTGAAATATATTTGTTTTTTATTGTGTATTTTCATGTCCTAACTTTGCCTCATAAAATGTGATTTATAACTTATAATTTAGCATTCTGCTGAAAAATAGCAATGTTTATGTTTTGTTTGCTACGTAGTCTGTGTGCGTGTTCATAAAACAAGTCATAAACGTTTACTGTTCATGCTTTATTAGCATATCTGTTTTTCGGCTCTATACACTTCCTGCATTTCTTGCCTCGTTAACAAGTTCAAATGAAACGGTTCTAATGAGTCAGTATTGAGTTGCTATATTAAGGAACCGTTCAGGGGAACAATTTGTTAACTACTTTCAGAACAATAAATCATAAAGACATCTTTGACCACCGAGTGAAGGAAGGTCAATCGGTTTAATTTGATGAAACGACCGGTAATGTAAAGAGAAAAAAAAAGTTTACACACATAAACAAAACGTAACAATCTATTGTTTGTACTAAAAACGCGTTTTCTGCTTTTTTTAGTCTGGAACGTCTACTGTTAAAGAGGTTTTGCTGTCAGACTTTTCTTATGGCCACTAGATGGCCATATAGAGCCGCACGTATGTTTACTGCTTCTGTCCTCAACTGAACACATTACCTGAAACTAATAGGATCATTCTCACAGATAATAAACATTATAGTTTGATATTTTATTTTTATTGGCACTATCACTATTATTTGGTCATGACTGGAATAAAAAGGAAAGTCTGGATTTATGTTTTCACTTGGTACTTTACAGTGTGCTTATTTGTGTTCTTTTTACACTGGTATGAGAATAAAAAAACTTCAGACCTGAATACAGAGCCACAGTACACGTATTATACATGAATATATGCTGAGGGATTTTCTTTTTCATTAATGTGCTTTGTTTTTATCATATGTCTTTTTCTTAATTTGCTTGTACAACACTTTGGTCCACATGTGTAGTTGGAACAAAATGTTTTATAAATGAAGTAATATAATATATATATGTTTTTGTTTTTACTAAACCAGCCTGCTACCTTTGCTGGTTTAGGTCTTTAATGGCACAGTCAAATATGCTTCAACACTTTTAGGAGTTGGAGGCATGCATGCACCTTTAATAGTATTTAATTAAATTAATCATTCAATTGATTCATTTAAAATGGCTGAATTATTTAGTAAAACCATAGACTATCTGCATCCGAAATCTCATACTAATTGTATTTCAATTTTAACTTTCCGACTGTATTAAAACAAGCTTGTTCTAGTGTAGTAGTTTAATATAGAATAATAAATACAGAATGTAATTTTCACCATTTTCCCCCCCAATATGACACTTTTCCAACAGCCTCATTGGGTTTCCATATATGCCTACAGAATTCGGATTGAAGCAGAAGGTTTTCTGGGTGATTGTTGCCCATAATTTTTCAATAGTATGAATTTGAATGCACTACTTGCCTTGGGTACTATTCTTTGTGTTCTAGTTGAAAGGTATGAGGTTTAGGATGCAGTAACTGTCTTTATGTTATGGTGTTTAGCATTGATGTCTCACAGCAAGAAGATAGCTGGTTCGAGTCCTGGCTGGGCTAGGTTGCGTTTCTGTGTGGAGTTTGAATGTTCTCCTTTTGTTTGTGTGGGTTTTCTTTAAAGACATGGGATAGGTGAATTGTGGAAACAAAATTGGCCATATGTGTGAGTGTATGTGTTTCTCTGTGCTGAAAGGGCATCCACCACATAAAACATACGCCAGAGTAATTGGCAGTTCATTCTGCTGTGGCAACCTCTGATAAATCAGGGACTAAGCTGAAGGATAGTGAGAGAACTTTTAAACTTGCTTTTTGGCTTAAATTGTGATAAAGCAATGGCTCAGTTTTGTAAAGGATTACACTCTTCACTTTTATAGGCTAAAACAGCACTTTTGTTTGTGTGAGATTAAAGGGATAGCTCACCCAAATATGAAAATCATGTCATCCTTCATCCTTTCCTTACCAAGTGGTTCCAAACCATTATGAGTTTTATTCTGCTTAGCACAAATACAGATAATTTGAAGAATTAATATATATACAGTTGAAGTCAGAATTATTAGCCCCCTTTGACTTTTTTTCTTTTTTTAATATTTCCCAAATGATGTTTAACAGAGCAAGAAAATTTTCACAGTATGTCTGATAATTTTTTTTTTCTTCTGGAGAAAGTCTTATTTGTTTTATTTCAGCTAGAATAAAATAGAATAAAATAAAGAATATAGAATAAAAGCAGAATATTCTAAAATATAGAATAAAATAAGAATATTCTAAAATATAGAATAAAATAAGAATATTCTAAAATATAGAATAAAAGCAGTTTTCGATTTTTTAAAAACCATTTTAAGGTCGAAATTATCAGCCCCCTTAAGATATATATTTTGTAATAGTCAACAGAACAAAGCATCGCTATACAATAGCTTGCCCAATTACCCTAACAAGTAAACCTAATTAACCTAGTTAAGCCTTTAAATGTCACTTTAAGCTGTATAGAAGTGTCTTGAAAAACTAGTAAAATAATATTCATTAAAGATAAAATAAATCAGTTATTAGAAATGAGTTTATAAAACTATTATGTTTAGAAATGTCAGAAATTGGGGAAAAATAAACATATAACTATGAAAAAAAAGAAACTCAGACAGGTTTGGAAAATGTGCAGGGAGAGTAAATGAAATACATTTTCATTTTTTGGGGGTGAACTATTACTGTTACTAAAGCAAACACCTATATATTTATAATATGAAAATAATAGCAAAAAAAGCAATAATATCCTGAATAGCCTGGATAAAAAGCCTGGATAAATATAGGTTTTTGCTTTGGTAACAGGGATACTAAATTCATGATGTGAATTAGGTACATTTTATGCCTTTAAAACAGTGAATGTGCTGCATCTTCGAGCGAGTATTATTAAAGGTGCTGTTAATTTTCGACTCTTCTAAAGCATAAAATACCATAATATGTTTGCAGATATTTAAGTAACATGCCAAGTGAACACTTGTTTATCTGAAACAAAAGAAGTAGTTATTCTACTTTAAAAATGTGTTTTCCGTCCCGAACGCTGTCTTTGTCTTAGTAACTTTAACCTGCCCAATGTTAGTTTAGTCAAGCAAATTTCAGCACCCTGGGTTGCCTTGTTAGAAAATTTCATGCATTCATTCATTCATTCATTCATTCATTCATTCATTCATTCCTTCATTCATTCATTCAGAAAGGCTCACAAATCATGCACCTGTGACCGAAATGTGACCTCTGATGGACAGTAGCAGACTCCGAAATGAGACGCAGATTCAAAATTCCACATGAGGTTATTACTTAGCAAATAATATAAATATTACGAGCGTAAACATTTGGTGAGCAGGTTACATTTTAAACCGTGTCCTAACAACACACTGCATGAGATTTGCGTTGATAAACAATTTCAGTGGTATGGCAATAAATGTCATGTAAAATGGCATTTAAACTCACATCATTAGCATTTAACACTGAATACAGCACAGGAGGTGTACCTAAGGAGATCAATGTCACTTTTTTTGTTGTTCAGTCGCAAGAAATAAAAGTTGTTTCTAAAATATAAATTTCAGGTGTTGGTTAGAACAAAAACTCTTTTTTATTTAGAAAATATTCCTTCTATCGGGTGCCTTTGCTTTAATATAGAAGACGATTTAAATCAGCCAGTTCAGACTTGATCGCTCCTGTTGGTCCTTAATCTGGCAACCTGAGCTTGTGTTTGTTTTGATTTAGGAATGCAATACCTAGTTCAACCGCTGGGTGTCAAACTTACATACTGCACCTTTAAAGGGATAGTTCACCCAAAAATTTATTTACACACTACTTTATCAAAATCATGTGGTTCCAAATCTCTATGAGTTTCTTCATTGTAGTGAACCCAAAAATATTGAAGAAAGCCTAAAAACCATTGATTTCTATAGTTGGAAAACTATGAGTTTAATGCTTACAGGTTTTTAACTTTTTTAAATTGATCTACTTTTGTGCTCAACAGGTTTGGAAAAAGTTAAAAGTGAAAAATTTATGACAGAACTTTTCAGTTTTGAGTGAACTATCCCTTTAAAACAACAACTACAAAATTAAGCAAACAAATAAGATACTATCATACACATTACATACCATACACCCCTGATTCAACATAACACTCTTCATGCACAAAACCCCACAGTCCTACTGAAGCTCTCCACTGGTAATCAAAGGACTGCTGGACACACAATTTGCAAGGACACCCGCTTCACTGTCC